CCGCATTGGACAGGGGAGAACTCGGGCAAGGCTGCCCTGCTCACCCCTCCGCGAAGGAGGTTTCTTTTATTCCCATTTCCCGGAGGGGAGACTGAGGCTGAGAGGCGCGCAGCAAATCCCAGGAAGGCGACAGCCACCCACATCTCCCCCCTGGTGCTTGGCCGTCCCCTCGCAGCCCTCGCCCCCCTCAGGCGCCCCTTGCTCAGACCCCTGGCCCGTCTCCGGAGGAAGGAGGGTCATCAGCCGGGCGAATGCCTGCGGACCCAGCTAAGGAGTTAGCTCAGAAGCAGGCAAGCCTCTCCTCTCCCTCCATTGACCATTTTTATTTATTTATTTATTTTTAATGATATTTATTAAAGTTTCAAAGAATACAAGAATCACACAAAAACAAAAAGTAAAAATACAAGGAAATACAGAATACAGAAAAAAGAATAAAGTTTTTAAGATATAACAAAAAAATGAAAAATAAAAAGAAACATACAAAATAAAACAGTTAAAAAACACGTTAATTTTCCATAGCCTATCTTCCTTACATTTATTTCCCCGGACCTCCTTGTACCTCCCTTTTTTGTATTCCAGTTCAGTTTGTTAGTTCAGCAAATCCATACCATTAAGCTTTTACCCATTTGTAAACCTTTTTTCGTATCTCTTAAAGCATTACAGCTGGAAGCCACTTAGTTTCTATCCAACATCCTTCTAAGATTCCTTAATTTTACAATATTTCTGTAAATAGTCTTTAAATTTCTTCCAGTCTTCTTTCACCGACTCTTCTCCCTGGTCTCGGATTCTGCCAGTCATTTCTGCCAATTCCATGTAGTCAATCACCTTCATCTGCCATTCTTCCAGAGTGCCATTGACCATTTTTACTCCCCCCCCCCCCCCGCCTGCTGTGCGAGGAGAAGCTCCTCGGGGGCGGGCAGGAGGGGGCGACTCTTTGCAGCGGCGAGAGTGCCGGGCTGGGACCCCGGAGAGGTGCGACCCTGGGCCGCGCACGGTCTCTTTCTTAGCCTAACCCCCCGCGCAGGGCTGGCTGGGAGGATAAAATCGGAAGGTGGGATAGAAATAGGAAGAGGGTGACCCGCTGGTGGGTCAAAACTGACCCCTTTCCTGAACCAATTTAAGGTATTTTTCAGTTTTTAAAAGGCAAGCAACTATCCCAAGCGGCGAAAATACATTTTATCCGCTGCGCTGTGCGCTGTCGGTGGAGAGGCAGGAGAGACTAGAAGAAGAATCAAGGGATCATAAGAGACCCCCGACTTGCTCTCCTTCAGGGTCACCCAAAAGTTCCCCGAAGGAAAACCCTTTTCTCTAAAACCTGGCTGGGGCGCCATCTGCTGGCCACAGGGAGATGGTTTTGCTTATTTATCTTTCAGGTAACTAGGCATTCCTTCCCAGCACATAGGGTTGTATTGCTTATCTCTTGCGTTGGTTTTGACCTTTCAAAGCCTCAAACTGCATGGGATAAGAATTTCTCAACAGTTGCTCATCCCACAAAATGATGCTCCTTTTCTGCCCCCACCCACCAATTATTGGATGGTGGCTGGTGAGTTATGGAAACAGAGTCTTTCCAGTTGTGGTACCCAAAGCCTGGAATAGCTTTGCAAGAGATATCCTCCTGTCCTTGTCTCTGTGGATACTATTCTGCCTAGCTGTGAACTAGCCGCTGAATGCCTATAGCCACTGCCAGAGGCCTCTGAGTGCCTATTGCTGGGAAACTAAATTGGGGGGAGCTTGCGTGCTTCCCTTTGGGGGCACCTGGTTGGCCAATGTGAAAGCAGGAGGCTAGGCTAGATGGGTCTCCTTTGGCCTGGTCCAGCAGCCAGGCTCTTATTATGGTCCAATGGAACCTCCAGGTCCACAGGCAGTCTACCTAGACTCCTAGGGATATTTGGCCACTGTGAGGACGGGATGCCAGACTAGATAGCCCTGCTTTGGCCAGATCCAGCTGCTGCTGTTAGGAAGGATGAGATAGGTGAACCGAGGAGAGTAAGGCTTAGTGTGTATCCTAGTCACAATGGCAAGGTTCTTCCTCCCCTGTGAGAGGCAGCTGGCCTCTGAATACCAGTTGCTGGGAATAGCAAACTGGGAGAGCAGCAGCTATGGGGGTCCTGCTGGGGGGCTTCCCAGGAGAGGCATCTGCTTGGTCACCCAAAAATGGTGGAGTGGAAAGTTACCAGGAGGAAGAAGCACCTCAGAATATTGGGAGGGAGCTGGTGTGGTGCAGGGGTGAGAGCAGCCATGGGGCCCCACAGATGAGGGGTGGGAGTCCATCCACTTCTTCAGTCTGTCAGGGTTGGTGTCTCAGACTAGGCCTGAGGAGACCCGAGATCAGGTGTGATGGGTTCTGCCCAACACAATGGGAGGAGGCCCAATGAGGCTCAGCTGGCTGAGGAATATTGACCTGTCAGTGAAAATTGTTGGGGGGGGGGCTTGGCCCCTACGGTCCCCCAATAGATAGCGCAGCTGCCCAAGATAATAAAACTCAGCAACCAGCCCAACTTGGGCCCATTGCTACCCCTAAATCTAGTCTACCTCTCAGGATTGTTGTGAAGATAATTTGGGGAAGGGGAGGAACAAGGAACAAGAGACACAGCTTTGAACTCTTTGGAGCAACAATTTGCTGTAAATGAATTGCTTTTAGCAGCAGCTGAGATTTGCAGAGTAGTGGGGGCCAGGAAGGCAACCCCCCTCCCGCAGAACTACAAGGGCTTCATGCAAAGGTGGCGACTCCCACCCCCACCCTTCAGATGTTGCTGGACCTACAACTCTCAGCACCATGACCTGCCCATTGGCCATGCTGCGATGGGAGCTGGAGTCCAGCAGGATTTGGGGTGCCCCACCCCATAGATCTGATCTTCAGAGAGGGCCCAGGAGTGCTTGTACAATCCAGGGAGGTCACGACCCGACCTTTGGGAACAAAGGAGAAAGCTTGCAGCAGCCTTTGCCCACCCGCTGGGGCTGATGGGAGTTGAAGTCCGAGGCGCCTGGAGGGGCAGAGGGTGGGCTCGCAGGCTCCTCTTCCTCGCGCAGCCGGCCAACCTTTGCCGGCTGTGTCGCAACAGCCGCCACCGCGGAAAAAGACGAGGGTGGCGCCCCAGCAGTTGCCACCAGGGGGCATCGCAGCTCCAGATGCTACAGTGGTGGGTGCGGGGGGGGGGAGAAACGGGGGGGCGGGTCAATGATGTTCCCGGGCGGGTCAATGATGTTCCTTCCAACCCGCCCGCGCACCAAACTCTCTCAAATTCAAAAGAAGGGCGGCGGGGGGGGGGGGGAATGCAGCACGGCAGAGACGGTTTGTGGCTTTTTCAACTTTATAAGGCACAGTATGGATTGTGACCCGCGCCCATCATTCGGGGAAAAATCGTCAGCACATTTCCTTAACTAGACATCTGATGCGCAGGTGTCGTGATCGCAAAAACAAAACCTCAGAGCGGTTTACAAAAAGATGAAGCAATAAAATCGAGAAATTTTTACAGCGTTGCTTTAAAACAGATGAAAAGTTAAAATATTAGATTAAATCCCCCAGCAACTTCCATCTGGGTGGACTTGAGTAAACATTACTCTTCTCAGCAGCTGCCCAGCGGAATAGTGATATCAATAGGCAGGAAGTTCCAAATTTACGTAAATTGGACGTAAATTTAGGTCAACTCGCTCCCCGCGCCCGCCTCTCGAGCGCGCGCCCCCGTGCCTCCTTGGCTGCGCGTGCACGCCGCTCCCCCCCCCTCGGGCCACGTGGAGTTTGTGTCTTTCCCCGGGAAGCGGCGCCACGTGACCCGCGCGTCAGCTGACCCAACATGGCTGGGAGCGGAGCGAGATCGGCCGCCGCCGAGGAAGGCGCCCCCTCGCGCGCCGCCTGAGCCCCGCGCCCAGGCCAGGTGAGGCTGCCCCGCCGCCCCTGCTCGGCCCCGAGCCTCGCCCAGCAGCGCTCCCCGCCAGGGAAGCGGGGCAGGCGGGCCTCTGAACATGTGCAGAGTGCCTTGCTCGCTGCCGGAGGTAGGGCGGGCGCGCCCGGCGGCGAAGGGCCGGGGAGGGAAGGACCCGGGAGGGTCCGCCGCTGCCGCGACCCCGGAGCTGAGGGAGGTTGGAGGAGGGGGCCGCCCCACGCCCGGAGTCCGGGCTGGGACCCTCAGCTCGTTTCCCGCGTGGTCCTGGCAGCCCGGTCGCCCGAGCATGTGCAGAGTGGATTTCCCCTTTCCGCGGGGCAGCGCCGGCGAAGCGCTCTGTCAGCTGACAGTTTGCAGCGCGCGAGGCGCGTGACGCGAGGCAGCCTCGGGCTGGGCGCTTCCTCAGTTCTTGGAAATTAATCGTCAAGGAGCTGGTGACTTTCTCCGGGGTGGGTGGGATCCCTTGGCCTCGTGGGAAGGGGGGAGCGAGGTGGGCCTCTGGTTTGATCCTGTCTCTGAGCTCTGCTTGGGCTCAGCTGCCCCTTGTTTGCACGCAGAAGCTCCCAGGCTCAGTCCCTGGCAGCAAATCCAGGAAGGGCAGGGAATGGCCCTGGCCTGAAATCCTGCAGAGCTGCTGCCAGTCAGAGCAGGCAGTCCTGAGCTAGATGGACTCATTTATGTGTAGGTCTCTTATGAGACTGGGCAGCCGCTGTTTGGTGAATGGACCAACATGGTCGGAGCTGGTATCTGGCGGCTCTCTTCCATAGAACCACAGAACTTTTAGAGTTCGGAGGGGCCCAAGGGATCATCCAGCCCAACCCTTTGTTCAAATGGGGCTTGGGTTCAACAGGCGGCCCACAGGCATTCCAACTTTGCCACAGGCCTCTGGCTGTGAGCCGGGATAGCTCAGAGGGCAGAGCATGAGACTCCCAATCTCAGTCAGGGTTGTGGGTTTGAGCATTGCAGGGGGTTGGACTAGATGCCCCTTGTGGTCCCTCCCAATTCTCTGATTCTAGCCATCCACCCCTTCCACAGACGTTCTATGTTCAGCCCCAGTGATCTGTGGCTCTTTGTGTCTCCCCCTCCCCAGGGAATGCTGCTGTGCTGCCCCCCAGGATGGACACCCTCCTTAGGCAGGTGGAGAAGGACTTGGGCATTGACCGCAGCCAGCTGGCAGCTGCCACGGGGAGCTCCCACGTCATCGCTCTGGTGCCCACCAAGTGGCTGGCCGGCCTGAAGGAGCGGGGGGTGCTGCCCAGCCTGTGCCCGCACCCCGAAGGGCTCAGCGATGTGGAGGTGCGCACCTGCCTCCAGCACTCGGTGCAGAAGCTGCCGTCCGGCTGGACCAGGGTGGAGATCCACGGCCTGAGGAAGGACCGGCTGCGCTACGGGCTGGCTGTGGTGCCTGGCGACCCGAAGGAGCCCCCGGAGACGCTCCATGGCTTCATGCGCCATGTGGCTTCTCAGAACTACCGGAACCTGTGGAGCCAGGCTCACCGCCTTTACGTCCGCCCGTACTGCCACGCGACCACCCCGCCCACGGCCCCTGCCCTGGAGGTGCTCTGTGGGGCCCTCCAGAGGCTCTACGGCTGCCCCATCGTCCCCGTGGGCAGGGGCGCCCCCTCCTGCACCTCCCCGGCCAAAGAGGGCGGTTGCTCGCCCGGCAGGTGCCCTCGTCTGCGCTGCCCCAGCATCCTCCCGGCGGAGGCGCTGCTGGAGTCCCCGGAGATGTTGTACGTGGTCTTCCCCTACGTCCAGTTCTGCCTCCACGACATCGTGACCTTCAGCCCGGCCAAGCTGACCAACAGCCATGCCAAGCTCCTCTTCATCCTCTTCCAGGTCCTGCAGGCCATGGAGGCCTGCCACCGGGCAGGGCTGGCGTGCGGGGCCTTCTCCTTGCACGACGTGGCCGTGGACGAGAAGCTGTGCGCCCGGCTCAGGGTCCAGCTCCGGGACTACGAGCGGGACGAGGAGGAGGAGGAGGTGGCGGCAGAAGCGGAGGCGGGTACTGCAGGGAGGGACCCGCTGGCGGACGGAGGCGGCATCCCTGCAGCGCCTGGGAAGGGCCTTGGGCAGCTGGTGCTGGACTGGGTGCACGGGCGCCTCAGCAACTTTGACTACCTCCTGCACCTGAACCGCTTGGCCGGCCGCCGGGCGGGTGACCCCAACTACCACCCGGTCCTGCCCTGGGTGGTGGACTTCAGCACCCGCAACGGCCGCTTCCGGGACCTTCGGAAGTCGAAGTTCCGCCTCAACAAGGGCGACAAACAGCTGGACTTCACCTACGAGATGACCAAGCAGGCCTTTGTGGCCGGGGGCGGCCTGGGCGGGGAGCAGCCCCACGTGCCCCACCACATCTCCGACGTCCTCTCTGACATCACCTACTACGTCTACACCGCCCGGCGGACGCCCCGGGCCGTGCTGTGCTCCCATGTGCGCTCCCAGTGGGAGCCCAACGAGTACCCGGCCAGCATGGAGCGCATGCAGGGCTGGACGCCGGACGAGTGCATCCCCGAGTTCTACTCGGACCCCGCCATCTTCCGCTCCATCCACCCGGACATGCCGGACCTGGAGGTGCCGGCCTGGTGCGCCTGCCGCGAGGAGTTTGTGGCGGCCCACCGGGCGCTGCTGGAGAGCTGGGAGGTCTCCCAGGACCTCCACCACTGGATCGACCTCACCTTCGGCTACAAGCTGCTGGGCAAGGAGGCCGTCAAGGAGAAGAACGTCTGCCTGCACCTGGTGGACGGCCACACCCACCTGGCCAGCTACGGGGTGGTGCCTCTCTTTGACCAGCCCCACCCCCGGCGCCTGGCGGGGGGCTGCGCCCTCCCTTCCCCCGAAGCCCCGCCCATCACCAGGCCCCTCATCCCACCTGTGCAGGAGACGAGAGTCCTGGAAGGGGGCGCCCCCAAGGGCCAGGCCAGCAATGGGGCCGGCGGGCCGGTCGTGGAAGCGGCGCCATGCGAAGGCGTGTGGGCTGGAGGTCGGTTCACGGTGGCGGAGGAGGAGGTGGAGCAGGGGGCGGAGGCGCTGGAGGCCCTCCCTGTGGGGGCAGGCCGGGCCACGGAGCTGCCCGGTCCCCCCGCCCCGCCCCCGGGGATCCCCGCAGAGGGCAAGCACCTCGGCCGCAGCAGGACCAAGGCGGGGGCTCCTCCTGCGGAAGGGCTAGAGGCCAAGATCGTCGTTCCCGAGGGCTGCAACTTCCTGCAGGCCTTGGAGGAGCTGGAGAAGCTGGACGCCTTCCTCCTGAAGGGGCTGCACGCCCAGGTGGGCCGGCCGGAGCAGCGCCAGCCTCGCTTGCCCCCGGGGCCCTCGGACGTCTTCCAGAGAGACATGCAGGCCCTGGGGGTTGTGGTGGCCGAGATCGTCTTTGCCCCGAAGCTGCGGGCGCTGGAGCCCGGGGCGGCCCTGGCAGAGCGCTTCCAGGCGGCTCGGAGGCTGTGCCGCCAGCACCCCAAGGACATCCCAGCTCCTCTGCAGCACCTGCTGGATACGCTGCTGCGGCTGAGGGTGGCGGATGGGCAGCTCGCCAGGGCGGGGTGGGGGCCGCTCCTGTTTGACTACCCCCCTGTCTGGCAGGGCCTCCCTCCGCCCTGCCCCTGGCAGCTGCGGAGCTCCTTCAGCGCGGTCCTGCCCTTCCCCGCCTACTTCCCGGCTCTGCACCGCTTCATCTCCACCTACCTGTCTCGCCAGGCGGAGGCCGAGGGCCGGGAGCTGGTGTTCCAGCTGTGGCGGCAGCTGGAGGCCGTCCTGAGCAGCATCACCCCCGAGGGCCTGGAGATCCTGCTGCCCTTCGTCCTGGCGCTGCTGTCCGGGGAGCGCACGGCTGTCCACGCCGCCTGGTACCTCTTTGAGCCCATCGCCAGGGCCCTGGGTCCCCGCAACGCCCACAAGTACCTGCTGAAGCTGCTGGTGGGGGCCTACGAAAACCCCCGCTGCCTCCATGGGCGATTCTACCTGTACACCGACTGCTTCGTGGCGCAGCTGATGGCGCGGCTGGGCCTGCAGCTCTTCCTCTCCGCCCTCCTGCCCCACATCCTGCAGGTGCTGGTGGGGTCCGAGGGGGCCGCCCCGGAGGAGAACAAGGCCCTGCTGGGGGTGACGGAGGAGGAGGAGGACGATGAGAGCGGAGGGGGCAGTCCCGGGCCCTGCTCCTTTGGGGAGGAGGCCAAGGCGGAGGCGGAGAGGGACTCGGCCCTGCAGCTGCTGGGCTACATGTCCGGGGTCAGCCTGCACGACCAGGCTGACCTGCCTGAGAGTGAGGACTTCCAGAACGGGCTCTACGTGGCCGAGGCTCTGCGAGGCACGGAGGAGGAGGAGGAAGAGGCTGCGGCAGCCGAGGAATCCCTCAGCCTGGGCCGCCTGAGCGACAAGAGCAGCGCCAGCGAGGTCTCCCTGGGGGAGGACCGGTCGGCTGCCGACGGGGAGTCCCAGAAGGACAAAGGGAGCCTCAAGTCCCTTGACAGCAGCCAGGACCTGAAGCACAGTGAGGAGGAAGAGGAGGAAGAGCAGGAGGAGGAGCAGCCGCAGGTGGAGGAAGAGGAGGGCCAGCAGGATGGGGAGGAAGAGCGCGATGACGCCACCACCGTGGTCGCGGAGGAGCTGACGCTCTCCTTGGGACTCAGCGCCTCGGTGGAAGCCAGCCTGGCAGAGGACGATGATGGCGAGGAGGAGGAGGAGGTGGAGGAGGAGGACCAGGTCGGACGGGGCTTGTTGGACCAGGAGGGGGACAAGGAGAGGAGCATTCTGCTGGGTGAGCCAAGGCTCCTTCCGGGGGTGGGCGGGGAGGGGGGCCTAGTCATTCATTCATTGATTTAAAAAATTGTACACCGCTGTATCATAGTGGATTAGAGTAATATAAGTTATAAGCAAAAGAAGAATTCAAAGCAAACACCAGCAGGGACTGGGGAGGTGCTGGGAGGCCAGGCTGCGCCCGCAAAGGGAGCTCCCTTGGGTGTGGGCAGGGTGCCGCCTAACCGCCCGCTCCCGCCCTCTCTTGTCTCCCAGACACAGCCTGCAAGATGGTGAGGTGGCTCTCACCCAAGCTTGGCCCCACCACCACCTCCCGCTACGTGGCCAGGAACCTCCTCCGACTCCTGACGTCTTGCTACATCGGTAATGCTCGCCTGTGGGGTTATGGGGCGGGGGGGGGTGGGAAAGGAGGAGGCTGCTTTTCATGGGTCTGGGGGAGGCCTTCTGTTGGAACCACCTTTGCCAGCCTGGTGCCCAAGTGGGGCGGGTGGGCAGTTGGGGTCTAGAGTGAGTTTAGCCTGCAGAAGAGGAGATAGGAGAGCCATCTTCCACTGTCTCGAGGGCTGTCACATGGAAGGAGGCGCAAGGTTGCTTTCTCCCCTGGAGGGCAGGACCTGAACAAACAGACTCATATTGCAAGAAAGGAGAGTCCAACTAAAAACTTTCTGAGGGTAAGAGCTGTTCAAAGTGGAACAGATTCCCTCTGAAAGTGGTGGACTTGTCTTCACTGGGCTCCAGTTTTCCATCGGCTGCAGCAGCTGGCATGGGCAACCTGGTCAGGGACAAGGACAGGTGCTAGAGCCCAGCAGCCCCACAAGCATTCCCCAGACGGTAGGACTTGAACCAGGGGCATTGAGGGTCTGAGATGCCCCGGGGTTTGTGTGTGTGGACTCTCCTTCACCAGGGGTGTGTAAGCAGTGGCTGAACGGCCGCCTTTCAGGGCTGCTGTCGCAATCGGATATCCTGCCTTGGGAGCGGGTTGGGTTGGATGACCTTTGAGGGTGCCCCCCCCCACATTCCCTCTCTGCTCTTTCTCCTTCTGCAGGTCCTGGCAGGCAGCAGTTTGTGGCCGGGGCTGAGGAGAGCAGCCCTCTGAGCTCCGGGAACATCTACCAGAAGCGGCTGCTGGTGGGGGATGTGGTGTCCGAGCCGGTGCTGACCTGCCTCGTCCACCTAGCACACCTGTATGGGGAGCCCGTCCTCACCTACCTGTACCTGCCCTATATCAGCTACCTGGTCAGTGTCTCTATCTGAGGGTGACTTTCAGGGCTCCAGGCATGTCTGTGGGGCCCCTCCACTTTCCCTCTCTCTTCATCTTCCTTGGAGCAAAGTTCCGATGGCCATCTGCCAGGGATTCTTTACCTGAGATTCCTGCATCGCAGGGGGTTGGACTAGATGACCTTTGGGGGTCCCTTCCAGCTCCAGGATGCTCTGATTCCATCTTGCCTTCTCCTACACCATTGCCATATGCTGGTTCAGACCCCGGGCCCACCTGGCACAGTCTTGTCCAGGCTGACTGGCAGCAATGGCTCTCCAGGGTTTCGGGCAGGGAGTGTCCCTGGGGCTGCCACTGGGGATTGAAGCTGGGACCTTCTGCATGCCAAGCAGGTGTTCTGCGCTACTGGGCCCTTACCCGGGGCTCTCTCTCATATCCTTCCACTCCAGCACCATTCTTGGGCAGCCTGAGCAGCTTGCTGCAGGGAACACAGGATTCTGTTCAAGATTTCAGCAGCCAGAGAAGCTTAGCTTTAAAAACAAAGCAGCCCAAGCAGACTCGCCTTCCCAAGTTTCTAGCCCTCATGGCTTTAGGGAGAAGCTGAAATGTGCCTGAGCAGTGCCTGGCGAACTCCCAGAGGGCGGGGGGAATGAGCAGAGGAGGGGCCAGCGGGACGGAAGATTGGGCAAATATATGCCAACTAAAATCCTAGATGTTGCCCCCCCTTCCAAGGAGGGAGTTTGCCTTGCTTTGTGTCCTGGGGGGGCGGTGGCAGCTCAGGGAGGAATTTCTTTTATTATTATTATCATCTCAAAACCAAAAAAATTTTACAAACATCAAATTCGAAATCCATATTCATTTTCTAACATAAGCCTATTACAGAGATTACCTAAATTAAAATATATCGAATTGCTCTATTCTTCCCTTTGCTATATGTAAATACAAAGCAATTAACAAATTATATTATAAATTATATTATAGGTTCCCATATACCTTCCACTCCCCTTCACCCATGTGTGATCTCAATATTTTACTTCATCCATCTTGTTGTGTTGTTATAATTTAATAATTATTTAATTGATTCTATTATTATTTTCTTGCTTACTCCTGCACGTTTTAAACGTTCTCTATTAATATTTCATTTTTTTTAAAAAAAAATAATATTTATTAAAGTTTCAAAGGAAAAAAGAATCACATTAATAAAAAAAAAATTAACAATAACAAGGAAAAATACAAAGTAGAAAAAAAAGAAAAAGTTAAAAACAATTCCATCTTTTCCTCACTTCTTTTACGTTTACTTGTTTCCCGGACCTCCTCATACCTCCCTCTTTTGTATTCCAATTCAATTTGTTAATCCAACAATTCCTTTCCTGCCTTTTTAATCCTAATCCTTAATCTTGATATATTGTAACATTAGATTTTTACATATTAAAAACCAATTTTTCCATATACTTTTGTACCTATATAGCTAGAAGCCACTTAACTTCAATCCAACATCATTCTAACATTCATTAATTTTGCAATATTTCTGTAAATAGTCTTTAAATTTCTTCCAATCTTCTTCCACCGACTCTTCTCCCTGGTCACGGATTCTGCCAGTCATTTCTGCCAATTCCATATAGTCCATTAATTTCATCTGCCATTCCTCCAGTGTGGGTAAATCTTGTGTCTTCCAATACTTTGCAATGAGTATTCTTGCTGCTGTTGTAGCATACATAAAGAAAGTTCTGTCCTTTTAACACCGATTGGCCGACTATGCCCAGGAGAAAGGCCTCTGGTTTCTTCAAGAAGGTATATTTAAATACCTTTTTAGTTCATTATATATCATCTCCCAGAAAGCCTTAATCTTTGGGCACGTCCACCAAAGGTGAAAAATGTACCTTCAGTTTCTTTACATTTCCAACATTTATTATCAGGCACATGATAGATTTTTGCGAGCTTGACTGGGGTTATGTACCACCTGTATATCATTTTCATAATATTTTCTCTTAAGGCATTACATGCCGTAAATTTCATACCTGTGGTCCACAACTGTTCCCAGTCAGCAAACATAATATTATGTCCAACATCTTGTGCCCATTTAATCATAGCAGATTTCACCGTTTCATCCTGAGTATTCCATTTCAACAGCAAGTTATACATCTTTGACAAAATTTTTGTTTTGGGTTCTAACAATTCTGTTTCTAATTTGGATCTTTCCACCTGGAAGCCAATTTTCCTGTCCAATTTAAATGCCTCCATTATCTGATAATAATGAAGCCAATCTCGCACTTTGTTTTTTGGTTTTTCAAAACTCTGCAGTTTCAATCTATCTCCATCTTGTTCCAAAATTTCCCAATATTTCGGCCATTTGACCTCCATATTGAGCTTTTTCAAAGCTTTCGCTTCCATCGGTGACAGCCACCTTGGGGTTTTATTTTCCAATAAATCCTTATATCTTATCCAAACATTAAACAATGCTTTCCTGACAATATGGTTTTTAAATGCTTTATGTGCTTTGACCTTATCATACCACAGATATGCATGCCATCCAAATACATTATTGAAACCTTCCAAATCCAAAATGTCAGTGTTTTCCAGAAGCAGCCATTCTTTCAACCAGCAAAAAGCTGCTGATTCATAATAAAGTTTGAGGTCTGGCAGGGCAAATCCACCTCTTTCCTTTGCACCTGTTAGTATTTTAAATTTTATTCTGGGCTTCTTGCCCTGCCAGACAAATCTAGAAATATCTCTCTGCCACCTCTTGAAACAGTCCATTTTGTCCACAATTTGCAATGTTTGAAACAAAAACAACATTCTAGGCAATACATTCATTTTAACCGCAGCAATACGGCCCAGCAGTGAAAGCTTCAAATTTGACCAAATTTCTAAATCTTTTTCACTTCAGCCCAACATTTTTCATAATTATCTTTAAATAAGTTCCCATTTTTGCTGTCAAATTGATCCCCAAGTATTTAACTTTCTTAACCACTGTTAAACCTGTCTCATTCTGAAACCTCTCTCTCTGTTGGTGTTAAATTTTTCTCTAAAACCTTAGTTTTTACCTTATTCAATTTAAATCCTGTGACTTGACCAAATTCTTGAATCAATTCTAAAACCCTTTTGGTACTAGATTCTGGCTCCTGTAACGTCAGTACTAAGTCATCTGCAAATGCTCTCAATTTGTACTGTTTAGCTCTGACTATTAATATTTCAATTCCGGAACCATATTTTTTCAGGGAGGAGTTTTGTTTCCTCCCCGGCAGCTGCTCTGAAAGGAGAAGCTGACTCACGCTCAGCCTCAGGGGCTCTGAATGCCTGCTGCACACTCACTTGTTCTCTCTCTCTGTGCGGAGGTCACACACTGTATTGGGGGACACTTCCCCATTTTAAATCTTTCCCAACATGGAGGGTTGTATTCAGGAAAGTCAGGGGAGGGCGCAGCCCCTTCGCTGGGTGGGAGGAGGAGGAGGAGGCGGCCTCTGGGAAGAGCTGCGCTGAGCCTCACAGCCGTGATGTCCACTTGGCAAGGCTGCCAAGGCAGGCAGGGCCTGCCCAAGTCAGTTTAGCACCGAGGGTGAACCACAAAACGGCACCCCCTTCCACTAGGGGCAAAGGGGTGGGTGAAGAGCTACATTAGGAACAAGAGGGGAACCAACCGGACGGTTGAAGTGGGAATCCAAGGGCGCTGAATCATGCCAGGAGACCCCTGGGGGCGACTACTCGGGAGGTGGCAGATCCAGCCTCCAAGCAGCGCACCACAGCCATTGCGGCCACAGAGGCAGCAGCAGCAGGTGATGCATTCCTTGGAGACTGGATCTGCTGCCGCTGTGGATCCTGCCATCTGAGGCAGTCACCTCAGCTTGCTCATGAGTGGGCCGGCCCTGAAGGCAGGGGTGCAAATGAGGCCATGGTCTGTTTCATGGAGGAGAAAGCTATCCATGGTTGCTTGAGTACCAGGTGCTGGAAAGCACAGGAGGTGAGACGGCTCTTGTGTATGGATTCTGCTTGCAGGCTTCCCCTGGGGGTTGTACTAGATGACCCTGGAGTCCTTTCCAATTCTACCACTCTATGATTTTTCTCAAGTGCCGTAGGAAAGGCAGTGGTGACTCTCAAGGATTTTAAGGTGGGGGTTGTCCCCAGCCCTACCTCCTGGGGATTGACCTGAGGACCTTCTGCATGCCAAGCAGGTAGTCTGCCGCTGACCCACGTGGGACCTCTTTTCCCTGTTCCAGGTGGCTCCTGGGGGCGGAGCAGGCGTCGTCCGTCTGAACAGCCGCAAGGAGGCTGGGCTCCTGGCCGCCATGACGCTCACCCGCAAGATCGTTGTCTACCTCTCGGACACCACCCTCATGGATATCCTGCCCAAAATCAGCCAGGAGGTCCTCCTGCCTGTCCTGGGCTTCCTCACCTCGGCCACCATCAGGTGACGTATTGCCATTAGGGCAGTGAGAGGCTGGGGCGAGAGCCCCCCTCTGGCATGGAGCAGGAGGGACCAGTCCCAGGCATCCCTCTCTGGCCACGAGGGCCTCCGCTCTGGAGGCGCTGGCTGGGGGAACCCAGATCCCTTGTGGGGGAGACTGGGTGGGGTGTGCTGGGGTGTCTCTCTTGGGCACCCTTCTTGGCTGACGCCCCACCCTCCCCTCCAGCTTCCCCAGCGGGGCCCAGGCCCGCGTCGGCTTGTGCCTCAAGACCATCGGCCTCGTGGCGCTGGTTTGCTTGCGGATCGGGTCGGAGATGGTACAGCAGCACCTCAGCCAGACGCTCCGGACGTTCTTCAAGACGTTTTCGCTGCTGGAGCAGGTGAGTCGGGAAGGGAGGGCAGAAGGTCGGGGAGCTTTTTCGGCCTCTGCTGATTGGGGGGGGGAGGGGAGAGAAGGACCCCTGGCTCTGGCAAGACTTGAACTCGTGGCACGTGGAAGTGGGGTGGAAGGGGTTCTTTCTCATAAGAGGCATCAGGTCAACCCAGGAGACGTTTCTCAGGCCACAAACGTCCAGATCTTTCCTCTGCAGAGCCAAAATGGTCTTATTCGCTGTATGGATCATATCTAGGGAGCTTGGTGGCAGAGGTTGGGGAGAAACAAACACTGGGTTCCAGTTTCTACAATGCTGTCATGGGATCCCTTCCAACTCTACAGTTCTATGAAAAGTGCAGGCAGGGGGGAAATGGCCTCTTCCAAAATGCAGTGCTGTTCTCAGGGCGGCTGTTGGCGCTGGGTGGGAATCCTCTCCCAGAGGTGGGTGCCAGCAAGGCGGAGGTTTGTCTGACTGGTTCCCTCCTCCTCCTCCTCCTCCTCCCCCTCCCCCCCCCCACGCAGGGTGTGACACAGGAGCCACCTGCCCTGCCGACGAGGCTGCTGCCCCCGGACCCGTCTGCTGTGTTGGAGCTGCAGAAGGTTTTCAGCCTAGAGATGGCTTACATCACCTTTGTCCCCTTCTCCTGCCTGCTAGGTATGGCGTGTGGCTTGTCTCTTCTCCCCTGCTCTCTCCCGATCCGTGTCTTTCTTTTGTGCTCTTGCAGACACATGCATGCGCATACACTCTGCACCTTCTCAAATGGCTCTGGGTGTGAGTCTCGGGCAGCAGACACAACAGCGAGTCTTGAGGCACCTTGAAGATCGGCCCAGCCTGTGCCCACCTGGTGCCCTCCAGCTGTATTGGGCTGCAGGGACTGGGGTGGCCAAGTTGCCCAAAACATTGGGAGGGTGGCAGGCTGGCAAAGCAGAAAGGTATAAGTGTGTGTTTTTTCCCATCTCCTTGTGATGACCTGAAGGCCCCTAAGGAACATCCATTCTTCTTTTTGGACCCTGGACATCTTGAGGCAGTGAGTTCCACAGGTTAATTTGCAGCAGTTTGAATAAACTTTTTTATTCTAGAACTGCATAGGAGAGGGAGAAAAACGTCTCCCTGCTTCCTGTCTCCAACCTGTGCACAATTTTTATAAATCCCTCCGACTGTTTCTCTCCCTCCTTTTTTAAAACTTGACAAGCCCCGGACTCTGTTGCCTTTGCGGCTCCTTGACCCCATTGCGCTTGGTGAGGAGAGGCCTTGGAGCTCCCTGGCCTTGCGCGGGGCCTGGATCCATAGCCAGAGCTCTCCCCCCTTCCTCCCTTCTCTGCAGGCGACGTCATCCACACCCTCGTCCCCAACCACGCGCTGGTCGGCCGGCTGGCCGGACTCTACCTGGAGAGCATCAACCCCCGAGGCCTGGCTTCCCAGAGCCAGGATGCGGCCGCGCCAGGCCCAGGTTCCTTGGAGCAAAGCGCCCTGGGCGCGGACCCCTCCTCCGGCCCCTGCGAGGACACCCACTCTGGGACCTTTGGGAGCGTACTGGTGGGCAACCGGATCCAGGTCCCCACGGAGGCCCAGCAAGAGGCCTCGGGGAGCCCCGGCAGCTTCTGCCCCACGGCGGGGAGCCGGGAGGAGGGGGAGGCGCTGAAGCAGGAGCTGCACCGCAGCGCCCACCACCTCTGCGGCAACTGGCTGGCCTACTGGCAGTACGAGATCGGGGTGAGCCAGCACGACGCCCGCTTCCACTTCCACCAGATCAAGCTGCAGAGCTTTGTGGGCCACGCGGGGGCCATCAAGTGCCTGGCTCCCCTGGGCGGGGAGGACTTCTTCCTCAGCGGCAGCAAGGACAAGACGGTGCGCCTCTGGCCCCTCTACAACCGGGGGGACGGCACCCGCGAGGAGGAGCCCCGCCTGACCTACGGGCAGCACAAGAAGTCGGTCTTCTACGTCGGCGCCCTGGAGGCCCCCCAGCACGTGGTCAGCTGCGACGGCACCGTCCACATCTGGGACCCCTTCACTGGTGAGGCGGGGAGAGGGGGCTTGGCCGGGCCGCAGGAGTGTGGCCCCCTGTGGCAGGGTGGTGTAATAATAAAAATAAAAATAATAAATTTTACAGTGGTGCCTCGCAAGACGAAATTAATCCGTTCCGCGAGTCTCTTCGTCTAGCGGTTTTTTCGTCTTGCGAAGCAACCCTATTAGCGGCTTAGCGGCTTAGCGCTATTAGCGGTTTAGCGGCTATTAAAGGCTTAGCGGCTTAGCGGATTAGCTGCTAAAAGGCTATTAAAGGCTTAGCGGCTTAGAAAAAGGGGGGGGAAGCGAAAAAAAAATCTCAAGACTCACAAAACATTTTCGTCTTGCGAAGCAAGCCCATAGGGAAAATCGTCCTGCGAAGCGCATTAAAAACGGAAAACCCTTTCGTCTAGCGGGTTTTCCGTCTTGCGAGGCATTCGTCTTGCGGGGCACCACTGTATTTATACCCCACCCTCCCCGGCCAGAGCCAGGCTCAGGGTGGCTAACACCAGTAAAATTACAGTAAATACATAATTGGGGGGGGGGGAGAACAAAACAAAACCCCCCCAATTTAAAATGCAGCCCCGTTTTAAAAGTAGCCGATAGATCAAAACCATAAGGGGAGGGAAACATAAGGGTCAGACTGAGTCCAAACCAAAGGCCAGGCGGAACAGCTCTGTCTTGCAGGCCCTGCGGAAAGATGTCAAGTCCCGCAGGGCCCTGGTCTCATGAGACACAGCGTTCCACCAAGTTGGGGCCAGTACAGTGGTGCCTCTGGTTATGAACTTAATTCGTTCTGGAGGTCTGTTCTGAACCTGAAACTGTTCTTAACCTGAGGTACCTTAGCTAATGGGGCCTCCCGCTGCCGCCACATGATTTCTGTTCTCATCCTGAAGCAAAGTACTTAACCTGAGGTACTATTTCTGGGTTAGTGGAGTCTTTAACCTGAAGCGTCTGTAACCTGAGGTACCACTGTACTGAAAAGGCCCTGGCCCTAGTTGAGGGAAAGCGGGGCTTGGAGCCTCTTCGGAATACCTCACCTGGTGACGCACTTGTGCCAGGAGGAAAACACGCCCGAGGTGGGAGCCAGCTGCCCCTTTCGCCCCCTCTGGACAGGCCGTCTCTCTCTTGCAGGCAAAGTCGTCCGCACGTTTGAGGCACCTGACTGCAAAGTGCCCATCACGGCGGTGAGTGCCATGCCACCTCCCTACAGCAGCATCAGCCTGGCCAGCGCCGACTCGGTCCTGCGCTTCATCGACCACCGGAAGCCGGGACTCCAGGTACTCTGAGGGTTTGTTGCGCCCGGGGCTGCTTTAGTTGGCGGAGGTGGGGGACATTTCCCACTCCCCATTGGGCGTGACTGTGAAGAGGAGGCCGTAGCCTTGGGACAGAGCACCCGCCCTGGTCCAGCTTCCCACTGGAAAAGGGTCTGAGAGCAGGCAATGGTTTTCTCTTCCACAGACACCAGGGAGCCAATACAGGCAACTCCCAATTTATGCAGCGGTTACGTTCCAAGGAATCGCATGTTCATGTGAAATTGTGTATGTTTGAAGCACCATTGGAAAAGCCTGCCAGCACCCTGTTCCACCCCTTTTGATGATTAATGAATTTTATTATTACGGTCACAGACCAGTTCCGGGTCACTTACAATATCAGGAAAATCATAAAACACAACAGGAATACATTGAATTGCGTATAACAGACACAATTCAGATAGAGCGGCAGTTAAAAAAAATAATTAAATCTTGATCCCTAAAACATAACCTAAAATTATCATTTAAAACCTTAATCATTTTTGTAGTACAGCTTTTCCCCTAAGTTTTATGGCAGTCCCCCTTTTGATGATGTTTTTGGGTCATTCCGAGCTTGGCGTGTTGCATGGATACATGTAAACGCGGTGTCATTGCCTGTACTGCCAGGACTGAGCTGGAGAGAGAAAGGCAGAAGGCGGCTTAGAAGAACAGCCTTGTCGAGTCCTCCAGTCCAACTCCCTGTAATGTCAGAATCATAACAGGAGCATCTCTGGCAGATGGCCAGCCAACTTGACGGGACATTCGGAAGAACGTCTTGGTGGTCAGAGCTGCTCAAAAACCTCCCGCGAAGGAGGGGGCACTACCTTCCAAGGGAGTCTGTCCCGCTGCCAAACAGCTCTTAGGAAGTTCTTTCTAATGTTCTGTCAGAATCTTTCTTGCCATTTGGTATCTGTTGGGTCAGCTCCTGCCCTCCAGAACAGCAGAAAGCAAGCTTGCGCCACCTTCCATGTGGCAGCCCTTCAGAGATTGGAAAATGGCTCTCATGTCACCTCTGAGTCTCTTTTCCGGGATCCCTCAGCCGCTTCCCTATGGGATCTGTCACTTGGAGACAAAACATCTGCTTTGCATGTAGGTCTCTGGTTCACTCCCAGCCTGCAGGAAAAGTGTCAGGTGATGGGAAAGACCCTCCCTTGCCTGAGGCCCTGGAGAGATGCTTCTAGTCAGAGCAAGCAGCACTGGACCAGATGGACAGAGAGTCTGGCCTGCAGCCAGGCAGTGCCCTGTGACGGTGGGCCTGGGGGCTGGAGGGGGCCTCACATTTATCTGGGAGTCATGAATTCTGACCCCAAGCGACAACTTTGGGAGTTGGGAGGCCGCCAGCTTGCAGGCAGGAGGTCCCCAATCCAGCCCCACACCAGTCCCCTCACTTACAAAGGGGGCCACGTGGCAGGTGCTGGGAGGGTCTCCCTTTCCCTGGAGGGCCAAAGGGAGAGAGCGCCTGACGTGGTTTTGAAGCAACTTCCCCTGGTCCTCTGAGGCAGAGCAGTGGCCTTGCAGGCAGAAGGTCTCGGGTCCAATCCCTGATGGCGGCATTGGAGAAATGCGGGGGGGGGGACCCCTGGAGAGCTGCTGCTGCTGCCAGTCAGAGCAGGTGACACCGAGGGAGAGTTGCCGCAGGTTCTGACTGGGAGAGGCTGCTTCTGACGCCCCTCTGCCTCCCCTCCTTCTGTGCCCCCAGCATGAATTCCGCCTGGCCTGTGGGGCCAACGCTGGCCTCGTCCGCTGCCTGGCAGTCAGCCCCAGTGGCCGGAGCGTGGTAGCAGGCTTCTCCTCCGGCTTCATGGCCCTGCTGGACACCCGGACAGGCCTCATCCTGAAGGTGTGGCCAGCGCACGAGGGAGACATCTTGCAGATCAAGGTAAGGGGCTGGGCTGGAGGGGTTCATTTGCATGTATCCCCCCCCTGCCTCGTTCGTCTCGAAGGCAAATTCGTTTACGATTGACCTTTCAAATGCTGGCTAAAACTAGGGACCATCCTGTCGTAAGAACCCAAGAAGAGCCTTCTGGTTCAGGCCCATCTAAGCAACCTCCTGTGGTCAGCCAAGTTTTTGAAATAAAAGCCAGGAATTAGGAGGTGTGGGAGGGCATCCCAGGCCCATGGGACCACCCTGGGGGCCCCAGATTGCCTCTCCTGGTCTGACCTAGATGCCTTTTCACTCTCGCTCAGAGGCCGGCTGCCCCCCTTTCCCCACTGCTGCCCAGCAGACAGCTGAAGATTCCCTTCTGTGGGTCCAAGGTATCGCCTGGTGCTCTTAGGCGCTGGGCTGAGGGACTCAGGTTAAGGGAGCGCAAGTAGCCAGGCTGAGGCCTGCTCTCTGTACAGGGAAATGCTCTGCATGGGGGGGGGGGTCCTCAGGCCCCATGCCCCAAGGCCCTTGCAGCTTCAGATCCAACACAGGGGCATCATTCGCTGTAGCCTTGTCTGCTCACGTGTCTCCAGTGCATTCCCAGATTGCACACTGGAGAAACCGGGGGATCTGGTATTGCAATGTTGTACACAGACAAACAAAAACCCCTGCCTCCAGCCTTCATGATTCCAGAGCGGAGGGCGGTCGCATGTGAGCAATACCTTGTGGAAGGCGTCCAGTTGTGGAGCGGTTTGTACTGTGTGGGTGTGGAAGTGGGGTTAGGGCCTTGGGGGTTTAACCGGTTGTCCCCTCTGTTGATCCTTCTCTGGGGGCCATTTCTGAGCTGGTGGGAGGAGGACAAAGGTCTTGTGTGCCAGAAGTGTGTGTGTGTGTGTGTGTGTGTGTGTGTGTGTTGCCGGTCCCTGCTTTCCCTCCTTAGCACTGGCCTGCTGCCCCCATCTGAATGGCTAACCCTTCTCCCTATTTGCCTGCTCCCTGGGCTGCCCTCCGTGTCCTTCACCTAGAGCCAAACAACCCAGCTGCTTGTGTTCCTCCGCTGACGGGAGGCCCTCGGCCACAAAGCCCCACTGACAGCTCCCAGGCACTGCTGCTGTCAGGACTGGGCTGCCAGTGCCGAAAGAGGCTGGCTGGGACCCATGCGCACACCCTCCTTCCTTGGCTAGGTGGGGCATCTGCATCCTGTGTGGCAGCAGGGCCCTGTGTGGGGCTACCTTTGAAGGGGACCCAGAAATTACAACTAACCCAGAATGCGGCAGGTAGACTGGTGACTGGGAGCGGCCGCCGAGACCACATAACACTTGTCTTGAAAGACCTACATTGGCTCCCAGTATATTTCCAAGCAGAATTTAAAGTGTTGGTGCTGACCTTTAAAGCCCTAAACGGCCTCGGTCCAGTATACCTGAAGGAGCGTCTCCACCTCCATCGTTCTTCCCTGGACACTGAGGTCCAGCACCGAGGCCATTCTGGCTGTTCCCTCCCTGCGAGAAGCCAAGTTACAGGGAACCAGGCAGAGGGCCTTTTCGGTAGTGGCACCCGCCCTGTGGAACGCCCTCCTAGCAGATGTCAAAGAGAACAACAACTACCAGACTTTTAGAAGACATCTGAAGGCAGCCCTGTTTAGGGAAGCTTTTAATGTTTAATAGGTTATTGTATTTTAGTGTTTTGTTGGAAGCCGCCCAGAGTGGCTGGGGAAACCCAGCCAGATGGGCTGGGTATAAATAATAAATTATTATTATTATTATTATTATTATTATTATTATTATTATTTATTAGGCAGGCTGCCTTGGGTGGCAGACGCTGAAGGCGGTATCCCACAGGCGCCCTGCTGCCTCTGCTGCCAGCGGCACTGGATTCTGGCAGAATGTTGCCAAAATCTCCCGTGATCTTGCCGGAGACTGCTGCTGCTGCAGGCAAGGGCGGCTTGGGCGGCCGCATGTTCTGGCTTTGCCTCAGGCGGCAAAATGGGATGTGCAACCCCTGTGAGGCAGCCCCCTGGTCCTTCGCAACCGATTCTGCATTGGGAGCGGTGGCCTTTGGGAAGGCCCTCCCCACCAGCTCTGCGGAGGCAGTGAGATGCCAGCGGCCGGTTCAGGTTTTGCCACACTTGCTGGAGAGCACGCTGAGAACGGTGGAGAAGCTGGCACCACTGGAGTCCTCCATGGGTGGGGGGTGGTGAGTCCCTCAGTTAGTGCTGGGGCTGAATACTAGCCAGGGCTCCTGCCTGGGGCACAGGAAGTGAAATTATTTATGTCATAAAATTCATTCACCGCTTGATTGTTAAAAAAGAAAGAAAAGCAAATCATGAAAAATCTGCAAGTTCTTTAAAACATACAGAAACCTAAAATACTAAAACGGATTAAAATTACCACAACTTTCTGGGCCATTTTGTCTGAACGTGAATGTTTCGTGCTGGAAAGAGTAGAGTGCAGGTGTCTGCCTCATATCCATAGGCAGGGAGTTACAAAGGTTAGGTCCCACCACACTCAAAGGTTGAGTTCTGAGCAAATGTGGGACGGGTGTTATATGTGGCCAGTTGTGGCAATGGAAGAAGTCGAGTGGGCATATGGAGGGTAAGGTGATCTTGCTGGGTAAGGAAGAGTGCCTTGAGGCATGTGCAAAGTGCCTTTCCCCTGCCACTTTGTAAAGCAGGATTCAGTGGTGGGGTGCATCTCCCCTTCGCATCAAAGGACTGCTGCCCTCCACGTTCTGGGTGGGGTTCCTGGGTGTGGGCCGAGATGCCCCTGAGCTGACGGGTGATGTTTCCCCCACAGGCCACGGAGGGCAATGTGCTGATCAGCTCCTCCTCCGACCACTCCTTAGCCATCTGGAAGGAGCTGGAGCCGAAGCCCCTGCACACCTACAAGCCGGCCTCCTCGGAGCCCATCCACACCTTCGACCTCTACGGCAACGAGGTGGTGGCCGGGACCGTGGCCAACAGGATCAGCGTCTACGCCCTGCAGGAGGCGCTGCCCCCCAGTGTCACCAAGCTCAGCTCCGAGAACTTCCGGGGCACCCTCACCAGCCTGGCTGTCCTGCCCACCAAGTGCCAGCTCCTGCTGGGCTCCGACAACGGCACCGTCCGGCTCCTGGCGTAGCCCCGGCTCCCGTGACACGCACCTCTCCTCCCTTCTGGGGACGGGGGCAGAGCCCCTTTGTGGGGGGACTGGGGGTGGGTGAGAGAGGGGGCAGGGATCTTCGAGGAGACCTCCGTTCCCACTTTGACTCTCTGCAAGCAGGCTGCTGGGCAGCCAGAGGCCCCAATCCTCTCATCACCGTATGTGCCTGACTCTCTTTGGGAAGTGGGGTGGGCATTCCCTGAGGAACCCATGGAAGGCCGCAGCTTTGGTGCCCTCTTCCACCGCCCCTCTCCAACGCAGCATTCCTGTTCTTGAACTTTTTCAATTGAGGGAGAGCGCTTCCTCTGCTGTGTTGTGTGTGTTGCACAAGACTTCTTCTGTCCTCCTGGCTCCCCCCATCCATCCCATATGTGTCTCCTCTCCCCACCGTGCAAGAGCTGGCCTCCGTGCAAAGAGAGAAGGCTTTGCACCTGCATGGCGGCATCACCTGGGCACCAGGGCTCCTCCAGTTGGACTATGGAGAGTGCCTTCTCTCCACCCTGTGGAGAAGGGTCCTCATGTGGTGCTTGGAGAACTGGAACCCTCAGAACCTCCTCCTCCTCCTCCTCTGGGAGGGGGCGGCCTCTTTCCTGGCTGACCAGCCCTTGCAGATGCCCTTGGCACCCGGTTCTCCCGTCTCCCTGTCTTTGCTCAAGCCCAGTGAGGATGCAAACACACACACACAGATTGAGTGGTCCAACTGCCCTGGCACCTTGAGCACTTGTGCCACGTTCTGCTCTGCCTGTCCTCCTGGAATGATATTTTCCCCCTGGGGTGGGAGTGGCAGGGAGGCAGCTTGTGGGGGAAACCCCCACCCAGGCAAGGGTCAGCACACCTGTGCAAGTGCTTGCCCCCTTTTCCTGGGGGGGGAGGGGAGCAGACCCTCCCTTTGCTAATTAACTGATTGCAATAGATTCTATATATATATACATATTCTAATAAACACCCTGGAGCTCGCAGTTGCCTTCTCTCTCTCTTTGTGTGGCATGAATTTGGTGTCCTGCTGCTGCTTCCTTCTCCCCCCCCCCAGACCTCCTCCTCCTCCGTAAGGGACAACAGGGCGCCACAAAAGGGCCAAGATGTTCCAAAACTTTCTGTGGTGACTCAAAAGTTAATCTGTGCCAGATAGTGAGACAGCCTGGCTGTTTATTTATTTAGTAAGCGTGTGTCCGGTCCCTGGCAAGAAACAAACACACCAGATAGTCAAGGTGATGAGTGCCCTCTAGGCAAGGCAAAGCTGCCATTCCTGACTTCAAGGGGTTGGACTAGATGACCCTTGGGGGCGCTCCCAGCCCCACGTTGATTTCAAAGGAGGCCTCAGAAGGCCAAGCAGCTTCCAGCCAAGCGGGGAGGAATTATTAGGGTAGCATTCAGCTAAGTTTTGCAGGGAGTAGACCTGCTAGAAATCACTGGACTTCACTTGGGCCTGTTCCTCAATTCTCCCAAGGCAGGCTGCTTGTTCAGCTGCTGCCGCCTGGCCCAGCTCTGGTTTTCAAGGGGGGGGGAGTGCATGTCCCTTTTGCATGCAGAGTTTCTAGAGTCGTCTTTCCCTTTCTTGCTGCCCCCTCCCCAGATGCCTGTGCTTTGGCCAGGATCCAGCGGGCGGCTGCTTGAGGGCTGGGTAGTCCCAGCTGGGCCGGCTGAGGGGGCCGCGTTGCTCGCCTCTGCCCGGAGGCTGGAGCTGGGCTCGGGGTGCAAAGGGCCGCGTTCTTGCCCTCTAGCAGGCTCCCCAGCCCACCCCAAACACACGTCGGGCAGGAGGCGGGGAGGCGGTTCGGTCCTGTTGCTCAGGTCCCTTCCTACGCCGCCACACAGTTCCCGGAGAAATGTTTAACCAGATGCAGAAAAAGTCAATATTTGCCCACGGAGGGTGGTGAAGTAGTGAGGAAGGGGGAGAGATTCCACGAGTAGGCGTTGCTCCTGCAGCAGCTGGTCCCTGGCGAAACTTGGGGGCCACTTCTGCAAAATCGCCCCCCCTCCACGAAGCTGGCAGTGGTGGCGGCGGCGGCAGGAGACAGGCGCAAGGAAGAGCCCCGTGCAGGACCCACGTGAGATGGGGGGCTTGAGCTGGGGTGGGGGGAGAGGGGAGCCGGAGCTTGGAGTCCTTGCGCAATGGACAGTTTGGGTTCCTCTGAGCGAAGAGAGAGGCGGCTGTGGGGGAATGTCCTGGCTCTGCTTTCCTGGTTTTTATTAATTTAATTTAATTGCATTTCATATCCCACCAAGGAGCTCAAGGCGGCATGTCCAATTATCCCCCTCCTCATTTAATCCCCACGACAACCCCGCGAGGTAGGCTAGGCCGAGAGGCAGGAGTGACTGGCCCCCAGGCTCACACCCCGTGGGAGCTTCAGGGCTGAGCTGCGGGATCTGAACCCGGGTCGCTCCCGAGGTCCGACACTGACTCACTGCGCCCCCCCTGGCTTCTGTGGCCGTGGAAGGGAAAGAGCACACGCACCCACGCACCAGCTGGAGCTTCCAGCACCCACTCCTGCCCTTTCTCTCGGCCTGCAGCTGGGGGGGGGGGGGCTCAGCCTCCTTCCCTCCCCTCCCAAACTTGCGCCCAGGAAGCGTTAAGGAGCCGAGCGAGTCCCTGAAGAGCTTCGTTTCAAAAAGCCACGACAGCCACCCACCAAAGTCCTAACTCCAAGGGACGCGGGGTGGAATTTAAACGTATGCAATCTCAGTCTCGAAGAGGATGGTGACTGGAAGGGGGGCTTGCCGTGGAGACCTCCTTTTGGGGGGCAGGCAGGGGGTGAGCTCAAGGGAAAGCGGCCGGAGAGGCTGTGAGTCCCTCTCTGTCTTGAAGGGGGGACGGGACCCCGAAGCCACCCTAGGCATCACTTATCCGCCCATCTCCGGCAGATTTCCACCCCTCCGTCAAAAGATGGCTGCCCCGCCCTGGCCTCTGCTGCTGCTCCTGCTGGCCGGCCTGCCTGCTCTGCGCGCGACGCACCACGGGGTAAGTCCCGCCACGGTCCGGCCAGCTCCTCCTCTCCGACCGGGGCAGAAGAGCCCAGCCGAGGGAGACTGGCGGGGAGACAGGCAGGGGCAGGAGAGGGCGTGGGGACCATGGGGTGGGGGGACTGGCCCCTGGACTGTGCTGCTGGTCTCCCAAGTGGGGGGAGCTTCCTGTGGAATAAACCCCCTCGCCTTGGGAAGGTGGTGGAGGTCTTTAATAAGGAGGTTGGATGGTCAGATGCCAGGGGTTTTTTTAGCTGTGGCTCTTGCATTGCAGGGAGTTGGCTGCAAGACCCTTGGGGGGGTCCCTTCCAACTCTAAGATTCTATTATTTTAGGTCTCGATTGCCCATGCCTTTGAAGATGACGGGCAGAGGAACATTCTCCAGGTAAGGAGAGAGGAATCTCACAGCTTCTCTTTTTTTAAAGATTTGTTTCTTTTTAATGAAAAGGCAAATACTGTGCCGAGTTTGGGACTTGGGAATGGAGAGCAGGGCGGGTAGCATTGCTGCCTGATGGTTCTAGTCCTGGGTCACCACCACATTTTAATCATATGTGGAGGCCAACACCAATGGCGTGGGCAAACGTAGCCAGTCCCGGAAGCAGAATTTAGGTTGGCAAGTAGAAAGTTCAAAGACAGGACCTGTTGAGGCAGCTTTCTCTAAAAAGTTCCCCACAGAAGGGCTTGGGCACATGGCTGTCAGGAAGAAGGGCTTGGTTTTGTTGGGTGCTGAGGGACATCTTCTGGAAACTGGGCCTCTGGACAACCAGGGAGCCAAAGCTGTGCAAAAGGAGATGGTGGAGAGGATGAATCGCTGCGGGAGATGTAGGGCAGATCTCTCCGCCTCGAATGACATTTTCGAGAAAGGGAGTTTTGGGAGCAGAGGCAAGCAGGAGAGGAGGTGGCAGGCCATGCTGGATAATCTGGATGGTATTGCCTAAGAGCTCTTAAGGAACTCAAATGTGAAACTGATCTTCTAACAAAAATATGTACCGTTCCTAAGAGTGTCCTTGGTCCCAGAGGACTGGAAAGCAGCCAGCGCAACACCAATATTTACAAAGGGATTCAGGAAGTTACAGGCTTGGCATCTCTTCCAGGTAAATTGCTGAGAAGTACTATTAAAGGCAAAATAATCAAGCGCATGCAGGATTTCCTCAGCGGAGACCCCACACTGTCATGAGAACTCCCTGCCAGAAGAAGCTTTTTAAAAGGGCCTTGCAAACCCAGTCAATTCAGGCGGCTTTCTCCCAAAGCAGGTGCGGAGAACCAATCGCTGGCCCTTCAGATGCTGCTGAACTAGAACTCCCATGATGATGGGAGTTGCAGTTCAGAGACGCCTGGAAGGGCACAAGCTCTGTCTTAAAGGACCTGACAGTGCCCCTGATGCTGAAACTTCTTTCAGGTTTTTTCCCCAGGCCTATGCTGCTTTTAAGTGATTGGTTTTTGCTGAAATGTGATTTTGTGTGTTGCTTTTATTTTTCTGTATGCTGCCTTATGAGGGTTTAAGGAATACTTAGGCTAGCTCTGGTTCATTTATGTGTTCTGTCTCTGAATACCAGCTGCTGGGAATCACAAGGGGGAGAGTCCTGCCGTTGCACCTCAGGTCCTGCTTGTGAGCTTCCCTTGGGGCACTCAGATGCCACTGTGAGGACAGGAGGCTGGACCAGATGGGGCCCCTTTGGTTTGATCCAGCAAGGCCTTTCTTATGCTTATGAACGCTACCATCTATCAGGCCAGTCTCTGTGTCCATGCAGTCCAGCACTGCCTGCTCTGACTGGCAGCAGCTCCCTGGTCTCCTGACAAGCAGAGAACTTGCCAGCTTTTACCCAGTGTGAAAACAAGGTGCTTCTTTCTTTAGAGGGTGAGTCTGGGCCCTCTTGCCTGCCCAGCCCATCCTCTGCCCCTCAGCTACCCAGATGTCTGCTTCCCTCCCACACTTAGCTGCCAATTCTTTCCTCCCCACCTTCAGCTCCTAGGGCCCATTTCTTCACAGGGCGATGAAGCAGATGGATTGGTGGAAGAAGCATTGCTGCCGGAGGTTGTGTTGCCTGAGGCGGAGGTGCTTCCACCTGCATCCGAGACCCCGGAGAGCCTCCTTGGCACCATGCTGCCACCCTCTGATCCAAGCGTGGCAGAGGAGGTTTCAGCCACAGAGCTGGGAGAGCCCCAGAGCTCTTCTGAGGCAGAGGAGGATGACCGTGGAAGAAGCTGCGACAGGGACATCCCTCTGGAGAAGACGCACGTGGTGGCCGAGGCTGTGATGAAGCTGGGTGCTAACCTCCTGCGGCAGGTGGAACTGGAGAACAGCAAAGGCAACCTCTTCTTCTCTCCCCTCAGCATCAGCCTGGCGCTGGCTCACTTGGCTCTAGGTCAGTATCCCCAAATCCCTCAAAGACAGCCTGTTTGTTGACTTGTTCTGAACTCAAAAGCAAAGGTGCTTTTCGTGGTTAACAGCAATGAAGGGTTTTGCTTTTAGGATGTGGAAAAGGTGAGATGCTGCTCTCCCTCCAAGTAGTGATGGCTCCTATGTGCAAGGGGCAGCCTCTTCCGAGGAGAGGCAATCCTGCCATCTCTCTGAATGAATGGCAGGAGAAATGCCCAGCAGGGGTGAAAGGAAAGCAGCCTGCCAGTCACTGAGTGCTCTGGACTCCAGTAAACTGAATTTCTTCCGGCACATGAGCAGCCTTGTTGGCTGCACAGTCTGAGAATTTCTGCAATGGAGATGGGAAGAGTAGGAGCAGAAGACACTGTCTTGTACAGGGTCTGACCAGCAGTCCATCTAGTTTGGTGTTTTCCACACTGTCAGCTGTGGCTCTCCAGAGTCTCAGGCAGGAAGTCTTTCCCAGCCGTTGGGGCTGCACCAGAGACCTTCTGCCTGCAACGCTGGTGCTCTGTTACTGAAGGATAACAGAGTGCTAAGCATGGAAGCCTCCCTCTTCCTGCTTGTGTGATGAAAGGTCTTCAGCCCTCTCCTGCTTTAACATGGGGCCTACAGCGGCAGCTCTCTCACTCCTGGCTGATGTGACAAGCGCTTTGGAGCACAGGGGCCCAATGCAAGCGAGAGGGCTTCCATGCCTGACTGCCATGCTCACACACTCGGTGCTGCTGGTTACCACGTTCCCAGGTTAGCTGAGTGTTAACTGTGTTGCTGTTAATCTGGTTTCCCTTTCAGGCGCAGCCAACCGGACCGAGGAGCAACTGCTGAAGGCTCTGCACGTGGAGTCTGTGCCCTGTCCACACCAGGCTCTGCGCACCATCTCCCAGCACCTCAGCCAGACGCTCAGCATCGCAGCCCGGCTTTACCTACAGAAAGGTGAGAGGTGTGGGCAGGCAGGTATGGAATAGGAGAAGTCGAGTGAGCCTGCCCTTTGGGCGTGAGAGAGAAGAGCAAGCATTTCCACATGGTGTGGCTTGAATTTCTCTCCTTATTTTATTTATAAAAAAATATTTGTATACCGCTGTATCATTAAAAAAAAAGTATCACAACGGTTCCTACCAATATAAAAACAGAAAGTAAAACCATAAAAAATTAAAAACAGGTTAAAAGCCAAAGAATTAAAAACAAACATCAGTAGACCATTGTGGGAGATGTATTCTTAACTGCCTGTGTAGGCTTGTCAGGGAAAAAGGCAAGGTATAACAAAATAACAATAACAATAATAAAGCTGGCAGAATATAAAGGTTTTTAACAGGCATTTAAAAGTTGGCATAGAAGGTGCCACTGAATCTCCAGTGGTAGAGAGTTCCACAGGACACGGCTAATGATACTAAAGGCTTGGTCTCTTGTTATCAAACGAGCCTCACCAACTCGGGGAACAGCCAGCAACACTCCTGTGAGTGATCTCAGAGATTGAGCTGAGGATATAAGGGTTCAGGTGAACCTCTACTAAACCTTTAATGGATAGCAGATATTGAGGGATGGGGCAGGGGGAGAATCTGTATTGGGACTGGAGAGGAATAGCAGTGTTTTTTCTTAACCCTTTTGCCCATGTAATTTTCCCAACTAATGTCACCACCATCCATCTCCATGCACCAGTACCAAAGCATCATAATGTGAATGGTGCAAACAGCATTGGTTGGATGGGTGGTAGCAGTTTTCATTAGGATAACAGCACTGGGAGGGGTCAGCACCCCTCTCTGTCCCAAGAATCCCCACCCCGGCAGCTGCTATTCACAAATAAGTTTGAATCCTGAGGACCTCAAGTGCAGGGGAGGAGGGAAATCCACGCAGCAGCAGCAGCAGCAGTCCCCTGGCCCAAAAACGGGTTGGGGAGAATCCTAGCAGGCTTACCCCAGTCTTAGGGGGAGGGCTGAAACTCCTGACTGCCTCACATCAAGTGCTTTTGCAGGATTCCCAGTGAAAGAGCAGTTCCTGGAGGACTCAGAGAAGTTCTACGGGGCCAAGCCAGCCACCCTGTCTGGGAACAGCCAGGCAGACCTGGCGGCCATCAACACCTGGGTGAAAGACGCGACCCATGGGCAGATCCCCACCATGCTGACTGAGCTGCCGGCCAGTGTCGTGATGCTGCTGCTCAATGCCGTGCACTTCCGAGGTGAGCTCGGCTGCTCCTCCCCACCCCCAGCCCCCTGACTTGCTGGGACAGCCAGCAGAGCAGTCAACCTTTCAGTTATTGCAGCAGCCCAAGAAGTAACTGTGTGAACAAGGCCTCTGTTTCTCCCGTTTTAATCCATCCTAATAACTTAATATTGTTGTGATTTTATGGACCGTAGTTTTTACCACCTACAAGAAAAGCAAGATTGTCATAGAATCACAGTTGGGAGGGAGCCTGAGTGTCATCTAGTCCAACCTCCTGTAGTAGTAGTAGTTGTTGTAATAATAATAATAATAATAATAATAATAATAATAATAATTATTATTTTATTATTTATACCCCTCCTATCTGGCTGGGTTTCCCCAGCCACTGTGGGTGGCTTCCAACAAAATATTAAAATACAATACTCTGTTAAACATTAAAACTTCCCTAAACAGCGCTGCAGTAGAGACATCACCTTGGCCAACAAAGGTCCATATAGTAAACGCTATGGTTTTCCCAGTAGTGGTGTATGGAAGTGAAAGCTGGACCATAAAGAAGGCTGATCGCCAAAGAATGGATGCTTTTGAATTCTGGTGCTGGAGGAGACTCTTGAGAGTCCCATGGACTGCCAGAAGATCAAACCTCTCCATTCTGAAGGAAACCAGCCCTGAGTGCTCACTGGAAGGACAGATCCTGAAGCTGAGGCTCCAAGACTTTGGCCACCTCATGAGAAGAGAAGACTCCCTGGAAAAGACCCTGATGTTGGGAAAGATGGATGGCACAAGGAGAAGGGGACGACAGAGGACGAGATGGCGGGACAGTGTTCTCGAAGCTACCAGCATGAGTTTGACCAAACTGCGGGAGGCAGTGGAAGACAGAAGTGCCTGGCGTGCTCTGGTCCAGGGGGTCACGAAGAGTCGGACATGACTAAACGACTAAACAACAACAACAAAAAACAGTGCTGCCTTCAGATGTCTTCTAAAATTCTGGCAGTTGCTTTTCTCTTTGACATCGGGTGGGAGGGCGTTCCACAGGGCGGGTGCCACTACCGAGAAGGCCCTCTGCCTGGTTCCCTGTAACTTGGCTTCTTGCAGTGAGGGAACCTCCAGAAGGCCCTCGGCGCTGGACCTCAGTGTCCAGGCAGAACGATGGGAATGGAGATGCTCCTTCAGGTATACTGCGCCGAGGCTTTAAAGGTCAGCACCAACACTTTGAACTGTGCTCGTAAACAATGCAGGAATCACAATTAAGGCATCCCTGACAAATGGCCATCCAACCTCTGCTGAGAAACCTCCAGGGAAGAAGAGTCTGCCACCTCCCACTCCACTGTCAAGCCATCAGAAAGTTCTTCCTAATCATTAGTTCTTGCAATTTGATCCATTGGCTCAGGTCCCACCCTCTGGAGCAGCAGAAAATAAGCTCTTTCTCTATCTTCCCTGTGACAGCCCTTCAGTTATTTGAATATGACTATCATGGCACCTTTTAGTCTCCTATCACACAGGCTAAACATGCCCAGCTCCCTCAACCATTCCTCATAAGGGTTGTTTTCCAGAACCCTCATTATTTCAGTCGCCCTCCTCTGCCCACCTTCCAGCTTGTCAATATCCTCCTTAAACTGCAGTGCCCAGAACTGGAGACAGGACTCCAGGGGGCTTGGTTTCCAGACACTGCCTTTCCTCTCCTCAACCCATTTTTTATTCCCTTTTGGGCAGGGTTTTGGAAGAACAAGTTTGATTCCCTTCTGACTGAGCCTGACACATTCTACCTGGATGATGACTTCACTGTCTCCGTGGAGATGATGCGGGCTCGGGTCTACCCTCTCAGCTGGTTCAACCTGGAGGCCCAGGATGTCCAGGTGGGGTGGGAACTTTTGTTGTTGACGCTGCCAAAGGGTCTGGCATCAGGTCAAAGTGCTTGGGAGAGCGTTGGCCTCCTTGCCTTCCCTCGTGGGGTGGGCATGGGCCTTTCTCCTGCCCCTGGAGCACACGAGAGGAGGGCTCAAGGCAAAAGCCGTACCATTGATTCTCCTCTCCTTTGCTCCTGGCAGTTGCCCTTTCACATCCACAAATAATGTTCTATTGGGCTGCCCCTGCTGACTCTTCCCTGTGCTTCTCTCCCAGGTGGCCAGGTTCCCCTTCAAGGGCAACACAAGCTTTGTGGCCATCCTTCCAAACCACCCTGAGCAGAACTTCTCTCGGCTGCTCTCCGATCTCAGCCAGGCCAACTTCCAAAGCCTCTTCCCCAAGGAGAGGCCCACCATGGTGAAGATGCCCAAACTGCACCTGCAGCATCACCTGAACCTAGAGCAAGCCCTCCGCCAGCTGGGTAAGAGGAGGGCGGGAGGGAGGGAGGGGGCCAGCCTGCTTCACTCTTCGCCTTTACAGGACAGTTTTGGATACCCTCAGCCACCTTGCTGCCTTATTTCAAACAGCTTGATGGGCCACGGTTCATAACTCCTGCTTTGCATGCAGAAGGTCCCAGGTTCTGTCCCCCTGCCCCAAGCCCTGGAGAAGCCATGGCTGCCAGTTGGCACAGACCAGAGTTGGGGGGCTTCACCTCCCGGCAGCCCCAGCAGCCAGCAAGGCCAGCTGTCAAGGATGGTGGAGTCTGCCGTCCAAGGAGAGCCAGAGATCTACAGGTTCCGCACTCCTGACATGCTCTGTGCGAGGATAGCTGGGCAAGCAAGGCAGATCCCTGTGTTAAATACAGTCTCTGCCTTGTGCTCCTGTGACCTCAGAAACATAACATTATCTGAAGACTTGTCTGTTGAAATGGGCGCAGGCAGCTTCTGATATTCTCTGGAGTCCTCACCAGACGGAGGTTGGAAAGAGCTTTCAGACCCTTAGCTGGGCATGTTGGCGAGGGGATGTTTGTGTCCTCGTTTCCCTCTGCTTCCTCCACAGTGGCTCTTCAGACGCTTCCAGATGGAGGCTTAATGTTGCGAAATGGGCTGCTCTAGTATTGCAAGCAAGTCACTGGCAGCAGTTTTCTTTTTCACTCACGGATTAAACGTGTGTGACTTTTTCCTAACTCTTCCGCCATCTCCGCTCCAGAAGCCCAGGTTCTGTTTCAAGCTAGTCTTGGAAGCAGCAGAAATTCTGCCTCCTTAGTAAAACATACAGGCGCTCCATTTTAACGATTTTAATGCAGTGGCAGAATTCAGGCTGTGGGTGGGGGGAAATTCTCCTCGTCCCCCAAATATACACAGCCCTAAGAATAGTCTTGGGTCACAAACGCTGCTGATGTTATGCACCAGCACCATCCTGACTGACGGCTGCTTTCTCTCTAGAGAAGCCCGCAGCTTCCCCCTTGGCACTGCCTTCACTCCTCTCTTTCTTTGCAGGCCTTGGTGAGCTGTTCTCTGCCCCAAATTTCCACCCCATAACAGAGGGTCCCCTCGTGGTCTCCAGTGTCCAGCACAGAGCCGCCCTGGAGCTTTCTGAGGACGGGGTAGAGGCATCAGCCGCCACCAGTGTCTCCATGTTCCGCTCCCTCTCTGTCTTCAACCTCAACCAGCCCTTCCTCTTCATCATCCAAGAGGACACCACCGGCATCCCTCTCTTCCTCGGCGCCATCCGGAACCCCAACCCCAGTGCCTCTCAGGAGAGGAAGACGAGTGACTGTGCTGTGGGAGATGATGGAAAGCTCTTTCCGTGCTCCACGGACCAAGAGAAGCCCTGAATGCCTCAGAGGCCTCCAGGATGCAGGAAACCCAGGAGGGCAAGTGTGTTGTGGCCAGTCAGGGTTTTTTTCAGCAGCCTCTCCCCAAATGTCCAGAAAACAAAACAAAAAGCCACCCTTTCACCTAACTGGCTGCTGCTGTGGGTTGCCATCCTGTACCCAGTCCTGCAAGCTATAAAATATGGCCCTATTGACTCATCTTCTTCTCAGTGGCCCTTGCGGCTGGGATCCTGCACCCTGACCTGCAGGCCTTTGGCCCTAGAATTAAAGCTGAGCAAAAGGTCACAAGGTTGCACCTCCTCCTCTGGTTCTATGTTCTGCAGGGACACTGGCTGAGGAATCCGAAGCGCCACAGATATGAATGAGCTGTGAGTGCCGTGAAATAAAAGGATGGAGAGAATACAAGAACCAGCAGCAGCAGCAGCAGCAGCAGCAGCAGCCCAGGCCCTGGGGAGTTTATGGGCTCACTTCCCATCTTGGCGCCAGCTTCTCTTCAGTATTGCAGCCCCACAATATATCCAGACCACAACTTTTCCTTTCAGGTGGCCACAAAAATGCAACAGAATAGACTGCGTAGTGCTGCACAACTCAGGAAAAAATAAGAGTGTGGGGAATTGCTAGGAAAATAAACCTGCTGGTATCCTAATGCCTGTTGCTACTAATGTGTGTGACTGACTGCACTTCGAATCCTGAAAACAGTTCTCAAGAAGGGTATTGCAGAGCACTGTGGAGTCTTTGTTCTCTTTGCTTGTTGGGTTTGTGTAAAGTGCCCCTGCCCTTTCTGTGCAAAATCCCACTTGGGCTGCTTTACACTTACATTGTTGTAGCAACAGAGCATGTGTGAGAGAGAATATGAATGTGAATGCCAATTGCCTTGATAGACAAGGAGGCTGTTGGGTGTGGGGAGAGAATTGCTTGAGGATCTCCAGTGACTCATGGGGGGGATGAGACTGAGGTTGGTTAAGACTTCCCAGTTCTGTATTCCCAGCTCCTTATTTAAAGCAGCTGCACAAGCAGCCACAGTGCGGAACTGAAAGTTGGTATGTGCTTCTGGCTGCACTCCGGAATCAATTAGACTGACTCCCCATATTGCACACCTGTGACCAGCAAACTGCTCCCCTCCAGATGCTCAAACCTTCTTTCCATAGAACTGTAGAGTTGGAAGGGAACCCCAGGGTCATCTAGTCCAACTCCCTGCAATCCATGAATAATGGCTAAAGAATCCCTGACAAATGACCATCCAACCTCAGCGTAAAAACCTCCAGTGAAGCAGAGTCCACCACCTCCTGAGGGAGACTGTTCTAATGTCAAACAGCTCTTACTGTCTGAAGGGTCTTCCTAATGTTGAGCCAGAATCTCATTTCTTGTCATTTGAATCCATTCACTTGGGTCCTAACCTCCGCAGCAGGAGAAAACAAGCTTGCTTGCATCTTCCATGTGACAGTCCTTCAGATATCTGGAGATGGCTCTCATATCTCCTCTCAGTCTCCTCTTTTCCAGGCTAAACATACCCAACTCCCTCAACCAGTCCTCATAAGGATTGGTTTCCAGACCCTTGATCATCTTTGTTGTCCTCCTCTGCACACATTGCAGCTTACCAATGGCATTTTAAAATTGTGGCACCCAGAACTGGACACAGTATTCCAGGTGTGCTCCAACCCAGGCAGAATAGGGCGGTACTATTACTTCCCTTGATCTGGACACTAGACTTCTGTTGCTGTAGCCTAGAATAGCATTTGCTTTTTTTGCTGTTGCACCACACTGTGGACTCATGTTCAGCTTGAGGTCTACTAAGACCCCTAGATCCTTTTCACATGTACTACTGGCTAGCCAAATGTCCCCCATCTTCCATTTATTCAGCTGGTTCTTCCTTCCTAAGTTTATAACCTGGCATTTGTCCCTTTTGAAATTCATTTTATTAGTTTGGGCCCAGGTCTCCAATCTGTTAAGGTCATCTTGAATTCCAGTTCTGTATTCTGTGGCATTAGCTACCCCCTCCCAGTTTGTTGTCTTCTGCTAACTTGATGAGCACCCCCTCAATTTCTTCATCCAAGTTGTTTATAAATAATGTTGAAGAACAACAGGCCCAGGACAGAACTCTGTGGCACCCCACTTGTCACTTTATTCCAGGATGATGAGGAACCCTTAGTGAGCACTCTTTGGATTCAGTCAATCACCTACAACAAAACTACTTCACAGTTACTTCGTCCAATCCACATTTTACTAGCTTCTCTGTAAGAGTATCATGGGGAACTTTGTCAAAAGTCTTTCGGAAATCAAGATACACTATGTCCACAACATTCCCCTGATCCACCATGCTTATAACTATCAAAAAAATAAATGAGATTCGTCTGGCATGAGAAACCCATGCTGGGTCTTAGTAGTCACAGCATCCTTTCTAAGTGCTCATAGACTTAATTATCTGATGTAGGACATTTCCTGGTATCCACATCAAGCTGACTGGTCGGTAGTTACATGGGCCTTCAATATTTCACCTTTAAGAAACTCCCATTCATCTTCTCTTTGAGTATTTCTGTTCATGGGATCTCACCCAGTAGTTCCTTAAGCTTTTTGAAATTGGCCATCTTAAAGTCCAGAGTGCATGTCTGTCTACACTCCACTTTCCCTTGCCTCTGTATCCTGAAACCAAAGAGGACATGATCACTTCCTCCCAAGGCTGATCAGTTCCTCTGTTGGTGAGGGTCAGGTCCAAGACAGATGATCCCATTGTTGCTTCTTTCACCTTCAGGGTGATGGTGTCACTGTCAAGAGAGACAACTGAGGAATTTGTTGGATCTTATGTTCTTGGCAGAGTTTGTGTTCCTACAGATATTGGGGTAGTTGAAATCTTTCATGACTACGATATGTCTCCTTTTTGAATGTGTGGCAGTCTGCTCTAGGAAGGTATCATCCAAGTCTTCAGACTGGCTTGGCAGTTTATGGCATATGATGCTCTTTCCTCATTTTAGAATCCCACTGCTGAATAAGCAAAACACTGCACTATGCTAGCCCGGGACTGTGGCACCCAGAGGACGAATTCTCAAGGTTAGGTTATTGCCACAAAGGTAAAGGTAAAGGGGATGCGGGTGATGCTGTGGTCTAAACCACTGAGCCCCTTGGGCTTGCCGATCAGAAGGTTGGCGGTTCGAATCCGCACGATGGGGTGAACTCCCATTGCTCTGTCACAGCTCCTGCCAACCTAGCAGTTCAAAAGCATGCCAGTGCAAGTAGATAAATAGGTACCGCTGTGGCGGGAAGGTAAACGGTGTTTCCATGCGCTCTGGCTCCTGGCACGGGGTTCCGTTGTGCCTGAAGTGGTTTAGTCATGCTGGCCACATAACTCGGAAAGCTGTCTGTGGACAAACGCCGGCTCCCTCGGCCTGAAAAGCGAGATGAGCACCACACCCCAGTCGCCTTTGACTGGACTTAATTGTCCAGGGGTCCTTTACCTATTGCCACAACAGAATTTCCTTGGGCAGAAGCAAATAACTGAGCAAAGCCCTGACCACCGAGAACCAGGACTCCTGCTGAGCCCTTTCGTCTCTCTGCCATCATCAGGTTTTGCCCACACTTTCAAGCCAATCTTTGCAGTGTTAAGGATGAGAAACTTTGCCAAAGTAGAATGTCAGAAAAGTGTTTAGCAGTCTAGCATCTAGGTTATGAAGAAATTAAACTTGGTTGGTTAATTATTAATCTGTCCCAGCATTTGAATAAATACAAGAGTGTGCACCCACAAAGCATGTTATGTGTCTGCACATGTGTGTGCAGGGTGGGTAATTAAGACTCCACCCCATCTCATACTAGCAGCACACCTCCAATCCCAGCACTCGTCTGCTGGCAAGATGATCTTGGCTCTGCTAGGCTCCCCTTTTCCAGCCTGGGCCAAGCTTCATGGAGCAGGGGTGTCGTCAGTGGCTACTGGCCAATGGTGATTATGCTCTGACCCCATAGAAGGGGAGACTGCTCTTGTACTCGGGTCTTGGAAAGGATGCTGGGCTAGATGGGTCTCTCACTCCTCCCTGATCCAGCAGCCAGGCTCTTATGCTCTGCCTTGTAGCACAGCTGTCCATGCAGTGTGGAAAACAAAAGGAGGCTGCTTTAAGAGGGGAGCTGTAACTTGAAGCCTGCTGATGGCTGGGCTGGGATAGCCTGTGGGCTGGCAGTACAGCAGCAGCAGCCCAGGCAGATGTGAAGCTCCACTCACACTCACACACAGCCTAGTCAAGAAGGACTGCAGTGGAGGACAGGAGCCTGAGGTAAGGAGGTGCTCAGAGGAGCTTATTCCAGCTGCCCAGGGGTGTGGGTGGGTGTAAGGCTACTTTCCTTTGGGGCGTAGAGCACAGCGCAGCAGGAAGGCAAAACTCAAAAGGGAAAAAAGGCCGTATTGGGGTGGGGTGGGGGACATGGGAGCAATGTCCACTTTTTCACCCTCTTCTGTCAACTTGTGCCCTACTTTAGAAGTATTGTCTCTGCAACAGAAACCAAATGAGAGTTTAAGAGGAAGCACCATCAGCTCCACTGGTTCTGCCCAGGAGGCAGTATCAGTTAAGAGCCAGGCAACACCTCCATTTTTTCACTTGGAGAAAGAAGGTCCCAGTGTGAGATTTTGTAAGAATAGGACTGTTTTTGTAAACCCTACCCAGGGCGCTAATGGCAGATCCTCTGAAAGCTGCAAAAATTCCACCCTGAGAGAACAAAGCCTCAGTCCACCTTTCAGAAAGAAACCTGCCTTTTTATTTCAGACTTGCAGATGGCAGAGATCACCCACCACCTCATCTGACAGCTCCTTTTCTCTTGCCTCAGGTGCCTCTGGTGTGTGTGTGGGGGGGGGGGAGAGGTTCAGGGTCTAGATTCTTCTCCTTCATAGAAGCAACGTACAAAGGGGGTGGGGTGCTGGACCACCCTGTCCCAGGAACCACCCAATGTTGGCTTAAGTAGTAGCTCTTATTTTTCTCATTTTGGCTGTGTGCTTAAGTTTTGTGCTAATGGGATCCAGATGTCTAGGCCCACTCAAGCAAGCAAGCAAGCAGAGTTTCAGCATAGGTTTTTGGCAAATGTGGAAATTCTCAGCCTGGCAATGGTGATCAAGCTGGAGCATGATCATCTCCTTTCTGAGGCCCTCTTCCCCAGCGTGGAATGGGGTCACGACCAACATGCCAATAGCCATTTGCATCTAAATAAGGCATATAACACACACACACACACACACACACAATCTCTCTCTCTCTCTCTCTCTCTTTCTTCTCTGGTCACCTCGCACAATTAGGGAAGGGACTGAGAATAAAACTGCCAATGACATAATGCCATTATAAAAATCTATGGTGTGGCTGCATTTGGAATACGTGTCCAGTGCTGGTCGCTTCACAACAACAACAACAACTTATTTATTTATACCCCGCCCATATAGCTGCGTTTCCCCAGCCCCTCTGGGCGGCTTCCAACAAAATATTAAAATACAGTAGTCCGTCAAACAAACTAGAAAGGGATATTGGAGAGCTGGAAAAGGTTCAGGAAAGGGCAACGTTTGGGAAAGGCAGCTAAGAAGAGACTGGATAGAGGTGTCTAAAACCAAGCATGGTGTGGAGAAAATGGGTAGAGAGAAGTTTCTCTCTCTCCTAAGACTAGAACTTGTGGCTTAGGCTGAATGTTGGAAGATTCAGAGCAGAGGAAAGAAAACCCTTCTCTGTGGAACTCGCTCCTGAAGGCAGGGATGGCCATGAACCTGGATGGCTTTAAAAGAGGATTAGAGAAATCCACAGAGGAGAGGGCTATTGATGGCTGCTAGCCACAATGGAATTGTGCCTCCACAATTCTGCCTCCACTATTGGAAATAGTAAATGCCTCTCCATACCAGTTGCTGGGAATCACAAATGGGGAGAAGAGTGTGCTTGAGACATGATCACTCTAGATCTGCAGTAATTTGAAACTTTTGTGCCATCCTGGTGATTTGGCTGCCTTCCCTTTAATTGTAGCCTTTTAAAGACCTAACTACTATTTCCACATAGCCCTTGTGGCGCCAGCTTTCAGGGACATGGCTTTGGTGTCTGCTGGGGTTACAGGCTACCCTTTGGACTGGATGCGGCATTATCTAAGTCTATCCCCTGCAAACACAAGTGATGAATTCATGCCAGAATTCTGCAAAACAAGAGGTCTGCTTCCCCTGCCCCAGTCCATTTGTCCCATTAAGACTGAAGGACTCACGATGGGGGAAAGAGGTGCCTGTGGCAGTCCAAGGAATTGCTGGTCTGGAGTTATTGCACAAATTATTAGAAGTTATAGGGAAGTCTTTCCTGAGGAATATTCAGTTTTGCTACTGGGGCAAAGTTAAAAGCTCAAGGTTTTGATTCATGTTTAGGACCGTGACAAGCATTGGACTTGAGCTGTGGTTCTTCCATTGTTTCTTGCTTGGAATATTCACAAGGGGGGTGGAAATAGTAAATATTACTTGTAGTTTTATTGCTTCTGCTGGCTCATGGGAGCAGGGCAGTTAGTAAGACATCAGCAAGTACCAAAGCCAATGCCCACTGCAGTCTTCTCTTTAATGAAACAGGAAGTGAAGTTTTGTTGGTTTGTTTTAAATGAAAGTCCTGGGAAATGAGTTCTTGCCTCAGTGCTCTGTCCTGTATTTGCAGCTCCAGCTCCAGAGAAAAGGCTGAAGGGGACAGCAGTTAAACTTGTTCGTTCTTTCCTCTCCAGGCCCCGCCATGCGACATCTGGTGGTTCTTCTGTGGCTGGGACTCCTAGCCATCTCCTGCAGAAGCCAGGACTCTGGTACCAGGAGCAGCCCACAGGTCTGTCTGAGGCTTCAGGGCTCCTCCCAAAATACTGAACACGACCCCTGAGGCATTCTTCATGTCCCCTTTTGTTTAAAAACTAGAAAAAAGGGGCAGGACGGGCTGCATAACCTAGCCCATGGCAAGCTGGGGATGAAAACCCATATGCTGCCTTCTCGCTTTTGTACTTTGAGAAGTCCCTAGGATGTTTCTACAGCGGCCTCTGTTAACCTGATGCCCTCCAGATGTTTTAGACTACAGCTCCCATCAACCCTTGTCCAAAACATCTGGAGGGCGTGGCGGCGGCGAAGGCTCTCTTTAAGGCATTCAGACAAATGGACGGAGTCTTAGGGACGGGACAATTCTGAGCAAGCAAATTTTGCCTTTCACAGGATCCTGAACCCGACAACACAGAGGGAGCTGAGGAGGAGGACCCCTTTTTCAAGAGCCCTCTCAACAAGCTAGCAGCTGCCGTCTCCAACTTTGGCTATGACCTGTACCGCCAGCAATCCAGCCAGGCTCCCAGCGCCAACGTCCTGCTGTCCCCCTTCAGCATTGCCACTGCTCTCTCTGGCATTTCCCTTGGTGAGCTTATTTCTGTTCCATCCTTTCCTAACATCACCCATCCCGGGAAGGTGAATTTCACAGGCCTTTTTCTTTGTGGTTCGTAGGGGCAGGAGAACGGACCGAAGGTATAATCTCTCGTGCTCTGTTCTACGACATGCTTGACAAGGCCGGGATCCACAGCACATACAAGGAGCTCCTGACCACCATGGCGGCTCCCTCCAAAGGCCTGAAGAGCGTCTTCCGCCTCATCATGGAGAGAAGTAAACCTTGTGACCCTGCTCCCCATGTCACAGGGGATGGCAAAGAGGCACCCCAAGGCAGAGTGGGCAGCCACGGGGAACATGGTCCAGCAAGCAGCAATTCCTGGTCCCCAAATAAAATCATCCGTACTTGCAGGATGTACCCATTTGCCTTGGTAGGATTGGATATTTGGGCAGCAGGCGCCACCTAACCTAGCCACGCTATTAAAAAGTCCGTCAGTCTCAGGAGCAATTTGGCCCAGGCTGTTTGGAGCCAGTAAGCACCAGCCCAGCCTCAAAGTCCAAGGCAGAATTAACACCTGCCTTCTGCACGATTCTGTTTTCTACGAAACAGTTCCTGTTGAGAACTGCTCAAGTTACTTCAGATTTAGTGCCTGGAAGGGTTTTTTCATTGGCTGCCTCTGGGCAAGTGGCTCTATACAAGTAGGCTGGACCAGGTCACCTTTGGCTGCCTCCACATCTGTGGCTGCATGAGTACAGGCTGTTAAGACCTCCAAGTACTGAGCAGGATGGGAGCTTTCTGGTCTCACCCCTTCCCACTCCCCTAGGGCTGAAAATGAAAATTGGGTTTGTGAATGAGCTGGACAAGGCCTATGGAGTCCGCCCCAGAGTGCTGAGTGGAAACGCCCGGGCAGACCTGCAAGAGATCAACAACTGGGTGCAGCAGCGGACTGGCGGGAAGGTCACGAGGTTCTTTGGCGAGATCCCTGCTGGAATTAGCATCCTGCTCCTTGGGGCAGCCTATTTCAAAGGTAAGGGGAGACATGCCGAGAGAGGTGCTCAAGGAAAGGAAAAGGTAAGGTCCAGTGGCGGGCACCTTGGGGTGACAAGAGGTGTCTCAAATTCCTTGAGGTTAGGATCACAGAGGAGGGTGAAGGCTGGGCTGTGTCTTCTGCTTCTCCCCAGGGGGAGTCACTGTTCCAGCTGAAGGAAGAGGGAATTAGGAACTCGATAACATTTCTTTCCCTTCTCTAATAACAGGGCAGTGGGTCACCAGGTTTGACACCAGGCTGACTAAGCTGCAGGACTTCCATCTGGATGAGGGCCGGACGGTGAAAGTGCCCATGATGTCAGATCCCAAAGCCATCCTCAAGTACGGCTTTGACTCTGAGCTCAACTGCAAGGTCAGTACAGGGAGCAGACCCTGCAGAAAGGGTCTCCCTGCCTGCTTCACAGTATAAGGGCAGGCAGGCCTTCCTTCACCAGTTGCTCCCTCTCATCACTAAATTTGTGACAAGAAGGGAACAGCTTCATTTGGCCAGCTAAACTAGGTGAGGGTAGCCAAAGCGGCTCAAACCCTCAGTGAGTTAGGGACTTCCCCTGCATGTGAAGACAGGCTCTGGCGGATAGAGGAGGTGAGAGCAATAGTGGGTCCAATGGTCAAGAAGGCAGTTTCAGCACGTGCCGTAGAGAGGTGAGGAGCAAGTGGGGTTTGTCAACTTGGGAAGGCAGTCTATCTAGAAGGAAAATCCACTGCCTTGTGGGATATCTTCAGGGGAAGAAAAGGCTCAGGAGTCAACCCCACACAAGTCCAGAGTGGAGTCCTTAAGATAGTTGGATGGCGCTTTGTAGGTCTCCTTCCAGGAACTCCTGCCGCCAAACATATTGCTCTGCTTTCCTTTGGACCACATAAATGAGGCTGAGAGAGGCATCGTGTCTTCTGGGCAGCCCAGGACCTCCATATACTGCCCAGACTTGCTCCCCAGGGAAGTCACTTCGGTGCTGCTAGTGGTTTGACTTCGCCTCTGAAGGCACATTCCTTTGTCTCTCAAGACAAACAACAACAAGATACAAACAACAACAACATTAATTGTTGCACTTTCAGTGGCCCAGATTTGTTATTTGCCCTTGTCCCCTTCTTCTTCCCAAGAAGCCATTCCTGTTTAGCAACGCTGCCACTGAGAAGCGGCCAGATATTGCCATCTGCCCAAGATCCACCCTGAGGATGGATTTGAACCTCTGCATGGATATGCTATTGAAATATAAATGTGTGCCAATGATGTACCTCCATGGGTGGCTCTGCCCTGCTATAAGCTAAAACTGGCCAGCAAAGATTCCCCCGCTCCTTGCAGGCTGGCAACTCATTCACACATCTGGAGCAGCCCCTCCCACCCCGGGGCTCCTCTCAGAGGTCCAAGTCAGAGAGCAGCACAATCCATTGCTTGTTTGGGCTGAAGCCCAGGAGAACTAGGCTACATAAGATGGGGTTATTTTGGTTCATGAAGAATTGCAAATTTTGCAAGTACAGTGGTACCTCAGGTTACATACGCTTCAGGTTACAGACTCCGCTAACCCAGAAATAGTGCTTCAGGTTACGAACTTTGCTTCAGGTTGAGAACAGAAATCATGCTCCAGCGGCGCGGCGGCAGCAGGAGGCCCCATTAGCTAAAGTGGTGTTTCAGGTTAAGAACAGTTTCAGGTTAAGTACTTAACCCGAGGAACGAATTAAGTACTTAACCCGAGGTACCACTGTATGTCAATTTCTGCAACACATTTGCAGGCTAAACTTGGAAGCTGGGGATGAAAAAGAAGGGATTGTAAACTGCAGCTTATGCACTGAGAACAACTTTGATTGGGTCATCTCTTTCATTTTCAAAAGTGCCTCTCTTCAAGTGGCAGGACCCTAGCCAGCTGCTGCAATAGAGAATGAAGGGTGTTCTTAAGTGTTGCAGGTACAAATGCCCCATGGATATATGTGTGCGTGTGCAAATATGTGTGTAGGCAGGATTCAACCCTTCTAAACATCCCAAGACCCCAGTTTCCACCTGCCTACGACTGTTGCCCCGGCTCAGTCAACAACTCCCCCTTTTGCTTCCCAAAGAGCTGCACCCATAGTCCCAGTGACAAACACATCCAAAAATCCTCCTCTGGAGCATAAGCTTCTTCCCACAGGCTGGGAACAAACGGGATCTCCTGGGCCGTGGCAACATTTCTCAAGCCATCTATGATGGCTAAGACATGCATGAACAGAGGGAAATTAATTACCTTTGTAAGAGTGGGACACACAGCTCACTCTGCAACGTTCTTTTGGGGGGTGGGGTCCTGGGCTGAGCGAGTGGGTCAAAGCCCTGTAAGGAGCACAGATGGCGGAACTCCTTTGAAATGTCAGCACCTAACACCTTTCACTTTCTCCGGCTCCCATTTCTAGATTGCTCAGCTGCCCCTGGCAGGAAGTGTCAGCATCATGTTCTTCCTGCCCCAGAGTGTGACCCAAAACATGACGCTGATTGAAGAGAGCCTCACCTCAGAGTTCATTCATGACATAGACAGGCAGCTGAAGACCGTCCAGGCGGTGCTGAGCATACCCCAGCTCAAGATGACCTCTGAGACGAATCTTGCCAGCACACTCCAGGAAATGCGTATGTACCCAGCCCAGTTCTGCAGCTGAGGTGGGGTGAGAGTGTCAGTGCAGTGCTGCACTTGGCAAAATAGACACACCCAGCAGGGTGGATGAAGCACTGAAGGTTACAAGCCCCTTCCCTTCCCTTCCCTTATTTTTGCACTGGCTGCCTTTGAACATGGAAGGCCATTCCTAGTTGCCAAAGCTAATGGACACAAAGAGACTCTGTCCACGTTGGGGATGGGCAGGATAAGAGGCACATGCTTTGCCTGAAGAAGGGCCTCAGGTTCAATTTGCGGAGTCTCCAGGTGAGCTGTTTCCCTTCCAGTCAGTGCAGACACTGCTGAGCTAGATGGCTTAGTCTAAGGCTGCTTCCTCTATTCTTCCAGTGAACCCGTCTAATCTTCTGAACAAGTAAACTGCACTTGTGGCAGCCATAGGGCAACTGCAGGAAGCAATGTGACCCTTGGCGCCAGTTTTTAGTTTACTGGAAGGCGAGAGGTCTAGTATCACTCATGTAACTTCCAGCCAACTGGACTGTGCACTGAGGGCCACAGCTCTATGGTGGAGCCCCTGTCCTGCATATTGAAGGTCTCAGCTTCAGATACCTGGATGGACTCCCTGCCTGAAACCCTGGAGCGTTAGTGCCAGTCCTGCCCAGACCAGGCTGAGCTCAGTGGACTTATGGTCTCAGGATAAAGCAGCCTCCTCTTTTCCCATGCACTGCCTTGGTCCAGCCATGTCAGCACCGATCTTCCTTGCTGGCCAACTCTCCCTAGTTTGCCAGTGTTGTCCTCTTCTTTTTGGCTAGGAGCCCAGGAGACGCAGCTTGGCTGCACCCCGGTCAGTTCTCCCCCCAGCTAATGAGACATCCTCCTTCCTCACAGGGCTGCAGGCACTCTTCTCGACTCCCGACTTCAGCAAGATCACTGTGAAGCCTGTCAAGCTCACCCACGCACAGCACAAAGTAGTCCTTGAGCTCAGAGAAGACGGCGCACGCCCTGTGTCTGCTCCAGAGATGACCGGACCCCTGAACTTCGCCATAGACTACCACCTGGACAGACCCTTCCTGTTTGTGCTTCGGGACAATGACACAGGCACTCTCCTTTTTATTGGGAAAATTCTGGACCCTCGGAGTGCTTAGACCCCTCCCCCAAACCCATCAGAACAGCCTGTGGTCATCGGGGAGGAAATGGGTTGGGGGTAGGTAGGTGGGGCCCGACTGCCCTGTTGCACTCTTGCTGTGCCCCACAACTGTTTATGCTTACGTGCTGCAATAAACATGCCCCAAGAACAACTGTGTGGGTCTCAGTAGTTCTTTATCTTGTTGGTGAGAGAGAAAGCATACCAGGGGAGACAGAATTATTGAGATGGATGGAAGAGATAGCAGAGAAAAGTTACCTCTGTTCCCTGTTTTTCCTTCCCAGTGTCCAACACAATGTTCTCACCACTAGGCAATACCCTACTCCCCAGGGATCCAGAGAAGCCTGTGTGTGCTTTGGGGGAGGGGGTTGCCTTCCAGCAGTCCCGCCTGTACCTCCGGAGGGGCTCTGACCTGTGTGTGTGCACCTGTATGAACCAACAGGTAACTCCCAATCCTGTGACTTGAGGACCCCACTTTCCCCACTTCCCCCCCCCCGAGACACAGATGCATCTCCCCCTCCCAAAGCAGGTATTTGATGGCAGCCACCACCTTCAATGCACTGAGGAAAATTTAATGGCAAAGGATTGCTGCTTCAGTGGTGAAGAGAGCATGTTTTGCATGGGAAAGGTCCAGGCTCCAGCCCAACCATCTCCCACTCCCAGTGGGAAAAACCCTTCTCTACCCGGGATCCTGCCTATGAGAGGAGACCATCCTGGGTTTGTTGGACCAAAAGTCTGACTTGGCACAAGGCAACTTTCTGTGTCCTCCTTGGAACAAGTGGGCAGAGGCAGGAATGGTTTTTCAAGCCTTTGGGGAAGTTTAATGAAGTTTGCCAATATCACATGATTTGCTCCCTGCCTCTGGCTGCCCAGAGTACAAAGGGTGTGTCCTTCCCATCATTCAGGTGCCTTCATCCCCCCAAGGGTACCAAACAGCAGCCTAACTGGGCGGCCTGCATGTTTCTCACTTACGACATCTTGGGTCTTGCACTGGCAACAGAGGCTCCGCCTCCTCTGAGCAACTCTTCCAGGCAGGCTTTCATCTCTTGCAGCTCTTGCAGCTGGGTACTCTGGGGGCCGAAGTGCCTAGACAAAACATTCTCAGCCTCCTGGATGGTGTGCAGGGCTTCTGGTACAGCACGCCTGGCCACAGAAGAAAAGGAGGCATTCTTGAAAGGGCTGCAGCAATGGCTCCCTCCCCTCAACAGAACCCCAAGCTGAGCTCTGGACCTAATCTCAGCCACCCAAAATGAAGAAGAGTCCAGAAGGAGAAGAGGCTGAAGGGAGGGAGAGCAGGAGGCCTCAGGAAGGATGAGGAGGCAGCAAAAAATAGGGATGGAGGTTCTGGGGAGTTAATTTTTAGGAAGAACTTGGTGTTATGTAACAGCAAGTTGTCCACAATCTGGACAAAAATCTCTCTGAAAAGCAATTCATCCTGACCGTGGCAGGGAGGGGGAGAGAGAGGGGGGAAAACTAAACCTCCCCCTCCACATGGCTTCCAGGCTTAGCAGCTGCTGTTTACATTAAAAATATACACATGTTCTTAACATGCAATTAACTTCCCATGTGATTCAGCCCTTGAGTAACACAGCAAAGTGCTCAGGCTCTTTTTGGAGGGTTCCAGTGAAAAGCTGGCTCTTGCGGACACTTCCAGAGCAGGACCTTCCGCCTTGAATAGAGGCAGGGGTCAGATGAGGCAACCCCAAGACATGCCTCCCACTCCTATGACACAGGTAAGTCCATTTTCTCCACAGCCCCTAAGGGGATGCAGGGTGGGCCACAAAACCCCTCTGTGTGAACCCTTCAGCTGCTTTCCCTAGGCCAGCGCTGAAAAGCCCCTTCTGAAAAGCACGCTGCTCCTGTCCACTGCTATGCGGAAGCATGTGCCTTGTGAGCCACCATAGGGGGTGGGGGAGGGGCACTTACCCATTGAAGAGGACTTGTGCCAGTTTGAAGAGCTCCTGGCCTGCTTCTATGCTGGAGGGGCCGTAATGGGCTTCCACAGTCTGGATGCTGCTGCGTAGATGCCCTGCTGCTTCCTGCCATTTCCCTGGGAAAGATTGGGAGCAAGGTAGAAGAAATAATGTGGGGATCATTTCACTGGGCGCCAGAGTGCTTCCTTAGCCTCCTCACAGCTACTGCTTCATGCTCTCATTATCTTAAATGCTATCTATTTACGGATTACGGAGGGCTCTAGCTCTAAGCAATGGTGGTTGCCTGTATGCCTGTATGTATTATCTCATGGGCTGTTATCATCACAGCCCTGCTGCCAAGCTCCCATTTTAAGATTATATGAACCTTGCAAAATCAATCAATCATGCAAACTTAATACTCAAGTGCAAACTGCCAAATATCAGTGCAAAGTGATGCATACTGGAGAAGACAATCAGACAGACAAACAAACCCACCCCTAACTCCATATATGCAGACTTAGGGGATCTTAGCTGGCAGGGCTTGGGGTCACCGTGGTTAGCTCAAGGACAATGATAATTCAGAGTCTGATTGTGTCAAAAAAAGGCAGATTCCATGCTGGAGGATGTCGGGGAAGTGGCTGAAAATAAAACTGCACTTATCGTAATGCCTTATGTAATTATTTGTTGCAACCAAACTTGGAATAAATATAGTGTACACAGTTCCGGCCACCCTGATTCAAGAAAGGATATCAGAGAGCTGGCAAAAGGTGTTGAAAGAGGACAAAATGATGAAAAATCTGGCACACCATTTTTACAAGGAAAGGTTGGTGCATTTGGGATTTTTCGGTTTAGGAAGACAGTGAATGCTGTGGGGGATGTGCTAGGAATATATGCAGCTATGATCAGCTGATGGGCAGGAGAGCTGAAGCAGGCTGTATTGCCTGCACAGGGATTGCAAAGTGCATTGCTTGGGATTCCCAAGGGCCTGACAGCCAGCGGAGCGCTTGGGATTTTGACAGTTGGGCCGGACAGGTTACCTGTCACTCATCTGTTATCATAATTACATCATCTGATTAGGAAGTGGGGTGGTCTGCAGGGGTGGGGCCAGATAAGGCTCTGGCTGGCAGAGCCAAAAAGGGTTTCCCCCCTTAGTTTAAAAGAGCACCTTACCCAGGGTGACGTAGGCCTGCGCCAGGTGATCCTCAATCTCTCCCACCATCAAGTGCGCTGGAGAGAGGAATCTCTTGGCATCCAACCTGCATTTCAGAAGCAGCTCCATCGACTGATCTGGAAATTCAAGAGGCCCAGGCCCAATGCAGTTGTGAGATGGACACATGACAGCCTTGGCTATATTCACAAGAGGCCTGTGGGGCAGATTTCTATTACGATCTCTGTATTGTTTTGCATATGTGCGGCTGTGGAGGTTTGCTGTCGAGACAGATAAAAGTGTCACCTTTTGTTTTTATTGTTATTAAGGGCCGATTTGCTGTGAGATGCCTTGAGTGGCTCATAATGCTGCAGAAAGGTATGGCAGAAACGTTTAAGTAGCTAAAGCCAGGGCTTCCTGGTTCCCACCCGACTCTTCTAGCTACACAAGCTACCCAGGGAGAGGCCCTGCCTGAGTTTCTTGGGTGTTTTTAAGCCTCACACTTTATCTGGCCTCTCCCCTTCAGTATTTCCTTAAAGGCGACTCCTTAAGAGGGAACAGCCTGAATACAACAATGCTGCCCCCATGTGGTCATCAGGAACACGACACCCTAGGGTCCACTGACCAACTGGTCAGTGAGGAAGCAGCAGCACAGGCACTTGTTGCAGAAGATGCTCACCTGGGTGGCCACACTGCAGAAGCTCCAAGGCCGCCTCGGCTTGCAGTCGAAGGTCACAGAGCTGATGCTGGAAGTGATCCTCATGAACTCGTACTTCGCAGGCCCCACTGGAGCAATGGAGCAAACCCTCTGCACCCTGGAAAAACCCACCGGACAGCTCCCTGTTTCTATCACATTACAGAGCCTCATCCATCACACCCCTGAGCCACGTGGTGCTTGGGGGAAAAGGGCACCCCATAAACCGACTCAGGCAAAGATCCAGCCCAATTTATGCAAAAAACGGCTTGAGTGCCTTTGCAGCAAATGACATGAGCATTACTCTCACAATGAAAAAGGGCACCGTAACTGGATCAGGCCAAAGGGGCCCCAACTAGTACATCCTCCTGTTCTCACAACAGCCAACTCAGCAAGAAGCCTGCTGTCAGGACCTGAGTGCAACAGCAACTCCCCCCACCTGTGTTTCCCAGCAGGGGAGTATAAAAATTGAATGAATTAAAAAAACCCAGCCAACCAACCACAATTGTTCAGAGGCCTTTACTGCTTCCAGCAGTAGCAGCAGAACACAGCCATCCTAGTCCAATATTCAGTTGGAAGCCACCCGGAGTGGCTGGGGAAACCCAGCCAGATGGGCGGGGTATAAATATTATTATTATTATTATTATTATTATTATTATTATTATCATCCTGGCTAGCAGCCATCAATAGCCATCTCCTTCTCCATGAATGTGTCTGATCCTGTTTTAAAGCCATCCAAGTTAGCAGCAATCACTGCCTCTTCTGGGAGTGAGTTCCACAACTATGTGTGGAGAAATTCCTTTTCAAATATTCCTTTAGTTATATCATGAAAGGGGAAAGCAAAGGGATGCGAGAAAGGCTAAAACCACCAGGCAAGCACACCACAGCGTGGACTGGTGTCCCGAAGCTGCAATGGCCATACGATGCCTCTTCCATGTCTAGGTGCCAATTGGTGGGGAACGACAGTGGGAAAGGCCTGTTTGCCTTCATGCTGGCTCATGGGAACAGAATGCCTGCCTGGAGAGGCCTGTGACTTGATGCAGAAGGGCTGCTCTTACGTTCTTAACTATCATAAGCGGAGAACGTCCTCAGCTTGTAAACTGGAGAGCTGTGCCCCCCCCCCAGTCAAAGATGCAGCTGCCCCGTTCAATACCGCAGAAGCAACCCTGTCAGAGCATTACCTGCTGCATGGGCTTGTGGCAGGCAGGGCAACGGAAGAGACCGCCTTGGGAGGATGCTCTCTTTCCTGAGTTGGGCTGCAGCTCCTCCAAGCAGGGCAGACAGCAACATTCAAAGAAATACTGAGAAAGGAGCCGCTTACGCCTTTCGGCAGCCCCCATCCTGCACCTGTGAGGCCCTGTTGAGAGAGGACACAAAGAATAGCCACAGCCACAAGGGGAAACTGATCTGGAGTGTAGGGTGCTTGCAAAAGCAGATCAAAGCCACTGCTCCTGCACCACGTTTTTCTGTGGTTCTGAGTCCACCTTCCTCCTGCTGCCTTTGCTTTGCCAGAAACAAGCAGACTTGCCAGCAATCCCAATGTTATTTGAGCTCTCAGGTCTTGCCCCTCCCAGTAACGTGGGCAGGTTGATGGCCATTAAAAAACGTATAAAAGAGTTAGAACACTGCCTTCATTCAATTTAATGTTTAATGGATGGCTTTTAAAGGAAATAAGCATGGTCAATTTTTTTAAAGGTTGTAAAACAGATCTGGAGAGGTGAGGCTGACATCTTGACCAACAGCATGCCATCTCCCACTGCAAAACCAGAAAGCTTATTTCCCCTGAGTTTGGCCCTGAACAGGCACAAACACTTTCCCCCTTCTCTGTCCCACGGGGTCCTCATCCACTATCAACTCGCCTACGGGGAGGGTTCCAGGAGAGAGCAGGAGGCAGGCGAAGGCCACCTCAGGGGGGACCTTAAGGCTTTTTGTTGTTTGGTATACCTTACTTAAAAAAAAAAAAGTTGTTTACAGTGTCTTGGCATTGGAATGATTTGTATCATGAAAGGTGGGATATAAATAACTGAAATGAATAATTGGACACTTTCAAGAGTGTGGCTCTTTTGGTGCCTTCCTGTGTGCACCTTTCACTCTGGCCTGAGCTTTCCTGAGCTGGAAAAATTCCATGCACTCGGGTCACCCAGAAATGCGATATTGTGTTAACTACTTAAAAATTTATATCTCGCTCATCAGTTGGCTGGGTTCTCAAATTCACTTTCAATCCCAGATACAGTAATTGAAATAAAAATGATAAAATCGTAGAACTCAGCTGTAACCGTTTTGACAAAAAGCATGTTGAAATGTTGGAAAGAAGCAGAGAAATTGTTTTCCAAATTCCAGCATCCTGAGGAATTTGAGAGCAGCTCCCCAGAACATCTTCAGCATAACCAAGAAACTAATGAGGCTGATCTGCAGGCATGAGGCCCTTAAGCCCCGTTTTCAGTCAAGGAGGGAGAAAAGGGAAAGGGAGGAGGTACAAGCAAAGATAAGATCCCAAGACCTACGCCACTGGTACATTTTGGCTTCTCTTGAGAGAAGCGTGACAGGGTTTCCAGGCATCAGTTCACCTGGTCCCCTCCTCAGCCAAATGATAGCAGTTACTCACCATAGCAGTGGAGAATCTCCTGCCCTCTTGGGATTGACTTCAAAGCTCTGACCTCTGCGGTTCTGCTGCTGAAAGTCACGCTGGTGTTTGGCTCACAGGAGTGGTTCAGGAGGCTGACCACGGGGTAGAGAGCTGTGGCCACACGCACCTGTTTGCTGCTCACCACTGGCCCATTTTCAGCCCCTGAGTGAAAGTGACAATGAGGCCTTTAGGGACAAGAGGAATCCATAAGAACATCAGAAGAGGCTGGCTGGACATCTGACAAGGCAAGATGGTGAGAGCACTATGGCTGAGTGGAGCACCTGAGGACCGCCAGCACCGATGGGGGGTTGGCAGGTCCTGGACCTGGCTGGTCCCCGTGCCAACACTGCCACCACCACTGGGGGGGGGGGACGGCAACCAGGGGTGTCCAACGTGACAACCAGGGAGGCCACACAGAGCCCCCAGCCCCACCAGTGGTCTCAACCCCACCAGGACTGGGAGCACCCCACCAACAGCCCAGCAGACAACATTCTTTATAAATTTTACACCCAACACAAGTGCCACAAAGGCGCTTGGCACCATCTCACTGACACACCCCTATTGCAAGTGAAAGGGGGGACAGCCTGTTCTTAAACAAGGCCATCCATGCCAGATGAGACACAGGACCAACTGGCTGGGAGCCAAATGGTCTAAGCTACCCCAAACAAACACCAATATAACTACATAAAGATTACTCTCTATAACCTACCCCCCAATCTTCAGCCCATTCCTAACACTAACCCCTGCTCTTCCTCCACCCACCACACTATGTATCAGCACATTAGGTTCAATAGCCAATATAAGGTGAGAAACACAGGACAACCCAGACAGGTTAGCAGGGAATCATCCTGTAAAATAGACAAACAAAATGGCTAGCTTAAAAGCAATTACACTAAATGTGAGGGGACTGGGAAACCTGATCAAAAGAAAACGCACCAACTTGTAAGTAAACACCATGAAACCACCCATTGCCTTCCTACAGGAAATACACAACCCACCCAAAGGAAGCCAACTCCTGAGCGAACTCCGCTTCAGTCAACAATGGGTGGCACCTGGCTCAGGATAGGCCCTTCCTAGAAAAGCTAACCAATAAACTGAAACTGACAAGGGGATAAATAGAAGAGGATGCGTTCACCCTGGTATGACTCCCCTTAATCACATTCATAGCCCAACAAGACAAAAAGAATCCATCAACAGCATACAAATCAATCTGGCTTCCTGACCCAACAAGCCCTCCCCTCCTCACAAATGCAAACAAACCCCATTGCAGCCAACCAACCACACCCTGCCCTCCAATACCTCTCACTACCAATGAAATGTATAATGTGAGTGGTAACTGGTATTCAGAGGCATTTACTGCCTTCAGCAGTGAAGGAGAGAACCCAGCCAGAAGAATCTGGAGGCCTTTACAGCTTCCAGTTCTTAAAAGTGCTTCCTCATGTATAACACACTCTCTGCCCATCTCCTCTAGGGAGTCCAAGCATGAGAAAGAGCAATCCCATGTGTACTCACCTGACACGTGGAGTGCAGACACTGCCTGCGCATTGCACTGCAGCTGCAGCATGTGCCTCAGCATGGCCTCCCCTGGGACTTCCCACTCAGGACATGCTTTGCCAGCTTCTGGTCCTCCCTGGTCTTCAGGTGTGCTCTTCCCTGAAATGAAAGCCTCCAGACCAGCTTCTCCAAGCCTCTTGCACAAGGCAGCAACGCTCAGGCTGTAGAGGAGCCTGAGCTCAAGGCTGTGCTTTTCAGTGTGTGGCAAAAGGCAGAAGATGGCTTGGTAGGAACTGCTGTACCGCCCATCAGCATCACAGCCAGGAATGGAGGAGGCCGAGTTCTCTTCTACAACCACACTGGGAGCTGGTGCTTCAGCAACAGGTTCTGTCACCACTTCCTCTGTGTGTGACTGCTTTATTAAAGTGCTGACCTCTGCAAAGCCTGCCACCAGAACCGATCTTAAGGCGACATGGCAGAACACTCCCAATGTCAGAAGCAGTCCCCCGAAGGAGCACTCTCTGCTGTGGTAGGTCCTCCATGCCAGCTGGGCACAGGCATGGCTGCAGTACTTGGCATAGCTGCACCCCTGGCAGGGAACAGGCGACAGCAGCTGCTTCAAGCAATGGTGGCAGTGAAGATCTTCGTTAGCCGGCTGCCCATTCAACATGGCCTCTGCACTGCCTTGAAGCAAGAGGCTTTCCCCGGGGCACAGCACGCTTACAAACGCCTCTTCCCTCACTAAGAGTTCGCCAGGAAGGATATCCTTGGCGGCAACTAAATGGCGCCCTTTGCACGCAGAGAAGTTTAGGCTCACTGATGCAGAGGCACATGAAATCCTACTGCTCTCCTCCCAGGGCTCCAAATCCTTCTGGATCCTGTCAGACACAGCAGGCTGACAGACTGAACCACTCTTCCCTTTGCAGGCTTTGAGTTTCAGCTGGTTCAATTTACTAAGCAGCACATGATGGCTGGCAGCTTCCAGACTCTGGACTGCAGACATTTTCTCCTCCATGCTGTCTAGGGCTTCTGTCACTTCCTGAAATCGACCTAGAGAAAGGAGGCAGTTGGCCTTCCGCAGCAACAGCTTGGGGAGCAGTTCTTCTGGGTAGCCCCCTCCCTGTGCCCTCTTAATGTCCTCCAAACAAACCTGCGGAGAAAATAAAGGTTTTCTGAAAGCTTGAAAAGGGGGTTGTGGATACTACAATGTCCTAAGCTCTGCTTATTCTGTTGCTCAACTTTCTTATTACATTTACAGCTACAACTAGGTCCTCATCTGCCCCACCACTTGCCAGCTTGCTAGTTACAAGTGCCATGTATACCATGCAAGGTTCTCTTTGTGTTGTAAATGGCTTCCCCCAGAAGTGCTTACATGCTAATGATACTTCCCACACCCCTGCTCCCCCAAGCTTTCACCTTTCTACTTACAGGAAATCACTATCCTGCAGTTAACCTCAGTCAGGCACAATAAGCAGTGAGAGCTATTTTACAATCTTTAGAATCAGAGAGTGCATTACCATGTTAGAAACACAGGAAGCTGCATTATGCTGAGTGAGAATATTGGGCCATCTAGCTCAGTAAAATCTACACTGACTGACAGAGGCTCAGGCAGAAGAAGCCCTTCTTGGAAAAGCCAGGGGTTGAACCTGGGACTGTCGGAATGCAAGAACAATGCTCTAACTCTAAGCGATAACCCGGATTCCCCAAAGGTGGGGGAGCCCTACATATTGCAGTGCTTGCACTATACACACAGACACACAAATGCTTCTGGGGGCATGTGACTTTCTGACTGCCAGGCCTCCAGCTGGAAACAATGGCTTTGGACAATGTGATGCTTGGTTGGCCCCAACTCACCTCAAACTGACCCAGGTGGAAAAGAGCTGCCGAGTGGTTGGCATAACACACTGCCATTTCTGGGCTGCTGGCTTCTGCGTGGGACAGTGCCTGGAAAGATCAGAGAAAGAGGAGGCCAAAATAAGCAGAGTGGCTAAAGGGCAAGAGCTGGGAAGTTTCTGGTTGGAACCTCAGTTCAGCCACAGGACACAGCTAACTGCAGAGGCAAAATGCACTGGTGTGCCTTCAAAAGAGAAGGAGAAGAGTTTGGATTTGATATCCCGCTTTATCACTACCCAAAGGAGTCTCAAAGCGGCTAACATTCTCCTTTCCCTTCCTTCCCCACAACAAACACTCTGTGAGGTGAGTGGGGCTGAGAGACTTCAAAGAAGTGTGACTAGCCCAAGGTCACCCAGCAGCCGCATGTGGAGGAGCGGAGACGCGAACCCAGTTCACCAGATTACGAGTCTACTGCTCTTAACCACTACACCCCCCCCTCACACCCATCTCTCTTATGAGTGAAAAGACTTTGATGGGGGCCTTCTCTGTGGCAGTGCCCAAAATGCTGAACTCCCTGCCCTATGTTGGGATTTGCCTGGCCCATCCTTTTTATGGCTTCTCACTCCCAGGCTTTCTCTCTCACACACCCCTTTGATGGCTTTTAGTCTCCCAGCTATAGCTTTTGCTCTGCTGTGGTTTAGCTTTGTTAACATACTAGCAGTCTCATACGTGGCACTGCTCAGGATTTCTAAGAAAACAAAAAAAGCAAAGCAGTTTTGAAATCAGTAGATAAAATCAGTGAAGTGCTGAAAGCTTCAGTCTGCTATCCAAACACCATCCAATTGATTCCAAACACAGATGAAAGAAAACCTGCTCCTTGATCTCAGAAACGACCATGTAAGAAGACTGAGCTAAATTCCATTTTGAAAGGTTCAGTCCAGCATCTTGATTCAAAAGGGCATCCAGTTCTACCCAAACGCAAGACAAAAACATGCTCCTTGATCTCAGGAATAGCCATGCAAAATTGGCGCTGTGGGTTAAACCACTGAGCCGAGGACTTGCCGATAAGAAGGTTGGCGGTTCGAATCCCCGCGACGGGGTGAGCTCCCGTTGCTCGGTCCCTGCTCCTGCCCACCTAGCAGTTCGAAAGCACGCCAAGCGCAAGTAGATAAATAGGTACTGCTCCAGCGGGAAGGCAAATGGCGTTTCCGTGTGCTGCTCTGGTTCGCCAGAAGCGGCTTAGTCATGCTGGCCACATGACCTGGAAGCTGTACGCCGGCTCCCTTGGCCAATAAAGCGAGAAAAATATGGTAGATGGATTTCAGTGTATTTTTGCATTAAAGGTAAAGGTAAAGGGACCCCTGACCATTAGGTCCAGTCGTGGCCGATTCTGGGGTTGCAGCGCTCATCTCGCTTTATTGGCCGAGGGAGCCAGTGTACAGCTTCTGGGTCATGTGGCCAGCAGGACTAAGCCGCTTCTGGCGAACTAGAGCAGCACACGGAAACGCCGTTTACCTTCCCGCCGGAGCGGTACCTATTTATCTACTTGCACTTTGACGTGCTTTCAAACTGCTAGGTTGGCAGGAGCAGGGACCGAGCAATGGGAGCTCACCCTGTCGCGGGGATTCAAACCGCCGACCTTCTGATCGGCAAGTCCTAGGCTCTGTGGTTTAACCCAGCCACCTGTGTCCCATTTTTGCATTATTCGTGTTATATTGCAAACTTCACTGAGAGTGCTCTGAGTGAAAAGGGGGGGGGGATAAAAATCAACAAAATAAATAAATAAATAGGTGTTGAGCGCCCTCATCCACTCTCAGGTCTTTACCCTGGAATAGAGTACTGCTGCTGTTCTATACTCCTTTTTTCGAAACCATTTGTTCCCCTCCTCCTTGCAGGACAGAGTCATCTTAGGATCTTTCTTCACACAATAGTACCTGGACAGCCTGAGCAAATACTCTTCATCTTCAGGACTACAAGAGGGAGAAAAGAGCAAGAGACAGGGGGAGAGATTTGAGACAGGTGTGCAGAGAGTCAGCACTAGAGATGTCACAGAATTCTGTCAAAACAGGAAATGAGAGCAGGAATGGCATTAGTTTGTGTGCTCATCTGCAAACAGGAATACATATCAGGCAGCAAATACAATTGGTATTGGCTGTTATAATCTAATGCAAGAACATAAGAAGAACCAAAGGGGGCCCATTTAGTCCAGCATCCTGGTCTCACACTGGCTTGTGGGAAAGCTGCAAGCAGGATTTGAGCACAAGAGCAACTCTTCCCTGCTTTGATTTGAGCAGCTGGTATTCAGAAGTATTGTTACCCCCAGCTGTGAAAGCAGAGCATAGCCATCATAGCTACTAGCCACTGATAGAGCTCTCCATGCATTTGTCTAATCTTCTTTAGAGCCATCTAGGTTGGTGGCCATTGCTGCCTTTTCTGTCCACGATTCGCTGTCATTATTTGCAACATGCTCCCCTCCGAGAAATGAATCGCGTGGCACTGCATAACAATCACAAATTAACGATGTTATTAAATTTCACCATAGTCAAGCAGCTAGCTCAACGTTTTTGGTTTTTTTCAGAAGCCGAACTGCAGAGGAACAGCATGCAGGCTTCTCAGCAAAATATTCACACACATCGCTCAAAGTTACTTACTGAAAAAGAGTCAAGGAAAGAAGAAAGCTGTCCCTGAGCGACATGGAGTGACAAAGTTGTTCCTTCAATAATGGCTGCAGTGAAGTCAGTTTCTGGCTAATGTAAAGCTTCCATTTTTCCACAGGTAAGTCCATGATAAGCTAGAAACAAATCCATCCAAATTTTGATTAACCATTCAGAGGCTATACGATCTACAGCTATTTGATAATGCACTGGTGTTCAGCTGGTGGGTTGGGACTCACTTGTGGGTCATAGAATCACATAACTGTAGAGTTGGAAGGGACCCCAAGGCATAGCTGTCAACTTTTCCCTTTTCTTGCGAGGAATCCTATTCGGAATAAGGGAATTTCCCTTAAAAAAGGGGAAACGTTGACAGCTATGCCCCAAGGGTCATCTAGTGCAAGCCTCTGCAATGGTAGGTTAAAACAATAGCACTACTGCAATGCCAATATATGGTAAAAGATTAGGAAAAGTGCCCCAAATGCACATTTGAGTTAAAAGTGGGTCCTGGGCTTGAAAAGGTTGAAGATACCTGATTTAACAGAGGGTGAATTTAGACCAGAGCAGGTGGAAAATTAGTAGTAGTAGTACTTTATTAAAGTTATCCTTCATCCAAGGATCACAGGGCGGTTTACAATACAGTATAAAAACACAAAAATACATGCTCTAATAATGACAAAAATATATAATAAATTGGACATTTTAAAAAAAATCTCTTGCATCAAAGACATATGAGGGTGTGCTTCTGGGTGCTAACCAGGGATGAGGAACCTGCTGTGGCTCTCCCTTCAAATGCCTTTGCGCTCCCAATTCTTCTTGGCTCCACCAGTCAGCATGGCTTGCGACCAGGGGCTGTGATGACATCTACAGATATCCCTCCCCTCCCAAAGATATCCCCCACACCTACCATGCAGCCTATTTCACAGGGTTGTTGTGAAGGTAAAGCTGGGGCAGGTGAGTATGGTGCTTGTCACCCTGGAGGGAAGAAGAAGCAGGACAAGGACGATGACAGCAATAATGGTACTGCTCCAAAAAGAACTAGAAATCCCATCCCCAGAGCTTTCATCCTATGCTGAAACCACACCTCTTCCCCCTGGCATTTGGCACTTGAGATAGAACCATAGGACTGTAGAGTTGGAAAGGTCCCCGAGGGTCATCTAGTCGAACCCCCTGCAATGCAGAAATCTCAATCAACACATCTATGACAGAAGGCCTTCCGACCTCTGCTTAAAAACCTCCAATGAAAGAGAGTCCACCACCTTCTGAGGGGGACTATTCCACTTTGAACATCCCTTCCTGATGTTGAGTCGGAATCTCCTTTCTTGCAACTTGAAGCCATGGGTTCGAGTCCTACCCTCTGGAGCAGAAGCAAGCAAGCATGTTCCTCTTCTATGCGACAGCCCTTGAGATATTTGAAGATGGCTCTATCTCCTCTTTTCCAGGCTAAACATCCCCAGCTCCTTCAACTGTTCCTCATCAGGTTGGTCTCAAGACCCTTTGCCATCTTGGTCACCTTCGTTCCTGCTTCTCAATATCCTTCTTAAATGGGGGTAGCCAGAACTGAACGTTGGTCTCTTTCTCTCTACCCACCCTCACAAATATTCATACATTTAATACCCAGCCTAGCATTGTGATTGCAGTGTTTTTTTCATTCTTTTTAATTCAGAATTTTAAACTGTTGTGACTCACCCTGGAACCTGCAGGTGAAGGTTGAGTAGTAAGTTGTAAGTATACTGATAATAGAACTATAATAGCAGTGCTGCAAAAGGAGGGGAGGAGAAGAACAACAATTGTTGTACCCAGTTCCCTAACCACTCGCTCTTGCTTCTCGTACCCCGCCTTTTCCCGAGAGAGGCTCAAGGCGGCTTACAGCTGCGGCAGAGAAATCTCTTGGCCCCTCGCCTGGCAGAGGAGGGGTCTAGTCCGACTAAAACTTAGACACAACCCCGTCATGCTACTTGAGCGAGGATAATAATAATAATAATAATAGCAATGGCGGCAATAACACCGCACCAAGAAAGAGCGGAGGGAGGCTGTTCGGTGCCCCCGACCCTCAATGTTCTCGCCCCCGCCGCCCCGACCACCAAAGGCGCCTCAGAAGAAGCGCCCGCGCGGGAATCTGCGCGCCTTTCCTCCTCCCGTTGTTTTCCACCTCAGCGCGAAAAGGCGCGAAAGCGAGAGGAGGGCCCGGCGCGGCTGCGGCGCTGCCGGCGGTGAAGCGGGGAGGCGGCTCCGGGGCCCGCCTTCCGCCCTCACCAGGCTCCCCTCGGCCAATGGAGCCTCCGCGGCAGCAGCACGTGACGGAGGGAAAGGCGGCGGCGGCTGCCTCGCGCGCGCGGGACGAGGAGGCCGGCTCCGCCCCCCTCCCGCTCTCCTCAGAAGCGCCGTCGCCGAGGAAGAAGAGGAGGCCGGGATGGCGGCGCGGCTCAGCGAGGGGGCCATCGCGGTGAGAGGGGAGGCGGGGAGGGGACTCTGCACATGCTCGCGCGCACGGCGCTCCCGCTTCCTCTGCCGTGGCTTTTTTTAGTGAGGCTGAGGAGAGCGGGAGCCGCCAACCCCGGATTAATGACTCCTAGCGCTTTCCTGGCGACTTTGCAAGTAATATTTGCACGTGGCTAGAAATCCAGTTCGGGAATACACGAAAGTACACGTGTGTCTGTGTGTGTGTGTATGCAAGAACGTGCATAACTTACAGTTGGTTACATAAGTTTGCTTATACGTGTATGTTTTCCATTTTACATACTTGTATATACAGTGGTACCTCGGGTTACAGACGCTTCAGGTTACAGACTCTGCTAACCCAGAAATAGTGCTTCATGTTAAGTACTTTGCTTCAGGATGAGAACAGAAATCGCGCGGCAGCAAGAGACCCCATTAGCTAAAATGGTACCTCGGGTTAAGAACAGTTTCAGGTTAATAACGGACCTCTGGAACGAATTAAGATCTTAACCCGAGGTACCACTGTAATCCCTAAATCGTAGGCACTTTATGTGTGCATGTGCCTATTTGTATGTTACCCTGCCAGGGTGGTCTGCAGCCACAATAAAAACATCAGAAACCATTTTTTAAAGTACAGAACAGTCATTGGAATGTCTGGCTACTGAAGAATGCCTGTGTATCCACACACTTATTTGCATCAATATGAACTGCAAGGGGAGAGAGACTTTCCATCTGGCCAGCATCAGGCAATGGCTCTTTCCACCTGCCTTGCCCCCTCCAACCCTGGCAGCCTTCATGAGAGAGCTGCTCCAGAGTGTTACGAAAATTACAGGGGGGGCGCACATCTTTAAAGTTAAATATTACAAATATTATGCCTGAATGTATCCTTTCAACTTGACAGCTCAGGGAAGTTCCCTAGCTTTAAAAATAATATAAAATCATCACCTTTCCCAGTTTCCTCCATTCCAAAGCTATTTTCCCCTTGAAAAAGGACTCCAGGAAGTTCTCAGAGGTGAAAATTGCTGGGCTCATTGTTAGCCAAAGGAAGCCAAATCTCATCACCTGACTCGCCTCAGGCTCCAGACGTGCAAAGGAACTTCTATTGTACTTTTGGGTGGTGGGTACTTAAGACATATTTGTCTATGCTCATCTTATACCTGGGTCTTGCCCTGACATGTCTGCTTATGCTAATCTTGTACCAAGGACTTGTCTGGACATGTTTGCTAAGTTTAACCCCTCCCCTTTTGTGACATGTCCGTGATATAGCAATGATGCTGTACAAACTGTATTCTGGGATATGGTGGGGAAGTTTTAAAAGTCTTTGTCACCCCATCCTCGGGGTTCAAATTTGCTCTTTGAACCTATTGCGTAATAAACTTTGGTCTACAGCTATTTGCTCCAGTTGGCTGGACTCCTTTCTTTATTCCGCAGGGACCCGCGGGCTCTGCCCGACGAGCTGGGTGACTGAGCAGCCTCGCACCTAGATTTTTTCCATAACATTAGGAAGAACTGCAAGGGGAGAGAGACTTATTTTTATTTATTTGTTCATATCCCACCTTTTCGCCAAAACAGGGACTCAAGGCGACACAGGGTAGAGTTGTATCAAGCATTAGCCCTGCTCAAAGTAAACCTTTTATCATTAACGTGTGATGAATAGCTTAGTCTTTTAACCCTGGGCCCGGTTTCGGCCGGGGAGGGTGGGATACAAATAAAAGTTGCTGCTTCTTCTTATTATTTCAGTGGGTCTCCTTTGAGTGATAATGTAGTCCAGAAAAATACAATAATTTATTACCTGCCTTTCACCATAAGGTTCCTGGGCAGGTTACAACAATTAAAACACAATGTTTAAAACAGTTTAAAACAGTTTAAAACAACTTAAAATCGCAGATAAAAGGTCGGCTCTCATCGGGTGCCAAAAACTGGAGGGCTGCAGGTTCCCCACTCCCTGCCTCCTAGATATGCTCCTTTTGCAGGCTGGGGGAGCTGGAATTGCCTCCCTGGGGAACCACCTGTAAATGTGCTGATCCTTGCTCCAGGAGAATGAAAAACTTCATTTAGTCCAAGGAACCCTTTTCCTGAGATCAGGCCATTCACCCTCTCTTGCTCAAAGGCGTCAGCTGTCTATTTCTTTTTTCAGGCCATGATGCAAGGAGAGAATGTTAATAATCCCGTCTTGCAGCTCATTGTGAGTATTCCCTGCTGCCTGTCCAATAAGCTTCAAGATAAATGTACAGGAGGCCAGGTACTGGCCTTCGGGGGGGGGGAGCTTTACCATCTTGACCCAGGGGGCAAAGCATTGGGGACACTGTATGTGTCCTTCACATTACTGTTCTTGCCTTAAGTCAGCTCTCCTTGTTGGACCTAACCGTGCCTCTTGTGCTTTTCTGTGCAGACCATCCGAGCTATCTCCACTGGAACCGGCCCACAGCGTTACCGGATGCTGATGAGTGATGGCGTGCAAACCCTTTCCTGTAAGCATCACGTGCACAGAGACAGTTGGTTGGAGGGACATTGCTGCAAGATGCTCCTGGACATCAGCACTGGCGATTTGGAGGGGTGTTGGTGTAGCTCAGTTGTAGAGCCACAGGCTTACACCCAGAAGATCCCAGGCTCAGCCCTTGGCACACCCTTCTTAAAAAAGGACCCTGAGTTAGACAGGCTAGGAGAACCCTCTGCCTGAGACCTTGGGCGGCCACCGTCAGCCAAACATGGTACTACTAGGCTAAATAGACCATATGCCGTTGTGACTAGAGGCCCACTGCCAATGTGCATTTACAAGAGGGTGTGGATTGCAATCACAAGGTCTTAAGAGTTTACCCTACACTGGTGAAGTAACTTTCCTAATTCCTGCTCCAGTGAAGTTTGACTTACTCTCTCTCCACCTTGCTGCTTGGCTATTGGTTAGATAAAGACTAAAGAATCGGTGGTTTTGGTTTTACTTCCTTCCAAAGAATCCTGGGGACTGTAGTTTACCCTTCTCAGAGCTACAGTTCTCAGCACCCTTAACAAACTGCATTTCCCAGCATTCCTTAGTGGTGGTGGAACATGCTTTTAAATGTATGGTGTATTCACAGCCCTTTTCCCCCTCCAGAAAAATAGGAACTTGCTTTGGTAGGGTTTGGTGGAAGCCTTCTTGTGCTAGGGGCCTCAGCATGTTCTTGAGCCTTTGGGTTTGAGAGCTTTTTATGTTCTTTATTAAAAACAAAAAAGGAAAAAGAAAAGGGGGGAGAAAACTTAAAGGATTGTTATTATACATATCCTGAACTTTATCTAATGCAGTGTTTATACAGTGGTACCTCGGGTTACATACGCTTCAGGTTACAGACTCTGCTAACCCAGAAATAGTACCTCGGGTTAAGAACTTTGCTTCAGTATGAGAACAGAAATCGTGTGGCGGCATCAGGAGGCCCCATTAGCTAAAGTGGTGCTTCAGGTTAAGAACAGTTTCAGGTTAAGAACGGACCTCCGGAATGAATTAAGTACGTAACCAGAGGTACCACTGTACCACTGATTTCCATATATTGTTGACTTTGTCCATAGCAAGTCTACGTTTATATGTAATTTGCTCATGCGTTGTGAGTTTATACATATCTTTTATCCATTCGCTGAAGGGAGATGCATTTTTGTTCTTCCGGTTCATTAAAACCAGTCTTTTTGCTGTATTAAGGGCATCTAGAATCTATTCATACTGTCTCTTAGTTAGATTGCATGTATTGGGAATATAATTCAAAGGGATATTTTCCTCTGCAAATTCAAGATTTTTCTGTATAGTCATGTTAATCATTTCTATTACTCCCTTCCAAAAATTTACCAATGTGGGACACTGTATGAACTTAGGTTTTTTTAAGAGTTTGAGAGCTGTTGTGTCACGTGGCTTAACATGGCTTCAGTTTCTTGGCTTAATGTAGAGGCTATTCTGTCTCAAATTGTCTTTTTGGGAACGGAATGTTGGTTTGCATTTCAACTATATCCGTAGAATCATAATCAGTGCAAGATGCAGTTGCAGGCCTCCTTGGCGTGTGGCTGTCCTCCAGTTTTTATTCAGGCACCTCTATCAAAGCAGAGTCAGTCTTTGGGTGGGTTGTTGATGAAATGAGTGTTGATTTAAGTCAAGCAGTTCTTAGATCCCTGAGCAGTAACCTGAAGTCTTATCACAGCCAGGCCACAATCACGCGGTGCCTCCTTTCACCTCATAAAATACTTTCCCCCTCCTTTCTTCTTTTTCTTCTACAGCTTTCATGCTGGCAACACAGCTGAACGACCTGGTTAATGACCAGGGCTTGAGTGCAAATGCCATCTGCAAGATTAACAGGTTCATCATTAACGTCCTGAAGGATGGAAGGTAACGGCTCAATCTGTGATAAAAGTGAGGGCCTATGATTCTGCTTTACAATCCAATCCCCTCTAGTGTGACATTAAGGTCCAGGCATGGTGTTTTATTCCTCTTGGTATGGTTTTGCGGTGTTTCATCTTAGCCCTCAGGTCTGCCACGGCAACCTGGGGAGGAAGTTTGCAACAGCAGTTTTTCCTTAGATTTTTGAATTGCCTTGTTTACCCACACATAGCCACATTGAGGGTCTAAAAAAACAAAAAGGACCAGCTCTCGGAAGATTCGGACTACAACTCCCATCAGCCCCAGCATCATAATGGCTGTACAATGCTGGTGCTGATGGGAGTTGTAGTCCAAAACATCTAGAGTGAGCGCTGGCTTCTGGGGAGCCTGATCTAGGGTTCAAGACTCCGATACAGCATTGTGTCCCCTCCTTGTGGAGAGCAGGCAAGCAGGCAGCAATTTCTTACACATTTTGTGTTTTTATTCTGTTTCAGATTTTGGGTAATTTTTAATGCTTTTTAATCTCTGTTGTAAACCCCTCGCAGAACTTCACTTATTGGGTAGTGTTGAGCAAATAAATCACAAAATCACATGTGACAAAAGTGGTTTCTTTTATGGGCCATAAAATGTGAAACCACCATCTGATCCAATGGTAGTTAAAATGCATTCGAAATAAGAAAACAATGGGCAGACAGAATGTATTATTTCCAGTTCGCCTTTCTCTGCTTCCTCAAGATTTCCAAATCTTGGACTGTAACCCCACCCCACCCCCAATACTCTTAAATCCAGTACAGTGGTACCTCAGGTTACATACGCTTCAGGTTACAGACTCCGCTAACCCAGAAATAGTGCTTCACGTTAAGTACTTTGCTTCAGGATGAGAACAGAAATCGTGCTCCGGCAGTGTGGCAGCAGCTGGAGGCCCCATTAGCTAAAGTGGTGCTTCAGGTTAAGAACAGTTTCAGGTTAAGTACAGACCTCTGGAACGAATTAAGTACTTAACCTGAGGTACCACTGTACTAATACAGGGGTGGGTAAACTCAGACCCGAGCCCTTTCTGACTCTCCAACATGATTCTCCAGCCCTCTCTGTCTGGCTTGCAAAACTTGACCCAGCTTTGCACCTCGAGTATTTTAGCAGGGCTGGGAAAGTAACTTTAAACCCTGGTGATGCTCCTTGGTTTCCTGAATGGAAGATAGAGAGGGGTTTGTGAGTAGAAACTAGCTGACTGTACAAAGGTAAAAACTGCCGTGTGTTGCTCTGCCTACTTTTCCCTCTGGTCCTGCTTACTGCTGCCATGGGACCCTTGGAAAATTGCTGTGAAGGAAATGTGGCCCTTGCATGCAGCCTCCCCACCCCTATTCTAACATATGAGGACCTTCAGGTATAGGGTGGTATATAAATTCAATAATTAAAATTAAAGTGCAGCATGGATTGTAGGTGCTGTAGCACTTAAATCCCCAGTTTGGGTTACCTCTGCCTCTCAGGTATTGCCCTGTGGCAAAAGATCCTGGCTCCTGTTTACCTTTCCAGCTCACAGTCTCTTAACAAGCAAAGCAGGCACCAGGCGGGTAAAACTTCAGCTTTTTCTTTGCAGGAAGGTGGTTATTGTGATGGATTTAGAAGTCCTCCAGACGGCCGACATGGTGGCGGGGAAGATAGGCAATCCAGTGCAGTACACTGAAGGTAAGGAGCTTTCCTGAGCAATGGGTCTGCAGGGGCCTTGTTCTGGCATCTTAACTGCCGCGATGCCCTTTTCAATGATGTGTTTTCCCTGTCCTAATGAGAAACAGGGATTTTGTGTTTTGGCTTGAAATGCCTTTGTGTCTGGATTAGCGATTTCTTCTCTGCTGACGTCCCCCGTTACTCCGGGATCACTTCTCTCATTCATAACTCCTTCCGCTTTGGTGAGCGGTCGCCACCGTTGGAATGTGCTCGGCCCTTTGGAACAGAGTCGGATGACGCTAAAATTGAGTTTTCGGCGCCCAGTAGGCAGGGCACATCTCAGATGAAGGATTAAATCCATCAGCCCAAGAGAAGGTGGCAAGTGTTCTAGGGAGAACCCATATTTAAGAATGCTATGAGTTATTTGCAACACACTGGTGAACCACAAAATTTCCTTGTCCTCACAGAGAGGAGCTGCGGGAGTTAGTTGGTTCATAGGTTGAGTCAAATCAGCCTGACTTAATGCAGATGATTTGAACTTCACAAATTTGTGGAGCGTAAATCTAAAGCATAAATTCAGGTCCAGAAGGAAAATATTCTGGGAGTACAAAAACAGTTTTCGTTGTCCATTTGCTGAAGTGTGGAAATAAACAACCCTACAGCCTGGATATCCACAGCCCTTAAAGCTTAGTGTGTGCCTGTTTTAAATGCAGCATAGATGAAAATGAGATTTTATAATGAGACTTCACTATATAGCTGCTAGGGTTATTATTGTTTATTGAAATATTTTTTATCCCCCTCTTAACCACCCCCCCCCCCGAGGCTCACAGACTTGAAGAGGCCGGGGGCGGGGAGAGAGAGAGAGAGACAGTCCCTGCCCTCATGAGACATGGCACAAAATGAATATGGGTTGGGAGAAAGTTAGAAACAAGCAATCTGAGGTTCAAGTTCTTGAGTTTACAAATACTGTATTTTTCGCCCTATAGGACGCACTTTTTCCCCTCCAAAAATGAAGGGGAAATCTGTGTGCGTCCTATGGGGCGAATGCAGGCTTTCGCTGAAGCTTGGAGAGCGAGAGGGGTCGGTGCGCACCGACCCCTCGCTCTCCAGGCTTCAGGAAGCTATCAGCAAGCCTAGGGAGCCCGTGGGAGTTCCTGCAGGGCTCCCTAGGCTGCGGATAGCAGCCTGCTGCCCGGAGCGCGGGGCGCACTAACGCAGAGCGCCCCGCGCTTCGGGCAGATATCCGCAGCCTAGGGAGCTCTGTGGGAACTCCCACAGGGCTCCCTAGGCTGCAGATAGCAGCCTGCTGCCCGGAGCCTGCTGAAGCAGAGCGCCCCGCACTAGTTCCAGGAGTTTCCTCCATCCTCTGCGTTTTATTTTATTTGAAGACGTGTATGCGGCTTAAATTTAGGTAAAAGTTATGAGCGGTTTACAAAGAATGTACAAGGTTCTGGCCAGTGCTACTCCTCAGAGTAGACCCATTGAAATTGATGGACATGAGCAGCCAAAATGCAACTGATAAACTGTACAGTTTATCAGCATTCACCAATGTGGTGCCCTCCATGGTGCCTGGGACTGGCGTGAGCTGGGAGCCCAACAGCCCCCTGCTCTGTACACTGCTTTGACTGGTTGAGCAGTTGCACGAAAGACCGCAAGGGAGCAGGTTAGACTTTCCTTGCCAACTCTTGCCACTGAAATGGCTTTCCCCCCTTTGCTTCCCAGGCACTATGCAAGCAGGGCAGCAGCAGAGCTCTGGGAGCCTGGCAACCAACCAAGCCCCTAGCAGGCCAGCACATCCGAATGAGAGCACAGCCGCAGCAGCCACAGCAGCAGGTAAATGGTCCAGGATGTGTGAAGCAGAGAGAGAAGGAGGTTTGAGGAGTAGCAAGAGAAGGTCGTGTCTTGCTGCTCCCATGCGGCTTGGCTTCTCTTGTCTGTGTGAGGTCAGGGTTGCATTCAAAACCACTGGTCAAAATGTTACTTGCTGCAATTTGAAGGGGGGGGGAGGTGTGGTGGTTGGTTGGTTTATGGCTGAAGGCCCTTCCCAGTCTTGAGATCTGTGTAGGTTTTAGTTAGGGGTAGCCAATGTGGTGTCCTGCAGATACTGCCAAGCTCCAGCTCCCGACAGCACCTCTGACCATTGGCCAAGGTGACTGCTGGGAGTTGGAGGCCAGCTGTGTCTGGCAGAGGGGCCATCCCTGCGCTAAGCTCATTCTGGCCTCACAAGAACTGGAGAGATTTGGGCTGCCCTGTGCTAAGTCAGGGCTGCCGCCATTCTTAAATACCCAGAGCAAACCCATGGGAATTGATGTACAGTGGTGCCTCGCAAGACAAAATTAATCCGTTCCGCGAGTCTCTTCGTCTAGCGTTTTTTTCGTCTTGCGAAGCAACCCTCTTAGCGGCTTAGCGGATTAGTGCTATTAGCGGTTTAGCGGCTATTAAAGGCTTAGCAGCTTAGCGGCTAAAAGGCTATTAGCGGCTTAGCGGCTTAGAGAAAGGGGGGGGGAGCGAAAAAAATCTCAAGACTCGCAAGACATTTTCGTCTTGCGAAGCAAGCCCATAGGGAAATTCGTCCTGCGAAGCGCATCGAAAAACGGAAAACCCTTTCGTCTAGCGGGTTTTTCATCTTGCGAGGCATTCGTCTTGCGGGGCACCACTGTACGTGGCTCACATAGGCCCATTACTTCCAGTGGATCTACTTTGTCGTATGCAGCTATAGGATCTTTTGAGCGAAAGGGCAAAGAGGTTTTGCTCAGTGGGCGCCCACTTCATAGGGACGTAGGAAGCTGCCTTATACAATGCCCCTCTAACCCAGTATTGTCTGCACTGGTTGGCAGAAGCTCTTGAGCAAACTTTTTCAGCAGGGGGCCAGTCCACTGTCCCTCAGACCTTGTGGGGGGCCAGACTATATTTGGGGGGGGATGAATGAATTCTTATGCCCCACAAATAACCCAGAGGTGCATTTTAAATAAAAGGACGCATTCTACTCATGTAAAAACACGCTAATTCCTGGACCGTCCATGGGCTGGATTTAGAAGGCGATTGGGCTGGATTCAGCCCCCGGGCCTTAGAAGAGTTTGGATTTGATATCCCGCCTTTCACTCCCCTTCAGGAGTCTCAAAGCGGCTAACATTCTCCTTTCCCTTCCTCCACCACAACAAACACTCTGTGAGGTGAGTGGGGCTGAGAGACTTCAGAGAAGTGTGACTGGCCCAAGGTCACCCAGCAGCTGCATGTGGAGGAGCGGAGACGCAAACCTGGTTCCCCAGATTATGAGACTACCGCTCTTAACCACTACACCACACTGGCTCTCAGTTTGCCTACCCATGCTCTTGGGGGTTTCAGGCAGGGAGCCTTTCCCAACCCTAGGTGGAGCTGCAGTCAGGGATGGAACCTGCATGCAAGGCAAGTACTCTGTCACCAGGCGCTGCTATCGTTCGCTCTGCTGGCCTCTGCATGGAGCCGGCCTTGAGCTGGGGATAGGGGAGCACCTCTGGCCCTCCAGCTGTTGCTGGACTCTCAGCTCCCATCATCCCCAGCATGTCCAGTGGTAAGGGTTGGTGGGGATTGTAGCCCAGCAGCATCCGGGGGGGGCACAGATATTTCCTTCCCCCTGCTTTAAATGGAAAGCCAGAAAGTCCTGCAGGTGGGGAAAAGTAACATCAAAGCATACTGGACTTGATTTGCCAAAGGTTTCTCTTGGTGCTTCGCTCAACACTGAGCTCTTTGAGTTTGGCTCCTGGATCGTTGGCAACAAACGTTTATAATTAAAAGTGCCTTTTTGTTTCCAAGGGGTGAGTGGTGCTAACAGGGAGGATGGTGACACGGAGTTGAAAGGCAAATTGAAAAAGAGAGGCAGACGCTGAAATTGAAACAGAAAAATAATTTTTAGCCCCTGTCAGGTTACAGCGGAGCTTCATTAATAATGATAGAGCCAGTCATTTTCGTAGCTTGCAGAAAATTATCAGAGGCGCACACTGTAATTGTTATCTAAATGAGGAAACACAGCTTTGTGCTGGCATTTGATAGGCAGCTTAATTCTTTTTCTCTCTCCCCCCCCCCCCTTTTTACTTATTATTAAGGCATTATTTCACAACAGCGAAACAAACTGCGGTGCAGCGTAAATTATTCAGCATAAGAGAAAAGGAAATACATGTCTTGCAAAAGGAGTTTACATATCAGAACAGCTTGTGTATATATTGCTAACATTATAAAACTTCCGGAGGCAGACTAGTCGGTTGCAACAGAAACCCCTGCAAAAGTGTCTTGTTGCCACCTCAGAAAAGACAATGCACATTTATGAAGGTGCGATCCCTCGTAGGCGGCAGCCCATTTCACTAGAGGTGCAAAGCGTAGGCCAGAATAAGTATGTTTTAAGTCTTTAAGATGCTGAAAGGATCTGTGTTGATTTTAATATTGTAAACACCCTCCCTCACCCCCCACTGGTGCTGCAGTTTGTCCTCTTTTTCATGGAATGTGAAATTCAAGTGATAACAGAGAATGTTAGCAAACTGCATAATGAGGCTTTCCCCCCCTTGCAATACTCAGTGTGGCTGGTGGGGGGCAGCGTTTGCACACAGAATTGCTATAGAAGGGTACAAGGCACTAGACTGTGAACTGTCACAGGGTGCCAGCTGAGTGTTGCGGTGATTGTTCCCTTTGGGCAGAGCAGGATGCTCTTGGCCATAAAAGCTAAATGCAAAACAACAACAAAAAGTTGTGGTAATAGCTTGTACCAGCTCTTGCCTTTGCTTGAGATATTGAAAGGGTGGGGTGGGGGAAGTGGCCGAGTGGCGCCAGAACCAGTCTGTCCTGGGTTTTGGTCAATACATGGAAGGAGCTCAAGTGCCAGGCTATCTTGATGTCGCTGCTGCGCCGCAGAGCTGAATCCCTGATCGTAGGATTGTCGAGTCGGAAGGGACAGTGAGAGGCATCTAGTCCAACCCTCTGCACTGCAGGAGTCACTGCTAAATAATCCCCAATTTATGGCTACCCAAGATCTGTTTAAACAAACTCCAGCAAACAAGAGTCTGTCACCTTCTGAGGAAGTCAATTCCCCCATCGAACAGCCTTTGCTGCCAGAAAGTTCTTCCTAATGTTTAGCTCGATACATCTCTTGTCTTTAGGGTCTGCGTCAAAATACATCACCCCTTCAAAGGTGCCTGGGAAGGCAGGCGGCTCCAGCTTCCTGAGCACCCCTGGGGGCTCCCAGACCAAAGTGGTGCCCATTGCCAGTCTGAACCCGTACCAGTCCAGGTAAGTTGTCCAGCGTGAGGGCCTGCCACCACCATGGCCTGAACGCCCTGGGCACTCAGAGCTGCGTTAGCTTCACGTCAGGGCTTGCTGCCCCATTGCCCTATGCTTGTGTCTCTGGTCCTAATTGCTTAGCCCCAACTACTGTGGGATTAACCTCTCCCGGTTGGGTGACAGATTAATTTTTAGGAAGTTGATTTTGAAGCCTGCAGGTGCCTCTCTTTTTTTGGGGGGGGGGGAAGGGCTTTGCTCCTGTGGCACAAAGTCTGCAGAATCCGATGCAAGCTGCGCTCTTGAGTGCACGTGCATGCGTCTTTGCCTTGTTTTTCTTCCCAGCGAAAACAGAGTGTCCTTCCCAACTGCGTTCCTAGCAGGTGGCTTGGGCATGGCAGGCTTCCATTGTGCCTGTTTACCGTCCTTGTTCCTTTGCGTTTCGGGTTTCCAATGCTGCCGTGCTTCATTCAGCAAGTCACTGGCTGTAGTCATTGGTGTAAATTGTGGGGGAAGGCGAAGAATAGGGAGGCTTACTCCTACTGCGGCAGAACAAAGGGGCTTTTGTGCTACGAGATGTACGAGAGCTATGAGCTGAATGCCACTTATTCCATATGCACATCTGATGAAGTAGGCTGTTGCCTACAGAAGTGCCTGCCAGGCGTGTTCCTTTGTCTCTGCCCTGTAGGTGCTCTGCTGGGTGAGCGGGAGGCAGTCCCTGGATCAGCCATTGGCTGTCATGAGGCTTGTAAGGCGGGGTTGGAGGCCCTTTCAGCCTCATTCTCTTGTGGGGGGTAACCTTCTGGAGAGCCCACATGCCAATGCTGGGCGTGGCTGGAGGCAGAATTGGGTGGAACACCAGATTTGATCTGTATTCCAGTGGGATCGGTGCCAGTGGTTTCTGTAGGACCACATCTCTTACCCTGGCAAAAGCACTCTAGGAGAGAGGGGTGCAGGGAAGGGGTGGAGTGGGAAGCCCTTTGGGGAGGGGGAGTCCAGAGGGCTGGACAGACAGGCCTAGAGGGCTTCGTTCTCCCCCCTCCACACACACACACACACACACACACGGTAAGAGACTGCAGCCCTTCCTGTGTGGTTCTTCCCTGATCTTAAAATGGATTTCAAGGCTGTCCGTCTATAAAGGCTCTGGAAGAGATGCTGGCAGGAGCTAGTCCAAGTGGGCTGGCAAGGTTCCTAATTCTCCCCTGTGGTTCTAGGTGGACAATTTGCGCCCGGGTGACTCAGAAGGGCCAGGTCCGTGCATGGAGCAACTCACGTGGGGAAGGGAAGCTTTTCTCCATCGAATTGGTTGATGAAAGTGTAAGTGTTTGTGGCGAGGGGCGAATTGAAGGCTGGATTGGGGTTGGTGGGAGTTGTAGTCCAAACCCTCCAGCAGGCACCCAACTGGCAAAGGCTGTTGCAGAAGAAAACTACAGAGAGATCAGCCAAAAGCTCTGAACTTTCTACACGCTCCCGTCTCTGCTGCCGCCACTGGATTCAACAGCCTACCTTTCCTTGAACGCTCTGAGTTCAAATCGACCATTCCCCCATTCCCAGTCTTGAAATGGAATATTTACTCCGCTGCTTATTCCCTGAGAGACAGAGACTGGCCCAAGGTCACTCAGTGACTAGGACCATGTCTCCTCCAGACCTTCTCTAGCCTTCTACCCCACAGGTTCTCTGTCCACCGAAAACCTTGTGTCAGTAAGGAGGAACTTTTAGAGAGTAGAGCAGCCTGCTGGTTTCTGTTGCTGCACCCCTTTAATGGACAGCTGGCTCTGCTGCTGCTGCTGCAGCAGTGTGGATTGCAGGTTCTCCCCCCCCCCCCCCACCCAGCCGCCCTGTGGAATCGGGGAGGTATGGTATGCAAATGATTAGCATCTCCAAACAGAACATCTTTTTAATTGGAAAATAAATATGTAACTGGAGGAAAACTCCTGCCTCCAGTTTGTTTGTGAGGAGGGAAGCTTGATTAGCCAAGCCCTGTACTTAAGCTCTGTAATTCCAAGCTTTTGATCAAATTACAGCTCTCTTCGCTGCGCAGAGGCTTGTTGCCTGCTTGTCTGCGTGTGTGGAAACATTTTTTGGGGGGGAGGTGTGGCTCTGAACTCCTGGCACATCCTCGTCAGCTGTTCCTTTTGCTTCCTCTCTATCTCCGTGCTGTCAGGTTCCTGACTGACGGTTTTTATTACAATTTTAATACTCCTCCTGCATAAACATCTTAGCTGGTGGTGCTCTAGCTCCGCTTTTAATTATCACTTTGGGAAGGGCCTGTCACAACACTCTGGGTGCCTCTGCTCCTGCTGCTATGTGGGTGATGTCATCCGCTAATTTGTGGAGCGAGAAGCAGGTATCAGGGAGCTTGTGAGACGACGACACTGTCGTGGAGCCGGAAGAGGGCTCTCAGCTGGGCGGCAGCACAAGGGGCTCCTTGCTGCTTTGTAGGGGCCCAGGTGTGGGGGACCTTTTGCTGGACTACAATTCCCATCAGCCCCAGCAAGCATCGTCAGTGGCAGGGGAGGATGGGAGTTGTAGTTCATCAGCACCTGGGGGGGCAAAGATTCCCTATGCCTGGCATAGGCCCAGTTCTTCTGGAGTTTATTTTCAGGGGACTATAGGGAAGCATGCAACCCAGAGAGTCTTCTTGGAGTCCAGGTGGGGAGAGGAATCTGTTCATAGGTATTATTTTTATACTTATCTATTCATTTGCAAAAAAATACTACATCACTGACATTAAGGACGGGGAAACAACATGGCAGCGAACAGCATAAAATCAACAGTAAAATTACGTTCATAAAGCAAATACAAAATACCTCGCATCATTAGGATTGTCAGCTGATTTGGCAACTAGAAATCATCTGCCCTTTCAACAGATTGATTGATTTTAAATTCATGTGAAATTTACATGCTACCCAAGCCTGCCTCTCTGGGATAATGGTGGAACTGTGAGAATTTGCAAAAGGTTTCCTCTCCTGTTGCTGAAAGGGAAGGCCATCTTTTCACCTTTTCCATCTTCTGTGGTAACAGATCAGCACTGGTGCCTGGTGGGAACAGACCGGTGCCACTTCTGCTGTGGCCCTGGGGTACATTCAGGTGGTTTGTGGCATGCCTGCAGATTTATGGTTGAAGATAGGAGACTGCATATCCATCACAACAGACTTTTTTTAAAACAACAAACCCTGTTAGTCACTTTTTTGCTACAGGCAACTCAAAGCAACTTAACAAAATAAAAAAATCATGCATTAAAGAAAACATTGAAACACCCCACCCACTCTAAAAAGCCCCAGATCATTAAAAGCCAAAGGCCTGATTACAAAGGAATGTTCTTGCCTGGCGCCTGATGATATATAACATTCATATTGACTGCTAATTGTAATTTAATTGCTTCTTTTATTTCTTACCTGTTGTATCTTATTGAATTGCAATTTGAATTCTGTGGAATGGTAATACAATATGTAAGCAGTGAAAGCAGCAGTAAAAATACTGCTGCTTTCACGTACAGCATCTAGCACAGCACATTGCTTCAACAGGCGAAAGAACCGTTAAGGGGTCTGCAAAGACCCCCCCGCAATTTTCATGTGGTCGGGGGGTGGGGTTAGAATCCCCTTTTTGTGCTGATTGCCCTTCCTGCTTCCTTATTTTAGGGTGAGATCAGAGCAACGGCCTTCAATGAACAAGTGGACAAGTTTTTCCCCCTCATTGAGTTGAACAAGGTACTGTGCCCTTGGCTGGATCAGCGGGGGTGGGGATGTATTTTAAACGTGTTAAAGCAGAATGTGCGCAGCCTGCCTTCATTCTTGCCTGGAGGAATAAACCTTGTGTGGGTCTGTCTGATCTGTGGGCCTGATAACTGGAATCTTTTAAGGCTAGGGGGAAGAGTGTTGCAGTTACTCTTGCCTAAGGGGTGAAGGGTTGCAGTACAGCTTGATTTGCCCATAGCCAAACCTCCCCCCTCCCCTGCAGGGTCTCTGGGTTAGCTCACAGGTTAGGAGGTGTGGCTGCCCTGTCCACATGCCTGAAAACAAGAGCAGAGCTCTCGTATAGTAATAATCATGGTTATTTAATTTATCAGCGGTGTTATACAAAAGAAAAAGCCTCAGAGCAGCTTGGCAAGTTAAAATGCAACAAACTAAAAGGAGAAACATTCAAAGCAGGGAACAATTCAAAAGCACAAGGTGTTCCTCTGCTAACATAAAAGGCCACAAGACCTCCCTGCCCCACTGAAAGACGAGCACCACCGTGAGAGGCAGCTTAGTTGTCAAAGGCCAGCAGAGTATTCTGCAGCTGGAGCCCGTTTTGTGTGGTCACCCTCCACCCCTCCCTCGGGTGGGGCATCTGGAGAAGGGCCTTTGATAAAGACAGCAGGGTTTGGGCTAGCCCATATAAATTTGAGGTTCCCCTTTCAGGAGACAGCAAGTGGACTTGTCTGAAAGCGCAGGTTCCTCTGTGTTTCTGGACGCGACTCTGATCTCCCACCCCCTTGGAATTTCCTTAGCTGGGGTTGAGAAGGGAGCAGCAGAGCACTTGAATTGGGGTGTGTGCGGTTGCTTCACTCTTTTTTCTCTGCCTCAGGTCTATTACTTCTCAAAGGGCCACCTGAAGACGGCCAACAAGCAGTACACGACCGTGAAGAACGACTACGAGATCACGTTCTCGAACGATACGTCCGTTGTCGCCTGCGATGAAGCGCAGCACCTCCCCTCTGTGAAGTTTGACTTCGTCCCCATTGGTGACCTGGAGAGCGCAGACAGAGACGCCCTTGTGGGTGAGGCAGGCAGCGGGGGCATCGCTTGCGTGTTTAGCAAAATGTTTCTAGGCAGCACTGTCATAACAATCCAGCCATGTGAGGATATTAAAAACAACAACAATAATACCACCACAGCAAAGTGATTTACAGCACACAAAATTACAGTCAAGTCATCAAGAAAAAGATGGCCATTGCAAAGACCTTGTCTGAATAACAGTTTTTAGGAGATGTCTGAAAGAAGGCAGGAATGATTCCTGCTGAACCTTCATTGGCAGGGAGTTCCAGAGGGCCTGCCACCCTAAAGGCTCAGTCCTTAGTGAAGGCAGCCCAAGCCTCAGGGGGTATGAGGGGAACCACATGATAGGCCACTTCAGAGCATCTTTAAAGGTCCCAAAGGCCTTGGGCAGCCACCCCCAACCTGGCGCCTTCCAGGGTGTTTTTGACTACAATTCCCATCAGCCCAAGTCAGTACTGTGCTGCTGCCTTAGGTACTGAGGTACGAGTCTCTCATGCTCACTCGTTGGAAAGATCCCCTGGCACAATCCCAGTGCTGCTCCTTGTTGCCAAGAGACCAGCAGCCTTCCTCCTTCACGCAGAGACCTAGCCACCAGCTAGGGTACATGGTAATTTGTGTTTTCACAAGAAGAGGACCACTGAATTGCTCTCTCGACCTTCCTCCTCTTGGCTTGCTTTCTAGACTGGCTCTGCCAGACTTCCCCTCCCCTGAGTGATCCCAGCTCTTGTAGTAGCTCAGGTGAACGGTTCCAGACTGCCTTAGTGCACCAAGGCACAGCTTTCCAGGGCCTTACTAATTCGAAAGGTGCATAAGCAAACTGGGCTGTGGGTCAGGGCTGCAGTACTGCTGCAGTATTTCCCTTCAGGGTGATATTATTATTATTAATTATTATTATTATTATTAATTATTTCTATGCTGCTTATCTGACTGTGTTGGCCCAACCACTCTGGGCAGCTTCCAACAAATTAAAGCACCAAACACAGTGAAACGTCAAACATTAAAAACTTCCTTATCCACATTTAACAACTCAGAATGATACTTTTGAAGGCAGCCGCCACCAGGCTCCTCCGTGGCCATGCTTCTGTCCTGCACGTCAGCCAAGGGTTTGTGCCCTCCTCACAGGAAAACCCCCCGTTCATGAAATGGATCCAAAGCCCTACCCCTGGTGATGCATGGAGTAGCAAATGATAAGTGTACGGTGCTAATTAGGATCAGAATGTCAGCAGAGGCTGGCGGCTGGCCAAAGGAGGCCCTTCTGGGCCCATGTCCTGTTCCCCACAGCGACCAATCAGATGCTCTTCCTCCCCACTTGTGTTTCCCAGCAACTGGTATTTGGAGGCATACCACCGCCGACACTGGAGGGAGAACATAGCCGCTGTAGCTAATAGCCACCGACAAGCCTTGTTCTAAGCAGTTTACAGGTATAAAATCAATTATAAAATCTATACATAATTAACAATATACAGTGAAACTATTCCATCAAAGCATTAAAAGCATCCATAATTTAATATGCAGTAAAACAAGCCAGTTAAAACGCATAGCAATTAGAAGAGTTATTTTTAAAAAGCTATCAGATCAGGAAGTTCAGGTTCAGGTGTGTCTTCAAGAGTCGGCGGAAGGCCAATACGGATGGACCGTCTCCTATTTCGGCAGGGCTGATCTGGGCTACTCCACTAACATGGGCTGTGCCATAAACGTGTGGAGGATGCTCCTAACAACCCTCTGCTTGCCTTTCAGATGTAATTGGGATCTGCAAGAGCTGCGAGGACATCACAAAAATCACCATAAAGTCTTCGAATCGAGAGGTGTTGAAGAGAGTTGTGCACTTGATGGACATGACTGGGAAAGGAGTGAACGTCACTCTGTGGGGAAACGACGTAAGTTGTCAGAGGAGTAGGGAGCCCATTCAGGGCAGACCCTTAAGATCGTAGAAATCATGCAATTGTAGAGTTGGAAGGGACCCCAAGGGTCATCCAGTCCAACCCTCTGCAATACAGGGGGGTTAAAGCATCCAAGAGAGAGGGCCACCCAACCACTTCATTTCTGCTGCTCTGTTGACCAGCTTGCCTCACCTGTGGACCCAGGAGAATGGCACCCTTTGACAGGTGCCTCTTGGCGCTGGATCTGGGAGGAGCCATAGTAGAGCCCGTGGTTTTGTATGTAGAAGGTCCGAGGTTCCGTCTCTGGCATTTCCTGTTCAAAAGGATCAGAGGGGAGGCAATGAGGAAGACACAGTCCTGACAGTCCTAGCAGAGCAACCTCCTCCCGCCTGGCACTGTCCTATCAGGCTCAGCCAGCACCACTGGAGAAAGCTGAGGCTGCTGGGACTTGTAGTGTCTGAAACATCTGGAGGGCGCCAGGTTGGGGAAGGCCAGGCAGGGCACTGATCTCACGAGAGGGCAGCTTCCGGAGCTGTAGTTTATTCTCAGCTCCTTGCTTTAAAAGCCAGGGACATATTTTTTATTTCCTAAGGTTTTTGTTCCCTGCAATTCCCCTCCCCCGCCCCCAAGTAGGGTTGATTGAGTCGTGATGGCCTTGGGTTTAATGCTGTCGTGCTCAGAAAGCACTGAGGGAGTCATTTCCATACTTTGCACCGCGGCTTCCTAGGTCGATATTGCAAACTCCTCTTGCTTTTGAAACATTGGGGAGTTATGCAGGGGGGTGAGCAGAGCCCACGCGAGCACCACTTTTCCTGCCACCTTTTGTAGAGACCCGAGAACCAAGGGCTGGTTGAGAAAGTGCTTGCTGCACTTGCGCCCAGGGAGACTCAGGGCCACCCAGACCCCATAGGCATGCTGCTTCTCGTGCCCTACATAGGGATGAACAAGGAGTGCCTGCTGCATCAGGGCAGTGGCTCACCAATCCTGTGCCTAGTCCATTTAGGGACCATGGCCCAGCAGGGCTCTCTCTCCTCTTGGGATTCCCTGCCGCCACCATTCAGGTGCATTTACTGTCCCTGACAGTGGAAGCAGAACATAAGCATGAGTGTTAGTAACTATGGTTACTACCTACTTTCTTCTTTGTGGATTTGTCTAATTGTCTTTTAAAGCCATCCAGATTGGTGGCCATCACTGCCTACTGTGGGAGGGAGTTCCAGAGTTCATGTGCTATGATGTGAAGGAAATACTTGCTTTTCAGCCGAGTTCTAGTGCTTTCCCCCCACCATGTGTACTTTTCTCAAGCTCTATCATGCTGCTTCTCACTCACCTTTCCCCTAAACTCAAATGCCCTCTTGTGGAATGAGTGTGCCCCTTCATCTTTATCTTCGCAGGCAGAGAACTTTGACGGCTCTAAGCAGCCTGTGGTGGCCATCAAGGGAGTCAAAGTCTCGGATTTTGGTGGCCGGACTCTGTCTGTTGTTTCATCGAGCAGCATCCTCATCAACCCTGACATCCCAGAGTCCTTCAAGCTGCGTGGATGGTACGCTTGCTCGCTTCTGTGAGCGCCGCACGGCACGTGTTGGATTTAACATCTTGGCTAGAGTGGGGTGGGGGGAAGGTAAACCCCACGCCATTCCTGGCCACATGCTTGCATGCAAAATCTAGGCACTAGGAATTTGAGGTGTTGTTCCTCTTGAGAGAGGCAAAACACGCACACCCATAATCCTGTGACCAAACCTTGAAGGATTGGGTGTTGAAACAGATGTAGGGTGTGGGGAGAGGGTCAGGCAGAAGCAGTTCCCTGATCTGTGCAAGGCAGCATGAAATGGGATTCTGCTCTGGGAGCCAAGGGGGCAAGGTGTTTGCTTCACAGGGCAGGTTCTGGGCACCCTGGAGGACAGTGGAGGGCGAGGCGGATCCGACCCATCCGCTGGGAGTTTTTTGCAGGCGGCTGCTTTTGCAGCACAGCTCCTTAGAACATAAGCAGAACCCGCTGGATCAGCCCATCATCCTGTTCACACAGTGGCCAACCAGATTTTGTATTTTTATGTTGTGAGAACCGCCCTGTGATCTTCGGATGAAGGGCGGCATACAAATTTAATAAATAAATAAACCTGATGCCTGTGAGAAACCAGCAAGCAGGACTGAAGCGCAAGAGCCTCTCTTCTCCCTCTGGGTCCCATCAGCTGGTATTCAGAAGCATCACTGCCTCCGACTGCAGAGGCAGGGCAGAGCCAACCTTGATAGCAGCCACCCATAGCCCTCTCCTCCTCCATGAATGTGTCCAATCCCCATTTAAAGCCGCTCAAGTTGGGGACCATCTCTGCCATCTGCCGGAGGGAGTTCCGTGGTTGGACTCTGTGCTGATCGTTTCAGCGAGGTCTCCCGTGATTCCTGACCATTTCAGTTAGATCTGCCCACTAGGCCAGCCTGCTACCCTCCAGGTGATTCTGATTGGCTTCACTGGCTGGGGTGGGGGAGAGAGTTGTGGTCCACATCACACCAGGCTGCCCCACAAGACTTGCACCCCATGTTTGCATCAGTCAGGAGGGGGCTTGTCCTTCGGATTTCCCACCTCACCCACCAGATGCCCATTAGACCAGCCTTCTTCGGGGACACCCCCTCCCCGTTTGTGTTTCCTTCCACTTGCTCTCATTTGTAGAATACTCCTGCTTCCTTTGAGCCTCTTCAGGGGGAGGCGATGCTGCTTTCTTGTTCTGCGAGGGGCTTGCCATTTATTTTCACTCTGGCTTCTGTGTTGATTACAGCATTTGACATGATGCCAAAAGGGCATTTAGTTGCTGGCAGCTGTGCAGAGGCTGTAGCCGCTCCACACTTGCCTGCCGGAGCATCAGGTTCTGGGGCCAGGGTAGGGGAAGAGTTTTTCCTTCCCCACCAGTTGACGTGTGAGGAATCCGGACGTGGCCAAAACACGCTCAGGGAAGCTTGCATGCATTCCTGAATCAGCCGTAACAAGTTTTGAGAAAGTTGCTTGGTTAACCGTCCCCCCCCCCCCCCCCCCCCGTCTATAAACGGGGCGCAGACAACCCCTCTCTGCTGCCTCGTGTGTGTTGCTGAGGAAAGGAATCCATTAGCGACGGAGGCACTTCAATAATGCACTCCGTTTCATTTGGCGCATTGTTCCTCTCTAAGTGCTCTTGGCACACTCAAGGCTGTGCCAGAGACAGAAGAGGAGGCAGCCGTGCTCGCCTCCTCCTCCCCCTGCCAAACGCTTCTCTTCTGAATTGCTGGCCAGCCTGAGAAGCCACCAGGAGAGGCACAGGATGGTGGCGTCTCTTGTCTCTGGGCACCTCCTGCATGCTTGGAGTGCCGGTGCGTGGGCTGGCATTCATGGGCGACTCTGCAGGCGTGATGGAGGTTTGGAGAGGGGCTTGGAAAGGAGGCCGAGCCTGCCTTCTTGGTAACCGTGTTGGGGGAGGACGTGAGCACCGGAGGGAGGTGGGGCAGGCAGCTGTGAGGCAGAAGCAGCCGTGGGGCAGAGCGTGGCCAAGGAGGACCAAGCAGGTGGTTGCGAGAGAGAGCCTCAAAAGTGCCAAGGACCTTGGCCACCCTGCCTGACTTCGTCCCTCTGGGACAGGGGTCAGCAACCTTTTTCAGCCGTGGGCCAGTCCACCATCCCTCAGACCATGTGGTGGGCCGGACTCTATTTTGGAAAAAAAAATATGAACGAATTCCTATGCCCCAGAAATAACCCAGAGCTGCATTTTAAATATTCATGTAAAAACATGCTGACTCCCAGACCATCCTTGGGCCGGATTGAGAAGGCGATTAGGCTGCATCCGGCCCACGGGCCTTAGGTTGCCTACCCCTGCTCTGGGAACAGTTTTGGAAGGGAAGAGCCACAGCTCCGTGGAATAGATGCCGTTTTGCATGCAGAAGGTTCCAGGTTCAATCCCGGCAGCATCCCCAGGTAGGGCTGGGAACGACTCCCTGCCTTGACCCCTGGAGAGCCTCTGTCAGTGTGGACAGTACTGGGCTAGGTGGAGCCAGTGGTCTGACTCTGTATAAGGCAGCTTCTGTTGTTCCTCTTAAACACAACTGCGGCTTCCACTTCAGTTCAGACTCTCAGGGCCTGTTTACCTCTTGGATGTCAGAGCTGAGCTGCTTAAGATGTGCAAGCGATGGGCTCATGGGCATATGAAACTCAAGTGCCAAGGGCTTGGCTTGGCTCCACTCCTTTCCCTTCTGCCTTTTAGTTGTCCGCAGGCAAGGAATGATGTTGTTTTGTATGGAGGAGCACTGGTCCATGTGAGCCCCGCATGTTGCCACCTTGATTATTGGTGGGTCCTTCTCAAGCACTGTCACCATTTTTCCAGAGGGGGATGTGGCTGCATCCCTCCAGAACGGGGTCAGTAGCTCAGGCTGGCTCTGTTCCCCGAGGTGCCTGCTTCCACTGCAGGCTTGAGAGGGGAATCCTTGAACAGGAACTCAGGCAGCGATAGCTGCCTAGACTGCTGCTCACCCCTTCAGGGAGGTTTTGCAAAGGTGGGCCTGAGGAGCCCCCTGGGAAGAAAGACAGGACTCTGCCTGGGCTCTTTCCCCAGCCGCCTTCCTGGCTCTTTTCCTAGCAGGCCCTGTGTCCTGTCTCCATTGAGGGAGGGCTTTGCCTTTGCTCTGGCCCTTGCACACTCCCACCTGGCGTTCTGCCTCAGCCTCCTTCAGAAGCCAGTAGTGTTCACAAGCGGAAAATGCTGCGTTCAGCCCTTTTTCTCTCCCTTCCTTGGTGAAATTTTGTGGAGGGGATCAAAAATCTCCTGAAGCAAAGCGCCCTCCCCTCCCTGCCCTGACAGCTTCTTGCTGCTGTTGGTGTGGGCTGCTGCTTCTCTCCTCTTTCCTCTCTTCTCTGTTTCTCTTTCCGCCAGCGGTACCCGAGAGGTTGTCACTGAGCCCCTCTCCTCCGCCCGACGTGAGCTGCTCTCTCGCTTCCTTGCTTGTTAGCCGTGCCTGATGGGTCTGATGAAACAAAGGCCAGCGCTTCGTGCTAAAAAACAAATTAAACTGCGGCGCTGCTTGTTGGTGCAGGGGTGGTAGCACCGGCTTATCTGGTTGGCAGAGGGGCCGGCTGGTTTTTACTTCGGGCATGGGATCTATTAAGCTCTCCCTGCATTTCTCTCCCAAGCTTCTGCAAAGATAATGTGAGCATGTAATTTAGCTCTCACCGTGCAAATGTCCCAGTGCCCTCAGCTCTCCTCTGAAGCGGCTGCAGTGCTGAGCCATGGCCTCTAGTTGCCGCACGAGCGAAACAGAGCGTGTCCCCGTTTTCCAAGATTATAAAATATTGCACTAATTAAAATGGAGTATTAGCGTATCCTGAAATGCTATTTTAGTGAGTAATATACACAAGTTACTGTAATTGTTTCCTGTGCAAGCCATTGATAAAAATCCCTCTTGCATTGAGCGCAGGAGGGTAAAAATAAAAACCTTGGCATGTTTCTGTTTCTTCTTGGAACCGAGAGAAATATCCCACACCCCCGCTTTGTTTTGTTTTACTTCCAGGTTTGACTCTGAAGGGCAGCTCCTGGAGTCCACCTCCATCTCAGGCACAAGGACTGGGCCCATGGGAGGTGCAGACACCAACTGGAAGAGTCTGCATGAGGCCAAATCTGAGAACCTGGGGCAAGGAGATAAGGTACAATGGGGACTCAGCGTTTTGGGCTGTTCCCTGGGGCTCCTGTGGTGGAGGTGGCAGAGGCAGGCAGTCAGCAGAGCCCTGCAACTAGAAGGGTCCCCCTTGCTGCCTGCAAAGTCATATGCAGAGCCTTAGACAAGTTCCCCCTTCAGTATCCCTTCCCTTTCTCCGAAACGAAAGTAGCAGCTACGTTCAGGGGACGGGCCATAGCACCTGCCTGACAAGCAGAAGGTCCTCAACAGCATCTCCAGGTGGGGCTGGGAAGGAGGCTCCTGCCTGAGACCCCGGAGGATGCAGGAGACGCTCCTGAGCTAGCTGGGCACAACGGCCTCGCTCAGTCTAAGGCAGCTTCCTGTGTTCCTACCTTCCTTGCAGAGTCACTAAGGACAAAAATCAAAATAATTTAAAAATTGCATATTGGAATTCATTAAGTGTTTCATACTGAAGTGGCTGTATTTTATTCTTAAGAATGCATCAGACGTTCCTAAACCTTACAGTAAATAACCAGTTAAAAGCAACGCAGTTAAACCACATTAAATCATACCATGTCTGGAGGCAATTCAATTCCAGTGGAGCAGAAACGTGAAGGAAACACTTTGGTAGCCTAAATGTCAGTCTTGATAACAGCTCATTATCTTTTAAAATAAGAATTAAGAGCAATAGCCCTGGTGTCTTGAGGTGTTGGGATGTTAATAAGGCAAGACAAAGGGCCTCACATTTGCAATGGAGGGAAATGTCGGCCGCACAGCCAGTCAGACTCCTCAGCCAGCTCAATTAGTTCACTCTCTAAATGGTTCGTCCATTAATCAGTCAATTAAAACACACATGCGCAGGTTACAATATCTCAATTCAGGTAATGTGTTGGAGGATATTTAATGAACACAGTTCTTTATCTTGACTCCTAACTAGCACAGGAGCATTGTTCAACTCACTGTTGGGAGTTTGCCTGATTATGCGAAGGAATGATTAGGCAGTGGACCCTTCTGGTTTTGAGCAGGAGGTGTGGCATGTTGGGGTCCCTTTAACATGGGGGGGGGGCTGGCGGTGTTGATTCCAGCAGGGCTAGAGCTGCAGCGGCCTGCCTGTCTCCCTGAGGCGCTGCTCTGGTGGTGGCTTGTCAGGTTTGAAAAACAAAATCCCATCCACAGCATTTCCTGTCCCCCCGCAGGCAGACTACTTCAGCTGCTTGGCCACAGTGGTGTACCTGCGCAAGGAGAACTGCATGTACCAGGCCTGCCCATCCCCGGACTGCAACAAGAAGCTGGTCGACCTGCAGAACGGGCTCTACCGCTGCGAGAAATGTGACCGGGAGTTCTCCAACTTCAAGTACCGCATGATCCTCTCGGTGAGTCCCTTTTCCAGCAGGTCCTGTGCCCTTCGCAGGCAGGCTCCTTTTCGGCTTGGGAGGAGCAGAGAGCGCTGTGTGTGCATGCCAGCCTGCTCTTGCTGAGGGGAAAGATGAGCACCAAAGAGCTTCTGTCTCCTGCTCCAGCGGACAAGAGAAGATTATGCTGAGCCAATCGGCATTTGCAGTGGTCTTTCCCAGACCACGTGAGTGTGCACAGAGACCACCTTCTGTTTCTCCCTCTCTGGAGCTGCGGGGGAAGGCTCACTGTCAGAACCCCTGCAGGGAGGGAGGAAGGGAGAGAGAGAGAGAGAGACTCCCCTCCAAAAGCCTGGAGAGCTGCTGCCAGTCAACGCAGGCAGTGCTGAGCCAGATGTCCTGACTTGGCATCAGGCAAGGCTCCTCTGTTCCTAAGCCCTGCATTCCCATGGAAAGATGCGCTGTTCATATGCCACGCAGAGGGGCCAAGCAACCCTTCTTCCCGCTCCTCACTGCAGCCTCTGCAAGGAGTGTAGCAACGGCTGCTCTCCTGCCCACCCAGGCCAAATGGGCCCCTTTCAGCCATGACCTTCCATTCCTTTTTTATATTTTATTAGTAGAATTTCCTTTATAAAGAAATAAAGTGATAAAAGGAAAAAAGGGTGGGGAAAAGAAAAGGTCAGAAAGTTCAGTGTAATACAGTTAGTAAAATCAGCTTCATTTCCATACATTTTACACACACACGTATACATACATACATATATATATATATATATATATATGTATATATAAATAAAACCGTAGAGTTGGAAGGGACACAAAGGGTCATTTAGTCCAACCCCCTGCAAGGCAGGAATCTCAGCTAAAACATCCATGACAGTGATATTATTACCTTAAGTGCTATTTTAATACATCTATGGTTATTAATAATCTACTCCATTCTGTATTAATTCATTCCAAATGTCAGTATATTTGTCCAAACCAAGTCTATAAGCAATATGACCATCTATTTATTTGTGCTAAACCATCCAGGCTATTGCTCTGTGAGGGCCTTGCAGCCTCTTGAACTGCGCGCTCTGTTTGTTGACTGCAGTTCAGAACATGCCCCTTTTTAATGGCTAAGCTTTTAAAGTTGGCCTTGCCTGTTCATTGTGCGTCTTTCTGGCTGCTCTGTTGCCATTGTGGCGCTGCTGCTACTGCTGCACAGCCTAGATGGTGCTGTGCCGTTAAACGTCCCTTATCCCTGCCGCTCTTTTCCTACTGAACTGGGAACTGGTGCATTAGGATCCCTGCTGCTGAGAACTGTGTGGCCACAACACCTTTGTGCGCTTCGCTTAGTGACTGGTTTTGGAGAGCGTTTTCAGGTGTCCGACAGTGGCAGGGGAGGAAGTAGAACGAATAGATCCTTTTTGCCCCCACTCAAGGGGGTACTGTTCAACTGGCTTCTGCGGTCCTTGTGCTCTCCTGAGCCCTTTGCCCTCCCTCCCTCCCCACCCCAAGTGCCTCTCGCCCAGCGGAGCCCCTTTGCGAGCATCGCAGCCTTCAGCGCAGGAGCATCGCTGGCCCACGTTTCTTTGTTAGGAAGATAAGCTAATGTGGAATGGCATTTCTGGAGAGCTGTAATTGCACTCATTCAGCTGCTCCCTATATTTAGTTCTCTCTTTTGTGGCTAATGTTCTGTGTCTCGCGCATTAATGGGAACCGGCTTTGGAGCAGAGCATCTGAGGGCTGCCATTGTGAGGCCTGCTTGCACCTCCAGAGCAACACTGCTGCTTTCCTCCATCCTTCGGTTCATGAAAGTGCCCCCAAATTAGGGCCCCTGCAACTCGCCTTTAGAAACTCCCATGCAGGGAGCCTGCAAAGGGGAGGTTGGCGGCTGCTGGAGGCTTCACTTCAGCTAATAGAGCGGCTAAATGAACAGCCTCTCCAAATCGACGGCCTCACCTTATTAGAATGTTTGAGGACGTGGCGGTGGGGGGAGCTGTCCCCCTGGGGGAAGGATTTATTGTACGGAGTGGAGGTGGGAGGACAAGAGGGAGAGGGAAGCCGGAGAAGTGCTTCTGAATTACGGGCCACTTGAGTTCTCCTTCCGCATTTGTTCTGCTAGGCTCTGCGGTGGGCAAGAGATTTTGCCTGGTGTTTGACAGGAGCTCCTTTTGAAATCCCTTCTCTGCCTGCCCCCGCGCCCCAAATGGTGAAGATAGCGAGCGTGAGGAGGGGGAGAGAAAGAGGGGGGAATATAATTGCAGAATGGGAAAGGACCCCGAGGGTCATCTAGTGAAACTCCTGCAATGCAGGAATCTTGGCTAAAGTGTCCGTGACAGGTGGCCAGCCAGCCTCTGCTTCTAAACCTCCAAGGAAGGAGAGCCCCACACCTTCCGAGGGAGTGTGTTTGGCTGTGAGGCCCAAGCAGGCAGCGGGTGGCTGGGCCAGAAATAGAGAGAGATGCTGGTGGTCCCAGGAAGGAGCTGCAGAGCAGAAGAGGCGGGCACTGTGCACTCCTAGGGATGTGTTTGGGCGGCTTCTCCAGAGGTCTTGCATGCCCAGTTCCTGTTGAAAGTGTGTCTGTGTTTGAGTGACATTGTTGAGTGAATTGGGAGCTGTCTCAAATCCCCAAAGAGTGGAAGGCTCTGCCCTGTCCATCCAGAAGGGGGTCAATTTGCAAGTCAGAAAGTGGGACAAAGGGAAGGCTGCCCTTTCCTTGCTCTGAAGTTGGTCCTGGCTCCTGGAAATACACAAAAGTGTCTTGGCTTTTTCAGAAGGCATCTAAATGCCCATCCGGCATTATCAGCCTGCTTTCTCTGGCTGCCCTGGTTCCTTCCTCCACCATGGTGGGCGCCAGTTCCTGCCAGAGTCAAAGCCCCAGAGCCCCGCCTCTTCCCTCATTATTGGCCCCACCACTAAGGAGGCATCCCTTGCTTTTTCTCCACGGCTGGGGATGGCCACAGAACCGTCACAGGTTGCGCCCCCTAGCCTCTCCTCCAACCCCCCTTCCACCCATTCAATTCACCCTCTATTTAAAACGATTTCTTATGAGGCAATAATCAATATTTATATTTATGGACAAATTTTTTTCCGATTTTGCGCCCCCCATTGCCTGTGCCCCTGGCAGGGGCCCACCTCACCACCCCCTATCTGCAGCCCTGATTGTCCCACATGGTCCCAGCAGGATGTGGCTGGTTGAAGTGAAGCCTCTTGGCCAGGCTCCTACTCTCCATCCCCTCCTCATCACTTTCTCTCTCTCTCAGTTTTTAAAAACAAAACAAACTTGCCCAAGAACCCCTGAGCTGCTTTCACAGCACAGAAACACTGCTTTGAATAATGGATGTGGGCACTGATGGGGATAAAATGGAAGGACTTTGAAAGACAGAGGTTTTGGGAAGGGCTGTGCAGAGGAGCCCTGTGATCTGCCCTGACTTGTGGCTGCTCTGGGCGGCCTGGTTGTGCGAGAGGAGCTCCTTTCCGCCAACACCCCCCTGACATGTCGTTTTCTTTGGGGGGTGGCTGCTGCCCCCTGGCATGTGTGTCTCCACTTGTGGGGGCTGCCTGCAGGCAGTGGAAACAGGAGGAGTCAAGGCTCGGGGGGGGCACGTTGGAGGGGCTGAGCTGGGGGCTCCAGGCTGCCCTTGGTGGGGGGCTGAGGCTGTGCTGCTGTATCATTGGTCTTCTTATCTCTCCCCCCCCCCCCCCAGGTCAACATTGCTGATTTCCAGGACAATTTGTGGTTGACTTGTTTCCAGGAATCGGCAGAGACCATCCTTGGGCAGAACACAGCCTTCCTGGGAGAACTGAAGGAAAAGGTCAGGCCACTTGTGTCGCTTGCCTTGGGGGCTTCTCTTCCCTTCGTCACCTGGATGCTTTAACACTCATTACGGGGTCTGCAGAGGCCTCTCAGGCTCCTTGACAACGATGAGCTCTCTGGGGAGGGGAGTCTGGGGGGCTTGCCCTGAGGGGTCTGCCTACTGCTGGCAGTTTTTTGGGGGGGCTGTGTCTGAAGGCTGCTTGGCAGCCAGTGGCGGGAGGACTGCAGGCAAGGCAGCGGGTAACAATTTTGTCTGAAAATGGAGGGCACTCAGGGCACAGTCCTGCTTCTCTCTTGAGGACACTCCCCACCCCAGTGAGAAAAGACCTGAAATCCTGAGTAGCTGCGCAGGGCAGCCTGGACTGTTGGCTTTTTGTGTTTCCGGCTGGGGGGGGCATGAGGAGTCCTTAGCGAGTGCTGTGCACTGCCTTCCCTGGGATCCATTTACTTTGGGAGACTTGTGCCCTGCCTTTCAATCAGAATACTTTGTTTATTTGTTTATTTTGCTTGATTTCTTAATGCGCTTTTCACCACAAGGTCCCTGGGCAGCATACGCAAAATACATTCTTATGAAACAAATGAAGCAGTTACAACAAGAATGAAAATCAGTTCCACTTCAGTTCTGTGTAAGAGAACAATACAGGCTTTAAGAAATAATGTAAATACAAACATTTAAAAACAGTTACACCTATAGTGACGGTTTAAGATAATAATAACAAATTGTAACAATGCACACAAAACAACACACACACACACACACACACACACACACACCAGTGGACCCACAGCAGATGAATTTCCCTGAAGTCTGCTTCCCTTCTGCTCTGCAGTCTAAGCGTTCTCTTTTGCAGGGAGAGCAGCTTTCTCCTGCCCATAAATGGACCCAGGCTTGTCTTTCCCTCATAGTGATGCTCTTTCTGGGAGGTGGTAGAGCTGAGCAGAACCTCCCAGTGGCCTGTGGTCTCTTGGCAGAGGCCCATGACCTTTCCTACTGCTGTGCTGTCCCAGATCAACTGACACACTCCTTCCCAGCAGCTGACATTCGGGGCGTATGGCCTCATTGTGGTGGTCTCTGCCCTTCTTGCCTGGTGTTGCCTCGCCAGGGATAACCTCCTGTGAATTCCTCTAACCCCTTGTTGTCACATGGAAGGATGCTCTTGCTCGCTTTGAAAAGATACCTATCCATATTCTGCAAATAAATAAATTATTTTGATACTATACTGTACTACACTGAAATTTTTTTAATGTTTCCTGGATTGTCCTTGCATCTTCCTGCCACCCTTTCCATCCTCTCTTGCCATGTCCTTTGAAAACCACTGTCCTATAGGGTTGTTCCTTAAATGGCTTTTCATATATGTAGGAGTAGCTGGATGTTTTATGAGAAACCAGAGTTGGCTGGGGGCACATCTCTGTTGCTGCCCTTTCCAGAAAGGCCTGGCCAGGAGTCCGGCTGACAGGAGTTGTGCTGGCTCTGTGCTTCCTCCAGGGCCAGAGGCCCTGCGCCTGTCATCACCAGGCGCTCTCATGTGCTGCTTGCAGGCTTCTTCCCATTGTGACAACTGCTTGGCCACTGTGAGAACAGGATGCTGGCCTAGATGAGCCCCACCCCCCACCCCAGCCTGATCTGGCTGCAGCTTTTCTTACTAAGTCTTTCCAGATTGCAGCCAAAATGCTGTGCTTTTGGAAGAGCGAGTCCTTCGTGCCCTGAAGAACCTGTGTTCGTTTAATGTGACAACCCTTCCCCCCCATCCATTTCCTTCCTGTGGTGCAGAGTCTGCCTTTGCGTTAGCAGCTCACCTGCTTCCCTGAACTAGAAAAAGGGCTTCCAACTGACACAGTTAAAGTTCCTGGCATGCGGTTTCGCTTCTGCGACGCAATCTGCCCTCTCGTCGGGTAGACTCCGGCAAGAACGAAAGGTTTTGCTGTGTCTTAATTTTTGGGGAACAGAGATGTTGTGGCTGGCAAAAGAGCCGTGCTCCGTAGGGGTAGATGGGCAGCGGTGCTCTCTAGCAAGGCGTCTTGCCTCGCTGCTTTCAAAGCAGCCATTTTGCCAAGGAGGACGCAAGCTGTGCATTTAGCACAACAAGATAATAGCATTTCCTTGTTTCTCTGCAGGCCCCTTTCCTGGGCAGCCAATGCCTGATCATTAACCTAAAGCTCTGAGGGTTGGGCTAGCCTTGCTTAGATCGGCACAGATGATGAGCACATCTTAAAAGGCTGTGGAGAGAGGGAAGATGCAGATGGAGGGAAGGCAAAGGGTCATGCAGTGGCCGGCTAATGGAGAGCTCTTTCGGAGCCGGAGAGTTTGGCTGGTTTGGGGTGGAATGAAGGGAAGCAGCTCCCGTGAGGTGTGTCCTGGGCACAAGTGCTTGGCATCCGAGCTGCTAGTCCATTGCTTTTTTCCCCTACGCGCTGAAGCCAGTGGCTCTATAGCGCTGATGCTATGGATGACCAGAGAGCATTCAGCACCTGCCCATCCCCTACCCGCCCCAGCTGGAACAACTGCAGCTTCATGATGTGGCTTGCAAGATAAGCAGGGACAGCTGACTGCCTCTGATAAGGCTCCTGGCAACAAGGAAAAGGCCGTCCACACTTGTGTTTTAGGCACCCTCCTTTAATCGCAGCGGAGAAGCCTCCCACACCTTCTGCTGATAGCGTCTCATGGTGAACCTGCGTGTCTGTCTGGCTTGGGAAGGAACTTCTGAGCTGGCTTAGGACTGGAGCTGAAGGTGCCACAATGCGTTTTCTGCTGGGCTCCCCATGCTCACTTCCAGCTTAGGGTTGGCCTCAACCGCGTCTGTTCTGCTGTTCTTCCACAGAATGAGAACGCGTTTGATGAGGTGCTCCAGAAAGCCAGCTTCACCACCCATGTATTCCGGGTCAGAGTCAAGCAAGAGACTTTCAACGTAAGGCGGACACACGGAGATGTGCACTCAGAAACAAGCAGATCTGTATCTTGTGGGGTTGGGGTGTTTGTTTGTTTGTTTGTTTGTTTGTTAAGCAATTTGGGCTCTTCTTTGGCAGAGGTGGAATAATGAAAAAGTAGGAGAGAGGGGGCCCTGCCAGAATAGAACTGGAGGCTGTCCAGTGGAACGTCACACACAGAGCTTAGACAAAATTAAAGAGGGTTTGAAAACCAGCAGCAGGAAATGCTGTGTGATGATCAGTAGCCGCAAGGAGTTAAAACTATATCTGGGGGAATTCCATGCAGGTGTTTTTTGCTTGGGATTGAAGGGAGTGTCTGCACTAGAAACTGAGATGGGTTTGAAACAGGTCCTACCTCTGTGGCTCTTCCAAAGGAATCTCTCTCTGTGTGTGTTTTATATATATAAAGGCACTTTCCCCCTTCTCCCTCTTTCCCCTTAAGTAGAGATGTTCCTTTGCTGGAGGCTCCTGCGGGGGCCTGAGAAGCTTTTGCCTGTGGCCACTTTGTGAACTTGAGCCAGCTCAAAAGGCAGGCTGTTAACCACTACACTGCTCCCTCAATCCGCACGCTGTGTAAGATTCTGCCTTTGCCAGAGAATTAGCCTTTGAGAATTGGGCCTCTCCCAATCAATTCCGGGTTTTGCTTGCAATGCCGGGAACTGTGCAGCCGCGCCAGGTGGTTTGCTAGCAGCGCAGCCGAGCCTGGAGACGGTACGGTGTCCTCACCTGAAGCCTTTTCTCTTTCCCAAGGACGAATCGCGCCTGAAGGCGACAGCGTTGGATGTCAAGCCTGTCAACTACCAGGAGTACAGCAGGAGGCTGATCGGGACCATCAGGAAGAATGCTGCCCAGCTGGGATGCTGACGAGGGCGACGAGCAGCCTGGCACTGGTGCCCCCCTGCCCCTTGGCAGAGCCGGGGTCCCCTCCGTAGAATAACTTGAGACAAATGCTTGAATTGGTTTCTCCACACTCTTGCACAGACCCAAGTTCCAGAATGCTTTGCATCCCCTTCTTTGCCTCCGTTGACTTCTGTGTTCCTGTGCCGTGGCTGAGTGCCATCGTTGACAGGGGTGGGGGGTGGAGAAGACCTGCCGGCACAAAGGGAATACCTGCAGGCTGAGCTGGGAAGGGGAGACCCCAGGCTGCGATAGACCCCCTTACCCCCCACAAACTTGGGAAATGCTCAAAGACCTGGGTGGGAGGGGCCAGGACTTCTGTGAGGGGGGTGGTGTTGTGTGGAAGGGGTCCCTTAGCTCAACAGAGGCTCCCCTCCCCCCCCCTTAATGTTCAAAGGCTTCATTCCTTCCACAGGTGCCAGGCGACTGTTAATGCTTGGAATGGCAATATGGCAGAATTATTAATCAAAGACGTATCTCTTATATCTGAAGAATATCCTTCCTTCAGGGTTTAATAGACTGAGTCAGATGGGCCCGATATTAATCAAAATTGTCTCTTCTGAGAGAGGCTGATAAGCGTTGACTCTTCATCCCCCTGGGAAATCTAGGCAACTACAAAGCAGTGCTTTAGTTTTGCACTTCAATTAATACTGCATTTTTGGGGCTGCCGACTGCGGTGGCTTTGCTACCTGTCCATAATTTTTGTTTGTGAACGAAATGCCTTCTCTGTATCACTGAGGACATAGAAGCCTCCAACGGAGGGTGCACCTGGGCCCCTTCTTCCTCCTGTCTCTTTCTATAAACAGCATTTAGTTCTATATTGTGGTCTCTGCTTTCTGCAAACGCCAGCGGATTCTCATTACTGGAAAGCAATTAATTAGTTTTCATAATACGCTTTCACTTGGGGGAAAGACGCTGGGGCTGAAGTTGGCGAGATGGAAGAGTGGCGATTTTTCTCAGCCTTGTGTCAGCGAGAGCCGATAATGTGATCTTGTTTTGGCTGGTGAAGGTGGCCTCTCTGGCATTTTGGATTATTATTATTTTATTAATGTTTACCCAGCAGCCTAAGAACTAACCAGGCTTTACATACACGTGCTCTGCGTGAACTGGTCCCGGGAACAGAGGTGCTGCTGCTGGGCTTTCTAGTTAGCAGAGCCAGAGAGCTGCGCCTGCCTCTGGTTGCATGAATTATGCATTTGCCAGCTGCAGCAAAGCGTTGGCTGCATGGCTGGGCAGCATTGCAGCTTCCCCGTGGGGTGTGAATTGGAAGGCGGCTCTGGAGCCGACGATGCTTTTGCCCACACAGGTCGCCCTTGTTTAGCGCGTGTCCTCTCTAGCGATGAGCATGAAAATAGGGCTTCCCTTGACCCCTGACCTCTTGGCCCTCCTCGCTCTCTCCGTGGAGCAGAGCATCCCTCTCTGGCTCTCCCAAGCGAGCTCTGGGGCCTTGGCTCTTCTTCCTTCTGACCTTGCTTATGAAACGTTGGCTGGGAAATTATGGTCTTCCACCCGCTTTGCGATTGACAAATTGCAGGTTTGGTGTGATCGTCTTTCTTTCTGCTCTGCTAACCAGTCTCTATTCCTTCCTGGCTTCCATTCACCACCACACCCACCCACCCCCAAATTCAGGAAGGAGAAGGGGACACAGGCTGAAATGGTGGAGTTTTCAGTGTGTGCAGATGGCTCTCTGGCCTGACAGTTGAATGTGGGGTGAGGGGAGAAAAGCAGCCTCCCCCGCAAAGAAAACACCAATAAGTTTGTTTGCAGACAACCATAGTGGGAGTGCTGTGACCAAAGTCTTCTATGCAGCCATATGTCCTAATTAGGTTCAAGCACGGAGTCATTAGCTTCCTCGTAAAGGCTGTAATAAAAGGCCAATGGTGGCGCTCTGCAATCGAGCCGCTTTTTCACTTAACTCTTTGGGAGTGGTGGGTGGAGAATCGCGTTCCTTCTCTCCCCCTTCTCTCTGTGGGAGGGAGGGAGGGAGAAGTGAACCGAATCATTTCACTTCCAGTTCTTAAATGTTCCTTGAATTCCCCGGTGCCTCGTTGTTCAAGGGCTGAAAAACAGATAGTGATAATCTGGCTCCTGTCTCTTTCCAGTGCTTTATGCTTTCCATTAAAAGGCCCCGGCTGGTCCCTGGTGGGTTCCCCTGGCATTTCGAATCCTCCAGGTCCAAAACGTCCCCCATTTCTCTCTCCCCCCTTCCCTGCCCCCCTACTTAAGGCTGTCTCTGTGAACAGTATAAATATTATTGATCCGGGTATTTAATACACTAATGAAACAGACAGATATCGACTACGTAATTAATACACTCCCTTAAAGTGAAGTTTGGCAGCACAGACGGAGAAAGCCGTATTGACTGGGCTGCTCTGGCAGGGAGCCTGCCTTGGCCATCTTATTTATAGAAAGGGAAGCCGGTTCCCCTCCTCTGTGGGGCGAGTCTGGCCCCCACACCAAACACAAGAGAGGAAGAGAACTGCTTTTTACCTGCTCAAAGGCTTCCATTTATCTGCGGGGGTGCTAAAATTCCCAGGCATTTAGCTTTTTCACCTGTTATGCTATCTCTTAGCGCAGCAACGCAGGCGTGTGAGTTTGCACTAATGGCTGTGTTATTCGCAGCCTCCCTTGATACGGCTGCTGTGCATTAGCAGCACATTGAGCTGGTGGCGGGGGTGGGGACGTTCTTCCAGAGAAAGGTGGTGCCATCTGCTCCTCACGGGAGCTTCCTACACTAACCTGTTCATAGAATTGTAGAGTTGTAAGGGACCCTCAAGGGGACGCGGGTGGCACTGTGGGTTAAACCCCAGAGCCTAGGACTTGCCCATCAGAAGTTTGGCGGTTCGAATCCCCATGACGGGGTGAGCTCCCGTTGCTCAGTCCCTGCTCCTGCCCACCTAGCAGTTTGAAAGCACGTTGAAGTGCAAGTAGATAAATAGGTACCACTCCAGCGGGAAGGTAAACGGCGTTTCCGTGCGCTTCTCTGGTTCGCCAGAAGCGGCTTAGTCATGCTGGCCACATGACCCGGAAGCTGTACGCTGGCTCCCTCAGCCAATAAAGCGAGATAAGTGCCACAACCCCAGAGTCGGTCATGACTGGACCTAATGGTCAGGGGTCCCTTTACCTTTAAGGGACCCTCAAGGGTCATCTTGTCCAGCCCCTGGCAGGGCAGGAATCTCAGCTAAAGCATCCCTGACAGATGGCCATGGAAGAGAATCCAGCACCTTCCAAGGGAGTCTGCTCCACTGTTGAGTGGCTCTTGCCACCAGGAAGTTCTACCTGTTTAGTTGGAATCTCATTTCTCAGCATTTGAATCCGTTGGCTTGGATCCTCTGTATCAGCAGATAGCTTCCTCCATCTTCCACATGACCTTCAGAGATAGCAGGATGGCTGTTTGGTTCCGCTGTCTAGCCCAGCTGTTAAATGCCCCACTCCACACCAGACTGAGCCTGCAGTTTCAGGAATCCATGTGGCCTTTGGGTTTTGAGGCTGGCTGGCTTGTTTTCCCATTGTGACAACAGAGAGGGCCAACACTGGAAGCTGCTTTTATAGCCAGGAAGGCCACTGGCTCACTTCACCCAGAATCGAATCCTGGCTGCCCTTCTCCAGGGTTTTCCCAGCCCTGAACCTGGAATCCTGCAAGCAGAGCAAAGCCTCCCAACCTCCCTGGGTGGGAACTGCAAATGGTGTTTGGCCCATAGCAGGAAAAGCCTTTTATTATGTACCACTGTAGGATAAGGTTACCAGATTTTTTTTCCAATGAATCCGGGGACACTTTTCAACTTCAATTCATTTTGTATGGGGGCTGATTTGTAAATCCGGGGACTGTCTGGTAACCTTACTGTAGGAGCAATAAAGGGTGTCCTTTTTTAAAAGCCTCTTGTATTCCAGGGAAACTTTCAAAATGATACCAGGCAGCTGCTTCAAGTGCCTGCTGGAGGCCAAGGGATGCGTCCACACACCCTGTCCCCTCCTCTGCAAAGTCCCCCTGCTCAGTGTCTTTCCCAGGGGGAAAGCGCTCACTTTCCTCGCCAGTGGATCAGGAAGCAAGCAACCCCTCTGCTGTGTGCTGGCTAAGCAGAAACAACTGGTGGTTAGGACACTGGCTGGGCAGGTGTCTTAATCTGAGGGAGTTTCATGCTGAGCCAGACTATTTGGTCTATCTAGCATGGTGCTGTCTACACTGACTGGCAGCAGCTTAGCAGGTTTTCAGAAAACGATGGGTGTTTCCCTGTCCAACCTGGATTGAACCTGGGGTCCTGGACATGCGAAACAGATGCTCTCCCCCTGAGCTGCTGGGAAGGGGAGAGGGCTCTCTGGTTTCCCACTGGGGCATCTGGTTGTGAGAACAGGATGCTGGACTAGGTGGGCCACTGGCTTGATCCAGCAGGCTCTTATGTTCCCTAGTGGTTAAAGATAATATCTCCCCACCCTCCCCTATGAGTCCCACAGACAAGGAGCTGAGCCGTTATGGATGTGCCAGGCCATGTCCCAATTGCCCAAGTGGAGGAATCGGCCAGGTGTTGCTTATGGTGTAGTGGTTAAGAGCAGTGGACTCATAATCTGGTGAACCAGGTTCGCTTCCCCGCTCCTCCACATGCGGCTGCTGGGTGACCTTGGGCCAGTCACATTTCTCTGAAGTCTCTCAGCCCCACTCACCTCACAGAGTGTTTATTGTGGGGGAGGAAGGGAAAGGAGAATGTTAGCCGCTTTGAGACACCTTCGGGTAGTGATAAAGCGGGATATCAAATCCAAACTCTTCTTCTTATTACCCATTGGCTTCTCCCTCCTTCAAAGTAACTCAATGGCATGTTAGAAGTGCCTTTTTTTTTTTTTTTTTTCTTTTTGCTGCCCGCAATTCCCTGGGCTTCAGCCCTCGCTCTGAGATGTGGTTCTGCCATGGCCCATCCTTCTCACGGCAACTGCCAGCTTGCCTGCCCACCACTTCGTAATGAAAGCACCACATCCCTCCCTCGTCTCCAGAGAACCTCCTTCCCAATTCAATGGTGGGACCCTGGAGCAGCTGTGGGGGGGGGGGAGCCAGGTGCTCTTCTGCTTCAGGTATGGAGGATGAAGATGGCGAGGAGCAGACCTGCCTGTTGTGGGATTGCACAGGATGGAGTCTGGTCCATGTGGGCAAATGGCTGTCTTCCCCCACCAGCCTCAGCCAGCCCCCTCCCCACCTGCCTGCCTTCCTCTCAGGGGATGGGACTGACTGCTTTCCCCTTCCTCCCTTAGTCTCAAGTTTGCCTTAATAGAACTCAGGCAGAATTCCTTAGCAGAATATAAATTATCATCATCAATTCTTCCTACTGTCATTGACTCTGGATCCGCCTACCGGCCACCCAACCCCATGGGTGCCAGCCTCCATAGTCAGCACAGTGAAGATTCAGGGCAGATAAAGTCCACGCAGCACAGAGTTAAACTGGAACAAACTGAGGATTGGACCAGTTCATGCTCTTGACGACTCTACTCTGCCTCCACAGTCAGAGGCAGCAATGCTTCTGAATCCTGAATAAACAGCCTCGGTCCAGTATACCTGAAGGAGCGTCTCCACCCCCATCATTCTGCCCGGACACTGAGGTCCAGCTCTGAGGGCCTTCTGGTGGTTCCCTCACTGCGAGAAGTCAAGTTACAGGGAACCAGGCAGAGGGTCTTCTCGGTAGTGGCACCCGCCTTGTGGAACGCCCTCCCACCAGATGTCAAAGAGAAGAACAACTACCAGACTTTTAGAAGACATGTGAAGGCAGCCCTGTTTAGGGAAGCTTTTAATGTTTGATGCATTACTGTATTTTAATATTGTGTTGGAAGCCACCCAGAGTGGCTGGGGAAACCCAGTCAGGTGGGCGGGGTATAAATAATAAATTATTATTATTTATAATCCCAGTTGCTGGAAACCACAGGCGGGGAGAGTGTGGCTCTCGTGCATGGATCCTGCTTGGGGCCTTTGCCTTGGGGCATCTCGTTGGCCGCTTGTGAGGACAGGAGGCTGGACTTGATTGCCCTGATCCAGCAACTCTTAGCATGTCCCTATGGGACCTCCAGAAAGAGTCTTATCTAGATTCCTAGGGATATTTGGCCACTGTGAGAACAGGAAACTGGACCAAATGGGCTCTTTTTCGTGTTCTTACATGGAAACCATAAAGGGAGCCCTTCCCTCAATGCATGGGGAAGATGTTTGAACACACTTATCTCAGCAACGCTTCAAAAGCCTCTTCAAGTGGGCCAGGATTATCAACTCTCTAGAGGGGAAGTCCTTGTGAGCGAGAGGGAGGGAGGGGCTCGCCTTCACCTCGTTCGTATTTGAATTGCCCCCCCACCCAGCTGATTCTCATCAAGAGCTGCGACTATCTAGAATCATAGAATTGTGCAGTTGGAAGGCACCCCTGGGTTCATCTAGCCCAACCCCTAGCTCTGCCAAAATCTGCGTCTGGTTCCAGAAGCTGTTAGCCATGATGGTCTGGACTCTGGAGCCTGCAGTGCTCATGAGCACGGTTGCTAAAAACCAGCCATGGAGGAGGAAGTGGTGGGAGAAAAGTCTGTCTCAGGCGATGTGAGGAGCTCCTGGTCCAGTCCCAGCCAAGCACTTGCAAGACAGAGGACGAAGAGCCAAAGGGGAGAGAGCATCTTAAAGGTGTAGGAAGAGCCCAAAGGCGGCCCATCTAGCTCAGCCTCCATGGTTTCTAATGGGATGAGGGACCGGGGGTTGAGATTGCAGGGGGTTGGGCTAGATGACCCTCAAGGTCCCTTCCAACTCCATTCTATGATTTCCATCCTCATGGAGACTACCTGGAGGCCCCAAAGGGAAGCCTGCAAGCAAGCGGGATTGGAGTGCCACATCCCCACTCAGGGCCCTTTAGCAGATTCGGCGCCGGGGTGCAAATATCTGTCCAGCACCCCCAAATTACCACGGATAGTGGGGGGGGCGAAGCTGCGCACTGCCAGCCATAGGGGGGTGCAACTCTCCCCCATGCCGCTGTGTGAGAGGAATCCCCACAGAGACATGGGAGGGAAGCTGTGCCCCGCCAACCATATGGATGGCAGGTACGCAGCTTCCCTCCCAAGTCTCCTTGGGAGGAGAGGCTGCAGAGGCTTGGAAGGGAAGTTGCACACCCGCCAGACATATGGCTGGCAGGGCACAGCTGGAGGGCGTGCAGGGAAAGGGGAGGCCGCTGGCAAAGCTGCACAGCTCCTCCATTCGCTGGGGCACCCCTGAGAGGCCAACGCCCTGGCGCAACACACCACTAAGCCCTATGGGAAAGACGGCTCTGCCCCACTGTGATGCCAAGCATGTCCTCGCAGTGGGCCCCCAGGTGTCCCCAAGGGAAGCCCCAAAGCAAGCAGTGCCTGAGGGCAACAGTGAGCAAGGACCTTTGCACAGAGGATCAAGGCCTTGGCTGCTTGCTCGGGGCCAGCTGCAATGGCCCAGGGGCGGTGTGTCCACAGCAAACAGTTCTTCTTCTGGCCCTCTCAGTCCAGGTTGCTCCCTGCAGGGTGTGGTCAGCCTCTGAGCCTTACTCTGCTTCCCCACCCCCACCCCATCTCCAGCCAGAAGCCCTTTTCCCAACGGGCTTTGTGAAGAGGTTGGGGTGTTCTCCGCATAAATGAGCCTCAGCTCTTGGAAGCACTTTGCGAAACGGTTGGGAGTCTTAAGGCCAGGCGTAGCTATTTACATCTGGCTGTGACGCTGGCATCATGAATCTCATTCTTTTTCCTTCCCCAATTTTGAGCAATTTGGTGGGGTTGGGGGTTGGGTGAATAAAACCCTTCAGCTCCCAAGTGTATTGGCTTTCTGGTAATTGGAGCTTGTGCTGTCATTAAAAATGACAGCTTTCTCTGGATAATATCCCTGCCTCACACTTGTAAAAATACAAGGAACACAGCCTATATTTAACTTGCAGTACCTAGAGTTCTCTCTCTTTCCCTCCGTCGCTGCTGCCTCCAGAATCCCAGGTGGAGGAATGTAAGAAGCGGCCTTTGGCCCGAGTTGGAAATGTTGGTGTTTTTCTGTGTGGAAAGGTTTTTGGTTTTGGTGAGGAAAGGTTTTCGGCATTTGTATCCTGATCTATTGGCTAAAAAGACTCCCCAACCAGTTTACAGACAATCAAGACAAGAAAGTCCCTTTTTAAAAAAAGGCACAGCACACAAGGAAAAAGAGATAAGGAGGGAAGAGGAAAACCAAAACTCAGGCACTGGTTTCTAAACAGGTGTTCCTGTAATGCCCAGCTGGCCCAGTTGAGAGGCAGGAGGTGCCTGATGGAGCCAGCTCTGTCATGAACCCCGTTCCCCATCTCTCTCCAACTGAGGCAGTCTGATGGCTGCCCCCAGATAGCACTTGGGGGAGAGGCGGCCTGATGGGGCTGGCCTGCCAGACAGGGAGAAGAGCTCTCTCTCCTAACTTCAGAGCCCAGCAGGGTCATCCAATGAGGCTGAATGTTGGGAGATTCAGGACAGACCAAATAAAGTCCACTTAGTGCACAGTGAAACTGCGGAACTCCCTCCTGCAGGAGGCAGCAATGGCCACCAACTTGGATGGCTTTGAAAGAGAATTAGGCAAATGCCTGAAGGAGGAGAAGGCTAGCAAGAGTTGTCAGCCATGATCGCTGCGTCCTCCCCTCCACGGTTGGAGCCAGCAAGTGCTTTTGGATATGTGCTGCAGGGACCTTTCTCAGGTCTGTCTGGAGGGGCTGTTGAGGACTGGGATCGGGGCCTTCTGCACCCAGAGTTGCAATTCTTCCTTGATTCATTTCATCATGGAGCTGCTCCTTCCACACAGGCAAAGTCTACCAGCGCCTTCCCTGAACCTCCTCTTGTCTTGCCCACCAGACTGTCCTGGTCTCCCCCTCCGCACAGTTGAATGTCCCTTTAGATCTCTGCC